CCTCTTTCATGACCCGTGGCACCCAGACGCGTGACAGGCGGTGCGTTTCCCCAATCTTCCAGGCGAGGTAGGGTAACTAAGGTACTATAGAGAACGACTATTTACTCGGCCCTTATTAACTATTTGCTCTGCCCGGCAGGGGTAAAATCACACTAGATAAGGGTTAAGCTATAAACATAACCCCACTACTAGAATTAGCTATAGCTACTATATACCTTTCCTCGTCCCTTATACCTACCTTTAAGTCGCTCGAACAGCGAAGCAGGCGACGCGCTAAAGCCTCCCTCCTAATTCTATCTACCTCCTACTCGAGGGTTCCTCGGGACGGGTAGTTAATTTTAGAGGAAGGCGATACTCGGTAGCGGCCTCGGTACTAGCCGGTAAGTCTATCGGTAAACGAGGTATCGGAGAGGCTTCTTTTAACGATAAAATAAAGCGTTAGCGATATCTAGAGGGCTTAAAATAGGCGTATTTAGTAGTAGTAGTAGTATTATTATTATTATTTTTATTAAGTTCGAGCGTATTAATAATATAGTAGAAGATAGGGTAAGTATAGAGCTTTAAGTAGCTACCTTAGGGGGCTACCTTAGGGGGCTACCTTAGGGGGCTACCTTAGGGGGCTGCCTTAGGGGGGCTGCCTACGTTACTTTATTAGCTACCTTAGTCATAGCTCGGAATTAATCGAGAGACTCGAGTATATAAGAGACGAGCAGAGGTATATAGTTACTATAGCTAATTTTAGTAGTAGCGCTATATTTATGGCTTCCCCCCTATCTTTTGTGGCTTTCCCCCTATTAGGCCGAGCAAATAGTCAACAAGGGCCGAGCAAATAGTCGTCCTCGGTACCATGTAGTTTGCTCCTCGGTAGTGCAGGGCATCACCCCCAAGGATATTTTGGTGGACTTGGCTGCTCCATTCCCGAGGCGCGCCCAGTCGTGCTGTCAAGCGTTGACGTTAGTATGCCATTGTGGGGGGTCTTGTTTTCTTGATCCTATGTTCTGGTTTGTGCCTCGAGGATCGCTTCTGGGCTTCTTGAACAGCTAACTTCAACAGCAGTGAGTCGGCATGCCTAAAAAAAGGATGAGGCTGTCACCTGAGGAGCGAAGGACGGTCAGCGGCATGCTGGGCAGAAGCATATACCAGGTCCGTGACGATCCCTTGGCGACGATTTTATGATATCTTACTTCCCAAGATGTCTTGGTGTGGGAGGCTCCTCAGGAACGGAATCTGCGGGAGGCGAAAAACCCACAACAATACAGGTACCTTACTGAGGACCAGCTAGTTTGGGGAAGGGGAAAGTGCCAGGCGGTGCACCAGCCAAGTGGGTAGTTACTGCACCAAGTGACGTACTGTGCAAGCAAAGGTCTTCGCCACCCGATCCCGCGGGGGGCAGGATCCCCAGCACAGTCACTAGACGACCACGGACTGTACGGCAGTGCACTGTTGGGGCCCAGTCAGGTACCTTCAAGTCCCTTACTCATCACAGAGACTGGTCATAGCAGGAAGTATACCTTGAGAGCGAGGCCAGATGTGACTGCACAGATGGTATCGTTCGTGTGACAAAACTCTAACACAGCCAAGCTAGTACGCCGAAGTACTGGTGGGCCACCCGGCTCAGTCTCTCTCACCGTCACTTCGTCCCAGCAGCAGCGAAAGCGCGCCAGTTGCCAGGCCGATCCCACTCCCAAGGCCACGCTAACGCTGGAGCGCTTTGGACAACAGGCGAATTGGGTCGTGATCTGGGGCATGCCCTTGCACGCCCTTTTTTTTTTCTTGCTGTCCACATGGGCTACTGACATTTCGCGTTGCAGCCGGGATGGTTCGTTCGGGCTCACAGACCGCGCCTCGTCAATGGGTCCAGCCCACTCGTCAGGGGGACCACACTTGGGGTCTGTCGGTTGTGCGGCGTGTGTGCACGCTGACCATCGATCCTTCCTTGTCCCATTTTCGACAACGAGCTCATTTGGGTGGGAAGGTGGTGGCGGAGATGAGGGAGACCCTGATCTCATACTTGTTACGCGGCATTTGTGGTGGCCTCAGGCGGATGGCGAGACCCTTTAGTTTCGTTTCTCAACGAAAAGCAACAGATGCCGCCCTGAGTGGAATTTTTCTTGTTAATCACCTGTTCGAGGGTGTCAACCTGCAACCTCGCTCATCTCGGAGCTTTCGCATTCTCCGTCCTGCTCCGGGGGGGCTTCCTCTCCTCGGAGGCAGCTCAAATTGATGTATGCCTGCGCAGTTTCTCTGTAGAGCAAGTGACTTGACTGACTGACCTAGGTAGGTAGGTAACCAGGTACCTATAACCAGGCGAGCAGACAGGTATGCACCTGCTTATTAGTAGGTAGGTATAAAGATAGGTATGCAGGTACCTGGCAGTCGGCCTTGCCTTGTACTGTAATACATGTTTCGGGTACTTGGGCGCGCGAGATCAGCCCACAGAGGATGCTTGTGGCCTGCAATTTGGCCGGTCCGACGATGACACCGTTGAAACAACGCCCAGTTGATCTCTAATGACGCCCTCTGGACTTGTTTTCCCCTTGTTCCTTCCTACTGGCGCAGCAGCTTGGGACCACAGCTTGACGGACCCACCAGGCTCATTGGCTCGAAGAGCCACAAAACCACGCCCCCCTCCAAGCTGCATCGACTCCTCCTGCACCTTCCATGTTCCTCCTCCACCGGTCCGCCCACACCACCTTCAGTCTCGGCGGCTGTCACTGGCTCGTTCCTGCCAGCCTCTGCCATTGTCCCGTCCCATCCCAAGCCTGAGCCATGCCTCTTCGAAGCAAGTTCCAGCACATGCAGCAACGCAGTAACGCAGTTCCCAGGGCCGGGTCGATGCCAGACGAAGAGGAGCACGAGGGAATAAATCCCCCTCATCATTACGTTGCACATTGCTGCTGGCCGGGGTCTGGCGTTCCCACTCTCGATGTTTTGCTGCTGCTGCATGTGGAGGTGAACGAACTGTCCCCCAGTGACCAGTGAGTGACCAGTGACACGCAGGCCGTAGGCTCTGTCCACCCTGGCAGTCCTTCGATGCCCCCGTTCTCATTACTCGCCTGACCGGAAGTAACAGTACTGGTACGGGGTTACCAAAGTGGGGGATCCCAGGTTGTCTGGACCAGATTGGGTGTGTGTGGGCAAGGGCAGGAGAAAGGAGAAGGGGTCACTCGGCCAGCGTCCCAAAGGGTCTCCAAGGCGTTCTCGTGTAGGTACCTTGGGTACACACGTTCCTCCCCCTCCCTGGTTGTGTCTACCTGTGTGCCTACACTTATTTGCCTGCCTACCTGTTTATTTATGACGGCACAGTGCACGGAGGTGTACTTGTCCCTCCTCCACCGACCCTTGCCCGTCTACTACGGTAAGGTGCCTTAGCTAAGGTAGGTGCTTTACCAATAGAGGACAGTCCGAACCACCTGGCGCCTGCCCCATCGTACCTGTCCACTCTCGCTGGCCGCTAGGTGCTCTCACTGTCCACTGAACTTGCCGGGGTTCTTCATTACCCTGCACCACTGTCACTGGAGCAGGACTGGGTTTCTCTCGCACTTGCCTCGCGCGCCTGCCTGGGCCTCCACTGGCTCGTTCCGCTGCCCTGCCGCCAATCCCATCCCATCCGCCACGCCAGGCCTTCATTTTCTGCCCACACACACCTCCAACCTTTTTTTACCGCACCCTCAATCCGTAGTCCTCTCTGTCTCCCCGAAGACCCGCTCCTCCATCTGGTGGTGTCCACCCTAGACCTTCACATTGGATCCCAACCCGTCCACGAACACTAGCTATTCTCCCCTCCGTCATCCTCTCTTGCCAACCCGTCTCTTTTCTTTTCTACACACTCTCCTCTCTCGCCTCGACCTCTACTCGCCTCCTCCCCCCCAACTCTCCTCTCTCCCATCAACACATTCTGGGTTCTCCTTTTGCGAACACGAGTCTTACGTTGACGATCACGACGTGTATCCTGTGTCCTCGACCAACCGATTTGCCTTCGAGTAGTCGTCGACCCGTCTCCGCCTCCTAGGATATCATTCTCTGTCGTACATTCGCACTTCGCGATCCCGGTCAACAACAAATATCCAACTACGCAACAAAAGCGTTAACGATATCAACGAGCCTTCTCTTTCTTGAGTCTTTCGCGGTGCTCTTTCATTACGAGGTTTGTCAACACTCCCAGATTATGCTTCTGTCCTAGTCGATGCTTGCCTCTCTGCCCTGGCTGGAATCCTATACACTTTCGACCATGACGCAAGGAGTAAGGAGTCGAATACCGAGGTCATCAACAGCTCTCACACGAAAGACGAGATGCATATTCCTCTGAGCCGTCGCACCTTCGCAGTCCCCAGTTGGGTCTTCTTCCGGATGAGAGACGCGGACTACGACAGGGCTCTATCACTTTGAGCAGGGTCCCTCGGCATGGGTCGTCCGAACAATCCAGACGCAGCTGTTTAGCATACACGCAACCTTTGACGCGAAAGTCCCGGCCCGTCCTTGTTTGACGCATCAGGACGTCAACAGTGTATCAGGTCCAGGCACAGACGACTCGTTTTTTTTTTTATTTCGTTGGATTTCCACAACACAGTTTTGCTTTACCACTGATAGTCTGTTTACTAATTCGTCTGCCTCTGCAGCATCATTTGCCGATCGACTCCCTTCTGCGCCCTTCCCATCATCTTCATTGATCGACCCGATTCGCGCTCTCACCCACCTGTGCGGCTTCGCTCTCGAAACGACACCTAATACACGTCTCTCACGGAAGTCATCGACGTTCATTTCAAACCAGCCTCACTCCGCATTCAAAGTAGAACTCGGATCAGCATCTCATTTATGGAGAGCCGGAATTACTAGACGTCACGCCATCCCCTTTCCTTTGCCGCGCGTTTGCCAGTAATCTGCCAGTCTTTCCATCATCGCCACTCGTTGCCACCGGTCATCCTTACGCTTTCTAACCAAAGCGTAAACATCTCGACGAGATCCCTAGATCCTCGTCGAATTCTTGATCAACCGCCAACATGGCCGGAGGAGGAGTCTGTGCCGTCCTCGACTATGAGGTCGAGCACATGGCTGAGTTTGTCGCGGAAATGGCGACCAGCGTCGTGACTCCCGGCTCCGCTGCTTCTTCTTCCTTCCGCAAGTTCATCGCCGGTATCCTATCGTCGACGCGTCTGCCCAAGAGCACCATCCTCTTGGGTATGAACTACCTCGCCAAGCGCATGAACATGCCTGAGCAGAGCGTCTACCACATCACTGATGCTGACCTCTGGCGCATGGCTACCGTCTCGCTCATTCTCGCGAGCAAGTTCCTTGACGACAACACGTTCCAGAACCGCTCTTGGGCTGAGGTTAGTGGCATCGCGGTCACCGAACTTAACGCCATGGAGAAGAAGTGGCTCGTCGAGTCCAGCTTCGGGCTCTATGTCAATCTTGACTTCAGCCGGGATTACAACGCGTGGCTCAAGAGCTGGGACGACTGGAAGGTCTTGAAAGAGCAGGCCGTCGCTCGTGCCAACCGGGATAGGCTCGCATCTCTGGTACCTGCCATTGATACCGATCTCACACGATACAGTGGGCGCAACTCATACAACGCTTGGGTTCAGCAACAAGCCGCCGAGTATGAGCGCTACCAGTCCATCAAGCGTGGTGACATGGCTCAGACTCATTCTTATCGCATGGGCCCTGTTGACTGGTCAGTCAATTCGTCCAGCATGGGCTGGCCCTCCGCGCCTCTCACTCCCCCGGATTCCGGCTACGGCACTCCTGAGTACATGAACTCGGCTTCCTCAGCCAACGCGCGCTACAATGAATGGTTCTCTTCTGCTGCCGCCAATGGGCAATGGAATGCACGCTACCAGCAGCAGCCTGTTGCGCACGCCTCCTACTACGGCCACCGCCACGCCACCTACCCCCAGCACTACGCCTTCAACCAGGGACAGGGCATGTGGGAACATGGCATCGCGGAGTGTAGCTGCCCGAACTGTGTGGCTCCCGCCAAGCAGCACGGCTTTTTTGGCCAGCCTGTCATGAGCTAGAGCACAATCATGGTCCATCCTGATGAAATTGCTCTACTGGGTCTGCCTAGATTCTGAGGCGTTGACGACATTGAAGAAAAGTTTTGCATGATCCATTGTTCCCAGGTCAGGGAACTTGGTATTTCTTGTTTTACGGAAAAAAGGACGATGCGTTTCTTCAGATACCCTTACGACGGAACAACAAAAAAAGCTTTGCCGATGCAGCATATTCCGACGACCATCGAAACTGGACGGACAGTCTTCCACAATGGCTGCTCACATTTTACGACACGGGCTCGGATCCTGACCTCAGAATGCCGTTTCTGGGTCTGCCCTTAATGACACATTTCCTTCACTTTCTCTCGGTATACGGATCGACCTTCAGCTTGCGGCGTTTAAGAGTCGATTCACGATTCCCAGGACTGGCGTCCTTGATAGATTTGTTTCATTTGGCTCTGGTGTCCATGAGTCAATTTCTGCTGTAATTATTTCCCCTTTCTTCCCTTTTTCGTTACACAAAAAGTCCTTTTCTTCTGCCCGGTACATAAGTCTGCGGTTGCTTTTTTTTTTTTTTTGCAAGGGGTTCGCGAAAACAGGTTTATACGGGAGGAGGTTATTTCTGCATTGCATCGGTGAAATCGGAGAGTCGGACTCTCACACGGGTTGGAAATTTGTCTTACGTTCTTCACCTGCCAGCCGCCCGGCGTGCATGGCACTTGTTTCTTATGAGTTTTAGAGGGCTCTCATCGGCGGGCAACAGGCATTCAGTATAAAACGGGGGAGACAACATTAGGGTTACGGTTGTTCAGCGTTGACTTTGGGATGGGTGTTCTTTTGTTCTTGGCCCAACCAGGTCTCCTGCTTCGATGCCGCGTGAGATTAGGAGACAGATAAAAACACGAAACATTAAATTACCCTCGTCCTTCGTAGTCTGCTGTGGCTTAGCTATCCTTAATCTAACGGTCTTGAGCCAACGCTATGGTACTCATTCGTTTCTCGGACGCTCACGATGATTCGTAGACATGTATCTATCAAAAACTTGACTAATCACATCAGTCAAGGCACCAGATCCTGTCTGTTACAGTCGTATTTACCGAGAGGAAATCACCATATTCGACGACGGCTTGCACAAGGTCAAGACAGTGGCGTATGGCGAGGTCGGCATCCTCCCCCCACTGCCCGGGCACATGGGTGCCTTTCATGAGATCGAGAACGCTCGGATGATCTCTCGGGAAATCTACCATAGCATCTACTGTCTGACGTCTCATGGGCAGATCAGAACTGGGCTCCTGGTCTCCTTCCGCTAGAGCTCCTGAACAGAAATCGTCTGTCAAAGCCACTAGTAACGCTCTAGCTTCATTCTGCTTCTCGAATACCATGGTGCAAGCGACGTGGCGATGGACCCTGGCTCGAATGGGACCCCCTTCTGCCCCTGGTATGGAACGCTCGTGATACGATGCCAGCAAGCTCTGCCCTGTTACGAGCGGACTGAACGCGCTCGTTTCGTCCGGCTGTGATATCAGGTTGGTTTGCAGGTCTTCTTCCGTGATGATCATGAACCTTTCGTTTGGGTGAAGCTTCTGCGGTCTGGCGTGCCACAACCCCTTCGGCGCACTGTCATACCAAACCACGAACTGGTCGCGCAACACGAAGACCTTTCCGTCTGGAAAATACTGTAAATTATATAATTTATCGACCTTTCGCCGGGAACGATCGTCGCACGTACCGAGACGCGCTGCCGGTCTGCTTATCTCGAGACCCGTTGGGCGTTGCTTGCGTGGGCAGCGCCGCTCAGGTACCGTTGGGCCCCTCCCAATGCTTGAGGCGTGTGTCCGAGTCGCCCGTGAATGTCGACGGTGCCCATTGAACCCCCGAAATGTTCAGTTTCTTCGTCGACTTGGAGAAGGCGATCCCAACCGGTGTGGTGGGCAGGTGGTCCCATGTTGCAGTCATGCGCGCCTCCCCAGCTGAACAGATGATCTTATCGGCCACATCTGGAGAAAGATTGAGAAGCGTGCTAATGCACAGCGCCTCATCTTCTGCTATGGATGTTCTTCGTCCAGCTAGCACTTGCTGGAGGACAGACGGGTGGTGGAGGTGCTCGTCTGGTAGGAAACCAGCACTGGTCCGTGTCTGCTGATGGCCCAACAAAAGCCTAAGAGATACAATACGCTCAACCCGCGTAGGGAAATTGGGCTCAGGGGTTCTGAACCTGGATGGTAGATCGATGACTGCATCCTGAAAAGAAAACCACACGTAGGCCGGCTCACGAGGGATACGGCCCTCTTGGAAGTCCAAAGCCGATGGGACCACGGGCATAAAGCAATCAGTGCAAGCAGCTCAGACGTAATGTGTCCTGCTGAGATTTGCCGTCTCAAGTACGAGGTAAGGACAAGCACGTCGGCAGCTTACTCGTAGGACTTCTGTAACTGGCCCAGGGCAATTCTTCGTGAATCTTTGGGCCCGCGCGGCTCACATAGGGTTTTAATTCAGAACGGCGTGTTGGCTTGCGTGTATCCGTTATTTTTCGGCATTTCGTTGACGAGCCTTTGGATCTCGAGTATATGGCAAAGACAGTAGGCTGCCTTGGCGGACCTCCAAAGCTTGGGAGCAGTCGATAGGTGTAGGGAGCTTGAAGTTGGCGGGGAGACAGAGATTTGGATTTGACTTGATGCGTTCCGAATTAACTTTCTTCAGATTCTGGTTCGTTACCAGATGCACCGTGTTACCAACTCTGTGAGATCAGGTGTACGAGTGATAAACTCCAGCTGTATTTATCTCCGCCTAGGGATCAACAGGGCAATTTTGAGACCTGACGATGTCGGCACGTTCATTGTTGTCAGAAACTTCTCTGCCGCGGTAGAGCTCTCATGGCATCGAGGCATACCTAACCCAGGGTTAATCTTGGCGCGAATACAAAGGCATTGCTTACCCGGGTGAAGATGCTGGAACACGACATGTCCTTCAACAACTGGCTTATGAATTCCAACATTCGAACCTCGGCACTAGTGGTAGTGGTAGTGATCCTATCATCATCTTCGCTAAGTCCTACGCCTTTAAGGGTGCCAAAGGGCTGGTGAAGACATTTAAAAAGCAGTTACGATAGACTTATATCACGTTAGATGTGTCCGAGCCTTGCCGGCTTTAGTCGATTCGTTGCAGCCTCTCACATATGAACCGCAACCTTAAATAGTCTCCAATATCTGGGGTAGCTGTCGAAATTCTCTACTATTTGTGTGGGGGAAAGGTTCTTTCATGCTCCCTGCGTCAAAACTAATTGATTCTATCTGCCTTGCCTCGGTACAAAATAAATTATTGCCAACCCGGGGTGACATTACAGTTGCTTGAATCTCGTCGGCGGCGTCACAGTCGTGCAAGTCCCCTCGTACAACTGCCCAGCCCAAGTGGAAGACCCGGCCTCCCCAGGAGGAGCGATCGTGACGGTCGAACCCGCAGGCAAACCGTAGTTGCCGTAGACGATACGCATCGGGTACGGCAAGCCGGCCACGAGATCTCTCGACACGCAGACGGTTGCGGGGGTGAAGCCAAAGGCCTGATAAATTGTGGGATCGATGCCGGCTGGTGTCGAGGTAACAGACGCGTCTCCGCAGGGGAACGCCGCCTGGCCAAAGTAAAAGTTGACAACGTTGTCGGCATCGGCGGAGCAGAATTCGTACGTGCCGCTGCTGGCGGGGACGTAGTAGCCTGTGTACACGAGGGTGATGTTGTTCGGGTTGAATGTCATGCCGGCGTAGGTCGACGTGGCGGTCGGGAAGTAGTTGATGGCAGGCTGCTCAGGCAGGCGAACTCCCTGGTTGTTAGGCGGGCGTACAGGTGCCGGGAACGACAATTCATTCGTCACGCCGGTGTCCAGGGGTGTGAGCGGTCGATAGTAGTCAGGACCGACGCCGCCTGTCGGGTTCCTGACGGGAGGAACGCCGTAGCCGAGGAGTGGGCTCCATGAGTTTGCGTAAAGGCTAACATCCAGTCCTGAACCTGGGCAATTTTGGACAAGGGCCGGCTCGCAGGCATCGCTCGGAATCGCGCTCTGGCTTGGGGTAGCACTTGAGGCAACACTCGAGGCAACGCTTGGGACGCTTGAGATGCTGCTAGGTACTGGCACTGAGCTGCTGGGTGGCGGTACTGAGCTGCTAGGTACTGGTGCTGAGCTGCTGGGCTCGGGTGCTGCGCTGCTCACACTGGGAACGACTTGGGACGCGGGAGTCTGAATAATGACAGTACCAGGCACTGTACCTGAGGCAGGGATAGTCGCAACAGTCGTAGGTCCTGAGATGGGGACGGTGCCAGTGTACGGCTGTGTGATTGTCACGGTCGACTGTGGCTGGGGCGGTATAGGAACTGAGGTTGGCGTCTGAATGATGACTGTTCCAGGTACCGTGCCGGATGGAGAGATGGTGGTGATCGTTGTGGGCCCTGTAATAGGGACAGTGCCTGTATATGGCTGAGTGATCGTCACAGTGGAGGGCGGCTGGGGTGGCACAGGAACTGATGTCGGCGTCTGAATAATAACAGTACCAGGCACTGTTCCAGACGCAGGAATCGTTATAATGGTCGTAGGCCCAGTAATGGGGAAAGTGCCAGTGTATGGCTGTGTGATTGTTACGGTAGACTGTGGGCGGAAGGACGCTGGAACAGATGTTGGCGTCTGAACAATAACGGTCCCAGGATTCGTGCCGAACGCTGGTATAGTCGTCACGGTGGTAGGTCCAGTTATAGGTATAGTCCCGGTATAAGGCTGCGTCGTCGTGATGGTTGAGCCCGGCGTTTGGATGATGACAGTTCCAGGGTTTGTGCCCGAAGGGGGTATGGTTGTGACAGTGGTTGGTCCCGTGATTGGTACAGTTCCAGTGTATGGCTCTGTCGTCGTGACGAACGAGGGTGGGAAGAGAAAGCGAGAGGCAGGCGTCTGTATGATGACTGTACCGGGATGTGTGCCGAATGGAGGTATGGTTGTAACTGTAGTAGGCCCGGTGATGGGTACTGTTCCGGTGTATAATTCTGTCGTCGTGACAAATGAGGGTAATAGGAACGGAGGGATTGATGTTGGCGTCTGGACAATAACCGTACCCGGGTTTGTCCCAGATGGAGCGATCGTCGTAACAGCAGTAGGGCCTGTGATAGGGTCAAGTCCGGTATATGGTTGCGTTATCGTGACGAACGAAGCTGGCGGTGACGTGATCGGAATGGGAGCTGGCGTTTGAATAGCATTGTCTACTGGCACCAAAAAGGTAGTTGTATAGGTGTAACAAAACTCAACCGGCAGGTCTGCACGAGCTTGTATGTTTGCCTTGTGTAGCTGATTGTGTCCATGACAACAATTCGCCAAAGCGAGAGATGAGAAAAGATAACGAAACATCATATTCGCCGGCAAGTCGACCTATTGCCGCCAGATTCTGGTGGTGGATGAGGAGAAACCCTTGTGTTGACGAAGGTCTGACACCTCTAGCATGGGGTTGTTCAGGCCTTGGATTCGTTTTGTAAGCTGACTGCCATATCCAAGAACCTGTAGTTGTCGAATTTCGCCATCCAGCTGGATATCATCACTCCCGAACCCTGAATATCCTTCGCCTGAAGGATGTTTCATTCCGATTCGAAAAGGGATTCCCGCATTCCATATTCAGGGGATCGAGGCCCCTCGGGGACCACAAGTCGAATGGTAGACTGTTCTCCACCACTGGCGCTTTGCGTTGTTGCATCTACAGAGGCTCGGAAGGTGCTGACATTGGAATGCCGCTGGATTATAGTTCACGTTCGAATCGTTGCTGGTGTATGCGCACTAGAACGAATTCCGATCAAACTCTTGTCTCATCTGACCCGCGATGTCCCGGACAACAAGCAGCTCAATGTCTCACTTTACGAGCCAGCAATTCTCCTTCAATGGCATTCAGCAGCCGTTTCCAAGGCTTTCGGCCTCGGTCAAATAGCAGCTCGTCTCATTTCTTGGCACAGACAACGCCACGGCTCATGAAACACTCTAACTGTACTCCGTAGTAAGGATGATGATGAGATGTAATCTCTAAGGGTCTGGAGAGCACTCACGATCCCGGGTACCTGGGTACAGTAGAATACGCAATTGCTTTGTGTCTCGGCTCTTCCTTGGATTCCAGTCCTGTGATTGTTAAAGCCTTCGCTACAGGGATGTCGACAGAACAGGCTGGCCGAGCGTGGTGTGTAAGAGTATGGCAAAACACAGCATTGTTGCCTCTGGCATTAGACTTTGGACCCTTCTGCCTCCATTCCACCCACCGCAGGCTGGAAGCGTCGAACGACATGCCGGATTGATGATAGAGTAAACATGAAATGATCGCGAGTGACCACCACGGGTTAAGTACATCCTTCACCTGCCTCCCGCCAATACTACGGAAAACTGCGCGTCGTGCGCACCGCCAACAGTCTCCTTTGTGCATTTCCCAATACCCACGTTCGCACCAGAAACAGTCTTCAGTCATGAAAATGAAGAGCATGATGCAGTCACTTGCAGTTTTAACGGCCCTCCTACAGTCGCTCCACGTCGTTGCCCAATCCTCCACGTATACCACCAGCATCATCACGACCTGCATTACTGTCACACCGAGTATTGCAACACCCACCAAGTCTCTCCATGTGCCAGACACTGCTGTCACCGTCTTCGTTCCCGACTGCTTCCAATGCGACTGCGCAGTATGCGTTCACACGACCCGCCTCACAACCACCCTGTCTGCCTTCTGTCCTACCGGCATCGTTGACAGGCCTTACGTGGTCGAGCATGTTTATTCCGGCATGTCAGCCATCCCGACAATGACGGACCCGACCTTTATTCTTGCAGGCTTTACCACGGCGGTAGAGACGTGTACCAGTTGCGGCCCAGAGCCCATCACAGCGACGCTGACCTTCCCTAATGGAGGCAGTCCCTATGCGCCCGAAATGACACAAGCCGCCGCGCCCTCAAGAGGTATCAAACACGGACCTGATGATTGGGTAGCCACTGGGCCTTCTAGGGGTACAGAGCATGGATCTCACGATGCGACGGTAGTCAAGCCTCCAAGCGGCGCTGAGCATGGGTCACAGGGCGAAACGACCCCCGACGCTCCAGATGTCGTCTACACGGCTGGTGCCGATACGCTTTGCAGAATCGGAGGTGTTCTTCTGTCTCTTTTACTTCTTGTTGCATTTTAGGTCAGCAAGCTCGATCGGTTCATGTCACATTATACAAATCTTCCATATGTTCCTCTCGAGCGAGACAGGTCTGTGTAGTCTATCCTATCGTACAACTGGTTTTTCCAAAAAGAATTGAAAGAATCGCGACACACTTCGTATGGTTGGAAAGAGGTCGCAATGTATGCCGAAGCCAGGCTGTGATGGACCGCCTATGCCCTTGCCGATTCCTGTCAATTGTTCCCTCGCCATATCGATGAAGCCAAGTCGGCAATCGAAATCAATTGGATCTTTCTCGACATGAACTTGTATTCGCTGCCATTGCCTTGGTGTAAGGGATACGAAATGTCCAGCTCAGGGGGTGAAGGAGTGCCGCGTGGGAGCACGGGTGCTGACTAAGCTCAAGACTGGCATCTCATCATTCAACTTTAACAGCTCCAGATCTCACCATCTTGCCTCCAACCATTGAATCAGCCTACGCTCATTGTTCCTACTTGGCCTCTAAGCTCTTTCGTATCTGGAACTTCAGTCGAACTGAGCTCACAGTACCCGTCATCATGTCCTCCCGCTTCGTCTCCGGCGGCAAGATTGACGCTGAGACGGGCGAGGTCGTCACTACAGACGCCAGCGACAAGAACACAGCCCAAGAGACGCGCAGCAAGGGCAACGCCGAATGGGAGGCTGTGCAGCGAGAGCTCGATGCCGAGAGGCGGCGAAGGGAGGAGGCAAGGGCGAAAGCCGTCGAGGGCGGCGAGAAGAGCTTGTACGACGTGCTACAAGCGAACAAAGGTCGGTTGCAGCCTCTGTCACTCGGCCCCTTCAGACTGTCTGCCGAAGGAATGCTTACAAGGATGCAGCGGCCAAGGAGGCTGCGTTTGAGGAGGCGAACAAGATTCGTAACCAGTTCCGCGCTTTGGATGATGACGAGATTGACTTTTTGGACGAGGTGAGGGAGAAGAAGAGGATGGAGGAGGAGAGGGTCAGAGAGGAGACGACGGAAGGACTGAAAGCTTTCCGTGAGAGACAGAAGGTGCAAGATAAGACCCCTGCCGATGAGGAGTCTAAGCCAGAAGATGATGGGACCGACGAATGGGCTGTGGGGAGGAAGAGGAAGAGAGAACGCGGTTCTGAGGTGAAGGGGCTGGCCAGGAGAAGGGTGAGCGAGGGTGGCAAGGGCGACAACAAGACTGGCGATGGAGGCAATTCCGCCGATTCTGCCACGGCAGCAGCCCAGCCAAGGACTACAACCAGCGTCACAACCACCACTACTAAGCCAACAAGTGCGAGTCCACCGCCACCAAAACTGGGACTGGTGGCATATGATTCAGATGACGATGAGTGAAGGCCAGGAGACAGAACAAAAGAGGAGACTCATTATCTCCATCTGGTCGCCAGATGGTACTCTAGCGTCTATCAAGCTCCCAACACCAAGGCGGAGCCTATACTGTACATCCAAATCGCCTCGAAGTCATGAACCTCGGGCACACCAAGCGTATCATACATTAGGTAGTCACACAACCCATTCCACAACGACCCCTCTTCGTTCAAGCATCATCGAGGTTGCCAACGTTGGGTCCCTTGTTCTCTGCCGCGAACGCCGACATGCCCCACCGAGCGATGGAGCGCAAGCTGCCCTTGATGAAACCCTCAATCTCTTCTTCGGGTACGACAATCGCTCTCGCACGCGCCTCATCCTCGGGCTGAACCTCGAATCTCCTCATGCGCGAGGTAATGCGGGAGTCCAGCACCATCGGCTTCGGCCAGACCTTCTCCCGCGGCGGCTCCGCCTCCTTACCCTCCTCGGGCGCCTTCTCCTCCTCCCACACGCTCTTGACCCAGTTCTTCTCTTCGTGCGCCAGGACACGCTGCTGTTCGAGCTTCAACTCGTCGTCATCCGAAGACACGCCGGGCTCGCCCTCACGCCACTCGCGGTGCGCAGCAAAACAGGCGGCGGCCACCTCGCGACCGATATCATCAGCCAGGGCGCGGCGGTTCAGGAAGCGCTTGAGACGTGTAAACGTGTTGAAGAAGCCGAGAATGTGAGGGAACTGAATGGGAGCCGCGGGCGCGAGCTGTTCGGGCAGCGTGGGCGGGAGGTGGGCGGCAGCGTAGTCGGCAGTCGAGTTGTAGGACGGTGGCTGGGGCGGGCGCTTCTTCTTCTCTTCCTCCTTCTTCTTCTCCTCGGCGGCCTTTTCCTCGGCAGCCTTTTCTTCGGCGGCCTTGGCGTCGGCGGCCTTCCTCTCGGCCTCTTCCACCGTCTCGGCGAGGGCGTCGGCGATGGGCGTGACGACGGGCTCGGCGGAGAGCACAGGCTCGGGCTTCGTTTCGGGCTCGGGCTGCGCCGGGGCGTCGAGGGGCCCTAGCCAACCCTCGTGCAGGCCGCGGATATACTCCTTCCAGGCGTTGCGGCCAATGACGATGTCGCCGGCGTCGCCCTGGTACTCGGGGATCTGGTTCTTCGCGCGCACGGCGTCACGGACGTTCTCCTCCGTAGGCAGCAGCTCCTCGTCCGGCCGCTCGGCCAACCGCCTCTTGCGGCGAATCTTCTCGGCGACGGCGGCACGCACGTCGCCCTGCTGGCGTCCTTGGACAAAGTCCCAGTCGAGGCCGGACGCCGCCAGCACGGGCTTGACGTATTCGATAAAGTGGTCCTGGGCGACGCGCAGGCCCTCGCCGGGCGGGGCCTCGAGGAGAACGGTCAGCTTGCGCGGCAGCTGGGAGGGGTTGTCGATGGGTTCGGTGGCGAGCGGGGCGACGGCACGGGCCCAGCGGGCTGTGGCACGCTTCTTCTCGCGCTTGTCATAGATGACGGCCGCGGAGAAGGCCGTCGTGATGGTCAGGAAGATGGTCCAGTTGCGTGAGGGGAGCTTCTTGGGGAGGTTGGGGATGCCGAGCATGCGGAGGGCGGGGTTTCTCTCGGGGACTTTGTAGCCTGGTGCCTTGGTATTTGTTGTCGAGGTAGAGGCGGCTGGGGCGGTGCCAGGGGTTGCGGCCTGTGTTTGGTGACAGGTGAGCATGAGGCATCTCGCGATGGAACGATGGTTAGATGGGGGTTTGGATCAAGGACGTACCGAAGCCGGCGCAGGCTCGACGGGGGGTTTTGCGTCAGCCATTGCGATAGATCGTCTTGAAAATGGAGGCCCTTTGATATCTCTTCTTGAGAGAACGAAGGTCGTGATGGACAGTCGCTCGTCACACGTCACGTCTGTTTGGATGGATGGTCACCAGGGGGGGAAAACGACAGGAAATTTTGACGCGATAAGAGCTTCACCAAGGCGCGATAACGGCACGGGTCGTTCCAGCCAAAACGGGCGTGGCGGCGAAGCCTCGGCATTTGACGGCGTCTGTGACCGCCTTCTGTTCTTAGACTAGCCCATTCTGCCACTCCCAGCTCACAGAGGTCCAATGATGGTCCAATGATATGTGACAATGCTGCTTTAGATCGCTGGTATGTTGATCTTCATCGGCCTGCTGAATTGCTTTCTAGATGGTGTCTCGCGTCTCACCCTGTCCCGATGCCAATGGCCTTTGTAGAGACTGCAAATCTGGGACAGAAGTGTCCCGAAGGAAGAGCCTTGCTCCCGAGGTATCTCCTCCCAGACCTGGCCATTACTGTGGGCAGCTGCTGCAGCCAAGAGATCTAGAAAAGCCTCACCCTGTCGAAAAGACGCCCTGAGTATCTGGAAAGCAATTGCCGAGGAATTGCCAGCTTGTCAAGCACTTTACAGAAATGGTTGTGCGCTAGGGAGACTGCCGGCCTCGCTGGATAACCGGATCACCGACACTGGAAGGGAGCACGAGCTTGTGCTGAAGTGCAGGATGCCTGGTGCTTCTCCTCCTGCTACCCGGCATCCAAGACAGCATCACCTACCCGTGGATGCATCACGTACCCATGGATACATCATGTACATGATGGTATCAAGGCAGGGAGAGCAGTGCATTCCATCTTTCTTCGGCGCGCGCTGCCCCAGCCCCGTAAGAATGGGGAACCATCCGGAGCATTACGGGCCTCGCAGCTAGAGACAAGCCTTCTCCCAACAGTCGGTGAAAGACGCATGCCTCGATGTTCCATTGACAGGTGCCATGTGCACATGCTGTGTGTACCTACCTACATGTACATCAAGCGGCAAGGCTTCATCCATCAGGCGTCAGGGCAGGCAGCATGGCGGACCGGGACAACTTGCCTCCTTTTTACCCCTCCAATCCACGACACCAATCAGACTGTTCCAACTACACAGCTTCCATTGGACAGCGCCATCGTAGACATCCCCCTCCCCCCCCTTGCAACCTCGAGGAACCCCGCACGGCCATTCGCATCCAGAGTTCCACCACCAAGATCCATCTCAGGGGTCGAAAGTGCAACGCTACACCATCTGCACCGCACCGCACCACACTACACACCTTGGACCTCTGTACCCATCATGTTTCGCTTCACAGGGGCTTAGCAGAAAAATCACCTCGCCTTTCTTCCGCTTCCGCTTCCGTTCCCGCGCTCCGTCGCTCCTCTCCGTTCTATCTGGGAGTCCATCCACCTGCGTAACGCTTCGCATCTGCGCCTCGTGCAGCTGCCAGCTGCCCAGCACTTCACAGGAGTTGCAGCAACATCCAAGACATACAGACATAGACGAACGACGACAGGCATCCGAGATAGCGTCTTTCGTCTTGCGTCTGACTCGAACGTAACCTTTGTTTGCGCCTCACTTGTGGCTGAGCGAGCAGCACCATCAACAACAACAGTCAACGTCCAAGCACTCTCACCGATCCGACTGTTGCACTGGCCGTCTGCGGGTCCGTCTTCGATTCGCCCCTCAACCGCGCTCTTCGGCTACCGTAGCTCGTTGGGTAGGAACACCCGCAAGGCCCTTGGTTCCGACTTCATTTGTTGACAGACTTCAATTGTTTAGCCCTCCACCTTTGATCCACCACAGCCATCCGACACTCTGGAGAATACCGTCGACGAACATCACCAAAGGTCCTTGTCCTTACGGCCTAGGTGTTCGACTGTCTTGCATCCCACCTCTCTCTCCCCCCCCACCCTTTGCCGAGAGGCATTCCTACCCGACCGATTCTAGCTCTGCCCGCTCATCGCCCCTGAGCCCGTCGACATCATGGACAACAGCAACAGCAACAGCAGCAACCGTCTGTACCTCAACTTCGGAAACGGGAACGATCGCCTTGCACCCTCCGGCGATCGCTCCAACTATCCCACCACGCCCTCGACGTTTCCGCAGCCCGTCTTCCCGCAGTCCTCGGGCCAGCAGCAGCAACCCAGCAACCTCCACCCCCCGCAGCAGCAGCAGCAGCAGCAGCAGCAGCAACAGCAGCAACAGCACTACGGCACTGGTTATGCCCCTCCAGGCTACTTTGTGCCTAACCAGTACCCTCCGCAGTACCCCGCCCAGCCTCAGGCCACCGACTTTGCTCCTCAAAATGTCTACCAACAGCGTTCCAACACCCCGGGCACCAACGACCCCAACACTGGCCTCGCTCACCAGTTTTCCCACCAGAACCTAGGAGGTGCCGCGAGGGCTGCTCCCGGCTATGGCGCCCGGGGCGCTTCTCCGGCCCAGAGGCCCCGTACTGCTGGCGCCTCCGGCCAGCCTTCAGGCTACGGGAGCTACCCCGCCGCTCCCATGCCGACGCAGAGCCCAGCGCCTGTCGACGAATTCGCCCGTGCTCCTGAGCGCAACCCCGACAAGTACGGCTCGAACGCCAATAACAACCAGGTCAAGTGCTCCAAGCTTGCTGCCGATTTCTTCAAAGACAGTGTACGACGCGCACGTGAGAGGAACCAGAGGTAGGTTAAGACTCGTACGAGAGGTCCTCAATATGTAGGTCAACACCGCTGACAGGTTCCTCATAGGCAAAGCGAGATGGAGCAGAAGCTTGCGGAGCCCAATCAACCCGCATCGAGGCGTGAGCAGATTTGGTCGACTGGCGGCCGTAAGGAGGGCCAGTACCTCCGCTTCCTGCGCACAAAAGATCGTCCCGAGAACTACGCCACCGTGAAGATTATCGGTAAGGGCGCTTTCGGCGAGGTCAAGCTGGTTCAGAAGAAGCAAGATGGCAAGGTCTACGCCATGAAGTCTCTCATCAAGACGGAGATGTTCAAAAAGGACCAGCTGGCTCATGTGCGCTCCGAGCGTGACATTCTTGCCGAGTCGGACAGCCCCTGGGTCGTCAAGCTCTTCACCACCTTCCAAGATTCCTACTTCCTCTACATGTTGATGGAATTCTTGCCCGGCGGCGATCTGATGACCATGCTTATCAAGTATGAGATCTTTTCGGAGGACATTACACGTTTCTACATTGCCGAGATTGTGCTTGCGATCGAGGCCGTCCATAAGCTGGGCTTCATTCATCGGTCAGTAGGATGACTTTGTTGTTGTGGGACCCTCTGCTAACTTTGTTACTTTTCCCAGCGATATCAAACCCGACAACATTCTGCTCGACCGAGGTGGCCACGTCAAGCTGACCGATTTCGGTCTCTCCACCGGCTTCCAACGCCTGCACGACAACAACTACTACGCTCAGCTAATGCAGGGCCGCTCCAACCGGCCCCGCGACCGCAACTCGGTGGCTCTCGATCAGATCAATCTGACGGTCAGCAACCGTTCGCAGATCAATGACTGGCGAAGGTCGCGACGTCTCATGGCCTACTCCACCGTTGGTACGCCCGACTATATCGCGCCGGAAATCTTCACCGGGCACGGTTACACCTACGACTGCGATTGGTGGTCGCTTGGCACCATCATGTTCGAGTGCCTGGTCGGTTGGCCGCCTTTCTGCGCCGAGGACAGCCACGATACCTATCGGAAGATCGTGAACTGGCGTCAGACGCTGTACTTCCCCGACGACATCACCTTGGGAACCGAGGCTGAGAACCTGATAAGGAGGTAAGTTATCTTTCGGCCTGGCTTGGATTGCCCTTGCTGACCAACGTTAGCCTTATCTGCAACACGGAGAACCGCTTGGGCCGAGGTGGCGCCCACGAGATCAAGGCCCATAGCTTCTTCCGCGGTGTCGAGTTCGACAGCTTGCGTCGCATCAGGGCACCGTTCGAGCCCAGGCTCACCTCAGCCATCGACACGACGTACTTCCCGACGGACGAGATCGACCAGACTGACAATGCCACCGTGCTCAAGGCGCAGGCTGTGCAGCAGCGCGCCGCTGGCCAGCCTGGCCCCGTGGAGGAGACCCCTGAAATGAGCCTGCCCTTCATCGGTTACACCTTCAAGCGATTCGACAACAACTTCCGCTAAGCTCGCTGAACCTGCGGCTGCCCAGTCGTGTGTTTGTGGTCCTGTTCTTTCCTTGATTGCATTGCGTAGAGAGATGGCGAAAGGAAGCTTGTCAGTGTTGCATCTGTGTCTGTTCTGTCAGTGTTCAAACGGGCGCTGGAGGAATGAAGGAGTGGAAGAAGTATTAGATGAGCCTGTATGTGACAGGATGAGATGCATGAGGCGGGTGCTGCGACACCCCGACGGAGAAGAGAGTCAAAGATGCTGTTGAGGTTCTAGATGGTAAGCATCACCGTAGAACGAATTCTAGCGAGAGAAGGAGGGCTGGCCAAGTGCCACTTCAAGATGGCAGAGTAGACTACAATGCGAAAGGTGTGCGACAGCCAGCCAGCCAAAGCATCAAGCGTCACGCTCACGCTATCAACACGAAGATTGTCATTGCCTGTTGAGTGCCAGTCGCTCTTGATGAAGTAAAGCTCACAATCTAGTTCCTTTCAGTACACCAAACTCCGCTGTGCCCTTGGCTTGACCCGACGAGGATCGCCTGAGCTGTCCGTACCCTAGCATCTCTAGGGGTGCCCATTTTATCACGTACAACAATACAAGCCCTTCTTCCTCTCTCTTTTCCTTTCCCCCCTCTCTCTTCTCCCCTGCTTCACCTCCTCGTACTCAGACCCGGGGCGGCAACGTAGCGCTCCTCGCGCTCGGACATGAACATGACCTGGACCCAGTACTCCTTGGAGTCCGGATCCCAGTAGGAGAATTGCTTGTCGTCGCGCTTGTCGAGCTCGCGCGCGGGTATCTTGAAGCCGCACGTCTCGTACGGCTCGGCGGCGACGAGGAGGTACTGAAAGTTGCGGTCCGGGTCTTCGACGCGCTGGGTGAAGGCGTTCATGACCTGCCAGCGGGGCTCGATGTCGGGCGCAATGTCCGGGTACTGCAGCTGGAAGAGCAGGCCCTGCTGGCGGGTCATGGGGTCGCGGATCTTGGTGATCTTGTAGCCGGGGCGGCCAATCTTGACGAGGTTCCGCCGCGGGCCAACGGAGAAGCCGGCGCCCGAGACGCCCGCCGGAAGGCCCGTCGCCGGGTCGATGGCGCCCTTGCCCTCCTTCTGCTCGCGCGCCGCGCGCCGCGCGAGGTTCGTCTGGTGCTTCTTGCCCTGCGTGTGCGCGAGGTACGAGCCGTCGTTCTGGTGCACCGTCAGGCAGAGGCGGCACTCGAAGGAGCCGACGTGGTTCTTGAAGAAGTAAGGGTCCTTGTCGAGGTTGATCGTCTCGAGCGCGAGCTTCTTGAGGCGCTCGCGGCGGTCGGCGTTCGAGGCCGACTGCGAGGCGACGCCGCCGCCGCCGAACTTGGAGCCGGCGCGGTTCTGGTAGTCCATCGTGCGAGGTCTGCTTCTGATGTCGGGTGATGGAGAGTGGGTATTCGGTTCGTGTGGGCTGTCGGGAACGAGTTCGCGCGGATGACTGTGGTTGAAATGTGGGATGTCAAAGGTTGTCAAGCGCAAGGCTGGGGCGTCGCGAATCAGTCTTGGATTCGTTGACGGGCCTGTTCACCGAGGAGAAGTTCTCGGTGAGGAGCGCTAGACAGCTGACCGAGGTGAGGCGACCAGTTGGCACCACACCACACCCCCACCCCAAACTGCGAAAGTCGACATTTGTATTGGGATTGCCCAGAAACGACGCTGTTGATGTGCGTAATTCCTGTGTAATTTGGAGAATGGAAATAGATAAACCAGCCTCCTTCAAGACGGTGGTGTGTTCTTGTAACCACGACGTGTACTTGAAGAGGCTCAACCACAAACATCTTGTCTGTCTGCCTCTTGCACATGTCGTTCGGTTCTGTCTCTCTCATTATCAGCAACCGCGCACTCACGTGTCAACAGTCCAAGACTGGACGTGAAATGAGGAACATAGGTAAATGTCGGCGCTGATAAAGGGAGTAAAGCATGGAACGCGAAGGATCGATCCCACTCGGTGCCAAGCAGGGATGACTGATTGAAAGCTGCGTTTACTTTCCTCACAGCACCGATGACTGCACAGACATGTGTTGTCAGACAGTACAATCACCAAAGGCGTTGTGCGCACATAATATCGGATCTTGTATCCGTCTGTCTACTCTACTTGTTTACACATTAAATACGATCAAGGGGTGACAGCCGCCTCGATACCTCCCATGCGGCACTCTGGCGCGTTGCTTCGTGACGTTTCACCCATCTTATCCTGAACGCCGTAGAAATTTCAATGATTGCTCCCCGCCGTGTTATAGTAACACTCCGCCCTTTCAGAGCATGGCCTTGGCGTGCTCCCTTGCACCCGTCGTCGCCGAGCGCAGAGCGGCACCAACCCTTGCCTCGAGGGTGCTGCGCTTCGTCTCGTTCCCCGGCAGGACTTGAGGCTCCTCGACCCAGCCCCGGGACGCGGCGTCCTTGATGCCCTCGAACCAAATGGCAGCCATCTTCTCAAAGCCGGCGTCGCCGGGGTGGATGTCGTCGACGAGGTCATCGAGGGTAGGGCCCTCGGGCGCGTGGAAGTCGACGAGGACGACCTTTTTCGAGATGGCCTGCTGGGCCTCGACGAGGGCGCGGAACTGCTCGTTGACGCCGCGGACGCACTCATCGACGGACGCGACCTTGTTGACGAGCAGCGTGCTCAGCACGATGCTGACGCGCGGCGAGGCGGCCCATACGGCGCGCAACATCTCGAGCATCCTGTCGCCGGCCGTCTCGGGCTCGCTGTTCTGGATGCAGTCGTTCGTGCCGGCGTTGATGAGCACGAGGTTCGGCAGCGTGTCGGGCAGGGACTCCTTGGCCTTCTCCGTGACCTGGGCGATGCGGTAGCCGGGCCAGCCCTCAACGTCGTTGTCCGCCATGTCGCCGCCCTGACGAGAGCCGACGTAGTCAACGGGGTTACCGTCGGCGTTGAGGAGGTCCTTTAGGTACTGGCGGTAACCGTTGCCAGTGGAGGAGCCCTCGCCGTAGGTGATGGAGGCGCCGAGGGGCATGATGCGGAGGGAGACGTTGCCAGCGACCAGGGCGCTGAAGCGAGGCTCATGGATGGGGGCTGGGGTAGGAGCCGCATCAGCTGAAGATATGTTAGTAATGATTAGTACGGAGGCAAGTGAATGAAGCATACATGTGGTAGCCCACAGAAGGCAGACGCATTGCAAAAGACGAAGCGTAGATGGCATCTTGAAAGGTGTTGTTTCGCGAGGAGAGGCTTCGCGTTTGACTGATGAAAGGATAGTTGGGTGGTCTTGATGATGCCTCAATGGCGCCTTGCCGAACTTCGTACGGGAATCAGAGAATCTGGGGAGGAGCAGCAGCAGACAGGCCTTGTCGTCGATTGTTGAACCTGTCAAACCTCAAGACATGGCGGCGGGAGGGACCCAGGGTTATACGCAATGCGCAGTCCGAGAGAGCAGCATGACGGTCCACAAGCCATTGACCGACTCCCCTGGACCGGTTCCGCGACAAGACCTCCATTGATCCTCCCCAATAAAAGGGTGTCCCATCAGCAATTAGCGTTGGACGAGGTGTCGAGCGACGTCAGTCAGGGAATCGGATCCTGTGCTTGGGTCGCCCGATCCACCGTGCTCTGGCCCGACGAGGCATTGCAGTGGCAGATCCCCAATCACGATGTCTCTCGGGACGCGAGGGGCACGCAGGGAAGGGCCCGCCGCCCCACGATTCGACGGCAGAGGGGGAGAGGTGAGATAGAGTAGCGTGACATGCAGCTGAGGTGTCGTCGTCGTCATGGCTGCGCTGTCCTTGGCTGTCAGATCAGAGGCCGGACCAATGTTGTCGTTGTACATGTATGGTACCTGGGAAGGCGGTCGAGGCCTTCGATGCTGCATCGACACGACGGCCAGCGCATCACCAGCCTCCTCCCATTTCCCTGTCTAGGGGCAAGGCTCTGTTTGTTTGCTTCGGCGGTCGGACGACGGGCACATGGCCAGGAGCATGGGAAGGATGTAAATCCGAGACCAGAAGAAGCCACTCCCAAACAAAGGAGTCTGTCAATCCCTGCGGTGCTGGGCAGTGTCAGTAGAGGTGCCGGGGGGGATGTCGGTGTGGTGGTATGGCCGAGGGGTTCTGTTTGTGTTGTCGGTTTTGAGGACATTCCAGCGATCAGGCCCCTGAAATTCCAGCCTCCCGTGCCCCTCTTCCCCAAGGCGAAGGGGACCGCACTGGAGGCGCGCTATCCGGAACAACCCCGACGGATCTAGGGGCCTTGCAGCGTCTCACATAGCGCAGCTGGTGCTACTGTCAGCTGCCCTTGTCCCTCGATCAGCACGAAGCCTGCCCCCCCCCCCCCAGCCATCGTTACAACCTAGCGGCTGACTGCCTCTCCACCCTGCATCTTCCAGTATCGTATCTATCAATTCGTCCAACCTCTCTCACTCCGACCTTGCTTTCCCTCGTGAAGCTGCCATACTTTGATTCGTTTTTCGAGCCACCAGCACAAACACAGCCGCCTGCAGTCGACACGTGTAGTCTCTGTCACAGCCTCACGCCATCACTTTATGCTGTCGATCTCGGCTGGTGACTGGTCCCCCCACACCTCTGCCAACCTGATTGAAATCTCCGGCCGGGCTGTCTGCAGATCCCGCCCTGCGCATGCTGTGAAAAGGGGGTGCAGCCAGGGGCTGCCCCGCCAGCCGACGCACATCGTCATCAACAGGCACCCCGCAGGTTTACATTTCGAGCTTCTTGAGGAATCCCCCGTCTCCTAATGAGGTTGAGGTAGGGAAGCCTCGCCACTTGAAGCACATCATACGCGTGGTTGGATCTGCAAAGACATGGCACACCTTTCGTCTTACAAGTTCGGCACTGCCGGACAACACAGAGGGCCTTCGTGGCAGAAGGAACAAGTGAACTGAATGAGCGTGTTGATGGACTTGCCATTGTCGAAAAGGTAGGTGCAGGCACCAGCAGCCGCCATCATGACACTGCAAGGACCTAGGAAAGGCTTCGACGGATGTAGTGGCATGGGAGGCCGGAGGAGGAGAGTTGGCCATGGCATAGGATTGGCCTGGTAAAAGGCTCCCGTAGGACTCACAGATCGGAAGCATCAATGCAGATGGTTCGGATTGACGTATGCCCATACGACCTTCAACATGCGGACTCAAAAACAGGGAAAAGCCTTTAACTCACACATGATGGGGTTCCAGCAGAACCAAAGGGCCGAAATCGAGGGTCTCAAACGGATGTAAACCTAGCGCATCAGGGCGGGTCTCTTTCCCTGAAAATTCCCTCTGGAGAGATTTCCCTTGTATTCCCTTCCACATCCACTGTCGTGGGATTGATATCATACTGCCTCGGACTGTTCAGGAGGGAAAAATCAATTGACAGAATCTTTAGGAAAGCGCAAGCGTTAGACGTCGATTCTGGGTTTTTGGTTTCGTTTTTGGGCTATGCATAACATATTTGTACGCAGCGATACTTGCTGCAATACATTCAACAACATGAGTGGTCCGATTTCCTACACAATCACAGTAACAATTGCTGCTGTGAGAGAGGTACAACTGTAGGAGTGCCTAGCTCGGAAGAATTGCTGGGGGAGTGCGAGCGGTTTAATTTCTTTAACGTTCTTCCGCATGCAAAATTCAACCTGGCTTGGCAATTGCGGATGTTTACATCTCTAATTTCCAACCGTCGCCTCGTGATCAGCGTCGAACCTTTTACCATGAAGCTTGGCATTGTCGATAATGCTACGCAGAGCCACTTTGTCGTCCTCCGTGAGTTCGATGTCCCTGGATGCCCAGTTTTCCTCCAGACGCTTGACCTTGGTCGTTCCCGGAATGGAGATCAAGCCCTGAGCTGCCACCCAGGCAAGAGCAATCTGAGCTAAAGTGCACCCTTTCCGAACCGCAAGCTCCTTGATCTCTTCCACGATGGCCTTGTTCTTGAAAAAGTTTTCGCCCTGGAATTTAGGAGCTATATGTTCACCAGACATTAGAGACTCGATTCGTTTCGTCTGCTTGTGCTCCAATATCAAGGACAACTTACAGACGCGGCGGAAGTCATCCGGCGCAAAGTCTTCGGGGGATTTATACTGGAAGTCGTCGACAAGGAAACCGTGGCCTAGGGGACTGAATGCTACAAAGGCAACGTGGAGCTCTTTGCAGGCATCGATCAAGCCGTTCGTCTCGTGGACTGTTTCAAAAGGGGAGTATTCCGCTTGGACGGCGTCTATCTTGGCAACTGCGAATTACGGAGCCTCTGTTAGTGGCGATGATTGAATTTGAATGGCCGTAAGCTTACTCAAGTTCGCTTTACGGAGTGTCTTTGCTGAGCATTCCGAAAGTCCAATGTACTTGGTCTTGCCAGCCTTTCTGATTTCATCGAGAGCAGCAATCGACTCTTCGAGGGGGGTAGCTGCTGGAGTCAGCCTAGTTTAGGTCATGGCATATTGGCCAAGTCCACGTACCAGGATCTATGCGGTGCAGGTAATATAGGTCCGGAGCGAACCCAAGCCTCTCGATCGTGCCTTCAATATACTCTTTTATGTGAGACGCCGAGTTGGTAACGCGTCCAGACCCGCCGAAGACGTCAAACCCGCATTTGGAGGCAACTAGCCATCAGGCCATCCGTCAGTGATATTGTGCTTGGGATGTGACATGGGCCGCTGGCCCCTCACCGAAGACTTTATCGCGAACGTTATGCTTCCTGATGAAGTTGCCAAGTAGCTTTTCGTTAATGCCGGCTCTGTAGACAACCTTGAGGTAACCCTGTTAATATTTTGCACTGGCTTGTAGCGAATATGTCGAGCTGGGGCGTTGAGCATTGGCGACCTACAGCTGTGTCCCAGAATGTGCATCCCAGTTCGATGGCCTTCAGCAGGACTGGCTCGGCTTCCTCAGGGCTCAGGTTCGCGCCCATGGCAAAGTTGAGACCCATGGCACCGAACCCAGGGACCGGCACCTCGATGTCCGCGAAGGGAAGCGTTCTGACCATTTTGTTGGTTGCAATGAATCGTGTCGTAGCAAAAACGAGATAACAGATGTATTGGCTTCATAATTCTGAGCTGCGGCGCAGGTCAGGATCGTACCCTCTATTATACTTCTCACAGCGATAGCGAAGGTTTGTTCCGGGAGGCTTGGCAACCACGGACTCATGCTAGGACTTAAGCTATGTCCGCTCAGGTCCATCCTATGGTGTTAACTAATGCCTATGACTGGTGTAGTGCTACGACTGTCTAGCCGGCATTACTACGGAGCAATGACGTGGGGGAATTTGCGTGCTTTCTCTATTCGACATGACTGTATGATCATTGGCTATTGCTCCATCGGACGTTATGGCGACAATTTCAACATGTCAACGGATATCTTTCTGATCCAGGGTTAATTTATCTAGCGCAATCAACTCTTGTTTACCAGGTCGAGACGCACGCATCTTGTCATGTCTGGGGCTGATACGCTGTACTTGAACACCACAGTGGCGGGACCGAGGGCGCTTGCTTGTTCGATAGGTTGGAGTAATATATACGGCGAGAGTTTTCCAGGGCTGACGGCGTGCTCTATTGGTAAGCCACAAGCGTGTGGGGATAGACAATGTGACGATACGTACAAGAACGCTCACTGGGATTGAAGACACCGCGGCCGCGATACATTGCTGATATTATCCTGCGGTTGTGCAGCTGCTAATATTGAATGGCTTGTATTGTAGTTGATCTGCTGATAGGCGTTCAGATGAGGGAAACAATCGGAGGGAGCTAACGAGACACTATTGCTCTCAAACGAGGCTAAATCCCAGAGGATTGTTTTCCATTTCTAGCCTAGCGCACCCCAGTAAGTTCTAGGCTGTAAAAGACCGTGGATTCCTGGATTGTTTTCCATTCCTCGTCTAGCGTAAGTACCTACTATTCCGAGGACAGGAGACAGCACGGTCGCGTAACCTCCTGACACAATCAAGAATAGGCGGTTATGGCACAATCACGGGACAGTGATGACGTTAGAGCCTACCAGGCTATTAAATTTATTCCTTTACAGAGTTACCGTGTGGTATCGATTACAGCGTAACATCTTCTGGCCGACTTGCTCCGGTGTGGGACAGGTCACACCCCCAGGCGCTTGTTCTGTCGCAACCCTCGGTGACCTCGTCCGCTGTCAACAGACAAACAAGCCCATAGCAAGGCCGAGAACACGCAGCAAGAGAATCCGTACAACATATTCATCACAGTCGGTCTGCCTAGTTCTTATTGACCATTCAAGAACAAACGGGAACATTGGAAGAGATTGCAGGTCACACAGGGTACACACGATCAGCACCGCTTCCCCTCTTTTCGTTATTACAATCGATGCATCCACGTGATGTTGCTGAGGAGGGTGTCGCGTGAGCCAACCTTTTGCTATCGAGGTTTGGCAGCTGTAAGAGCGGGCCAGTGAAAACATGGAAAAGCAGTAGCCGTGACTGGAGCTTCGTGGGAGCTGAACGCTCTCGTGGACATGTCCTACTCAATTCACAAAGGCGAACCCTTGACCTGTCCCGCTGATGTGGTCTTGATACCCTCCAAAGTCGAGCCTAAGAACTGTCATGAAGACGCACTTTGGATGCGAAAATAGTGTAGCCTATAAGGGGATACGTAGCTTGTGCATCTCCGACAACCCAGGTGTCCTTTGTACCTACATCACCAACAGTCTCGTTCTAAAGCTATCATGGCAAGCCCGCAATTCAGACTTCCCTCGCCATCGAGCGAGCGCTCTCCATTGTTGCCCTTCAAAGGTGCATTCCCTTTCAGGTTGATGCAACGAGCTAATCATGCTGACCACATCCAGATCCTCCAGGCTCTCGCGACCCATCCGCCAGCCGCCTCAGCAAGTCCGAGATCGTCGCGGGACCGTCGTTCTCCGTAGTGGGCTCAACGCAAGGCCCGAACGCCGAGCACCTGCGCTTCTTCCGCCGTGCTCTGGGCATCCACTCCGGAGCCGCTGCCTCCTCCGGTACTGGTGACCTCGAACGCAGTCATACGGCCCCGTCCACCGGCATCTACGCCTCTATCCTCCGCGAGCACGCGATAAAGAAGTGGCAGCGTCGCATTCTCACTGCTACCATCTACGCTTGCCACATCGCACAGATCATCATCGGTGCGGTCCTCACGGCCCTTGGACCCTCATCTGCGATTCACGCCGTCAGCATCACCATCCTCGGAGCGACAAACACCACCGTCGCGGGCATAATGGCTCTCGTCAAGGGACAGGGGCTTATGCAAAAGCTGAAAAATGAGGAGCTCGAGCTTATGCAGGTCAAGGGATGGGTCGAGGAAACCGAGGCTTTGATGGAAGCTGGCATTGTCGGCGGTGATCGCGAGGAGGCGAGCAGGCTCGTGGCTGAGGGATATAGGCGGTACCGGGCCGTCATGACGGAAGGGAAGCCTTTGGACGGGCTGGGATTGCGAACTAGCGATGATCATCGCGTCGCCGATTCCTGGCGGCGAAGCTGGGACAGCGCAATTGGTAGGATGCGTCGCCAGACATAAGCTTCTGTCAACCATGAGTAGTAACGAGAAATGGGACGTCGAGATGACGGTAGCCCACAGAAGTCGATCTGTGTTTTACCATTTTGTGATAGGATATTCTAAATTTGCAACATGTGATTATATCAAACTCTCCCGGTCGAATCATGCTAGCCCACCACATCCGAGTCTTCCTGATATCGCTCCCCAGCATGCAACAAGGGCATATCATCCGTCACCCCTTTCACCTCATTAAAGCACCACTCTGTACCCCCCAGACCGTTGCAGAGTGCCTTGCCGAAGCCACCCTCAGGCACGTCCCCGCCCTTCTCGGCCGCCCCCTCGCCGAACAGGTACAGCGGATCCACCGTCCCGATAGACAGGCTCACCTTGCCCTCGTCAGACCTCCAGTACAGAAACGATCCGCAGCTTCCGCAGAACCCGCGCTGCGCTTCCGGCGTCGCGGAGTATGTCTTGAGCGCCTCGGTTGGCGTCGTCCAGGTGAGGGCCGAGGCGGGGACGAAGAAGACGGCGAGAAAAAGGCCGCCTGTCTGCTTGCGGCATTGGGTGCACTGGCAGAGGCGACTGGCTGCGGCAAAGTCGTGGGAAGGGGGAAAGGTGATTTTGTAGCGGAGGGCTGTGCAGAGGCAGCTGCCGGTGATGGTGTCGGGGATTGGTCCGAGGGACATTGTGTTGGTGATGGCAACAATGTAACTTTGAGTAGAGTTTTTTCTTTGCAACGGTATGCTGTGTAGAAAACTTTCTACTAAAAGTTGACTCTTTTTCTTTCGTTTTGGCCCTTTTTATAGCAAGCATCAGGCATTACGTCGTTGTGAGGGGAACTCTGTCAAAGACGCCCTTACGCTCGGTGAGCTCGGTGTCAGACTGGTGTGGTCGGTGAATACTGCACACGTGGTGATCATCACCATCTCTAGGGTACTCACTGAAGGACGACCCCAAAGTTGCCATGCATAACGGGGCTATGCCCAGTTTACGAATTGTCTTGCTTGTGTCGTCTGCTTCTGTTCAGTTCCGAATTTCCACCGTACTCCGTTCTCACGATGACAATCTACCTACAACCTCGGCGCTTTCCTCAACAATCACCTCGCAAATCCCAGTGCCGCCGCCAAAAGAAATCTGGGCTACAAGGGGCGCATATCAGTGCAATGTGATGTATACATTTATATGGCATGATTCCTCGGGCTAATCGTCACACTTCCGGGCGGGCGGTTCTCGCTTCGGCATCAGCTTTTCTTCTTCCTCTGAAGCTGCGTAAGACAGGGAGGCGCGGCTCTTGATCCAAGTGCCACACTCCTTTGATTGGCAAGTACTGACAGTCAAAAGGAGGCTAGCTGCACGTTTGGGAGTAAGCCGTGTCGCGAATAAGGTCCGGGCTCGGGCTTTTGAGAGGTCTTTTGAAGCAGATGCCAGGAGCCACCCAACAACGAGCTCGCAACTCGCATTCCAAAATGACGCGTCCTTCAGCTACCATGACAATATGCTGCCGTATCATCGACCAAGCATGTTCGCCGGTCGCTTTGGATAGGAATTTAGCCTTGCCATCTTCACCAACACTTCACCGAGACAGTTGTAGGAGGATTTCTTTCAGAGCCATAGCCGCGCCTACTCAAGTCGAGTTCGAGTTATCAGCGCACGAAAACGCCGCCGAACCTCCAGACTCCTTGTATGAATTCATGATACCCACGACAGACCCGTACGTTCCCGCAATCATCAGGAATGTACCAGACACGATGACGAAGACGCTCCAGAGAACCATCAGCCTCCAGCTCCACGTCTTCTCCGTCTTGCCCCTGGCCCAGTTGTCGTAGAGCCACATGCAACCCATTGGCATGAACGACAGGAAGGTACCGAGCAGCGCGCCGATCAGGGACACGAGGCCGCCGAACACGGGGATGGCGCTGGCGATGATGTAGGCGATGGCCGTCACGCCAAAAGTGCACCCGAACCAAGTGGCCCAGCGAATGATTGTGTTGGACGCGAGGTGCTTGGTGCCGCGGAGGAAGCGGACGAACATGTATTTTCCAGGAAGCTTTTCGGAATCAGCTCGGCTTCTGGGACCTGACCAAGGCGAGACAAGGCCGGGTGAGGGGGAGGACTCACATGGATCACGAGAACGGTCGTCACCATCAAGCCCGGCAGAGCCAGGCCATAACACACCTTCTTCATGGTTGTTCCGGCAGACCCCAACGCAGGCGACGCCACAAACGAGCCGCAGAAATAGTACACAACACAGCCGATCGCAATGTAGATGGCCGTGACGCCTGACTGGCAGATGATGAGGGACCGAGTGTAGAGTTTGGGGTCGCGCATCTCCGACGCGATGGCGAAGAAGGCAGGTGTGCCGGCGAACGCAAAGACGATGGCGGATACCGCCGTGATTGCCTCGGTGAAGGATGGGTGGTTGATGATCTTGAAGTCAGAGGACCACTCGCCAGTCTGCGGCGCAGACGCGGGGCGGTCCTGGATGCCGACTGCGACAGTCACGGTGAGAACTGCGAGCGAGGAGGTCAGAGGAAGCTCAGATTGGCATCACATGGGTCCTGAAGAAGACAAACTGGATGAAAGAATGCAAATCAGACCGATCCATGCAAGCCAGCTGATGCGACCGAGGGTCTGGATGCTTCCGAAGAGAAACCCAACGATGGCGGCCACGGCGACGAATACTGCGGTGCAAGTGCCGTGGGTGGACACAGCATTGAGGCCGATGGAGATGCCCAGCATGCCCGATCCAGCTACAAAGATCCAGTCTTCTACGATTAGCAGTGCTCAGAACTTCCTCCTCGCATGCGAGGTCCATGACTTACAAAGACAGAACGCAACGCCCAAAACCTCCCGACCGATGCGGCCAAACATGAGCTGGCCAGCATCATCGATGCTGTACACCTCGCGATGCTTAAGCTTGAAGACGCCGACGATGTAGTCCGACCATGTCGTGATGGCAGAAATGGCACACAAGACGAGGACACCCGGGACGATACCCAGCGTGTCGAACGCCGCGGGGATCGACAGGACGCCAAGTCCGATTTGTGTCTTCATCATGAGGGCTACAGTACCAAGCCATCCCACCTACTTGGCATCAGACGTTCTGCCCTCATTGGTCATTCACAAACATGGGGAAAGGCTCACATTTCGGTAGTTGGGGCCTTTCCCCGATATGTCGCCAAAGACAGCATCGTGAGATGAGGCAGGATCATCGATGACCTCACCGACCTCGGAGGAAGGCGAACCACTTTCTTGCAGTTGAGACTTGCGACTCCATGTTTTCAACATATTGTCTGATGTATTGGACGTATCGTCACACGAGGACTTTGAGGAAATGGGAACGCAGAACTAGACAATGAAGCCTGGGGAAAGCATGTTTTCCATGTGTCCCTCAGTAATCAAGGCCCGGGCTGAAGATATATGAGACCGTACCACGGGGGGCCCGAAGAAAGCTTAGACAATAACATTATGATCAACGCCTCACTGTATTCATGAATCAAGATACCTGCACACGAAGCAGCAGCATTCCCTGCAATCGAAAAGCAGCCGTTCCGGCCGGCCGTTCCACTTCTCCCAGACATGACGCTTTAGCGTCTTCGAAAGGCATTCCAGCTATCGTCTGCCGGGGTGGTGTGGATCACGGAAGGCCACCCGAGGTTACGTCCAAGGAACGGGTCACCTCCCGATGTCGTATGTTTTGCATCGCAACACCCTCAAGCCCACGCCCGAATCGTCAACGGCTCTCCTCGTTGAAGAACGTCAGGCTTGATAGCGTTGCGCTTCCCCATGGGGTTTGAGGCCCACTGCGATGCGCCGGTGGCTTGTCAAACCGTCTCAGCCCCCCTACCTAACTTTAGGTAGACAAAACCCGCGCGATGACCAACAATGGTGAAGCTGCATCCCAGCCCGCGATAGTGGAGCTGGTAGACGGAAATGGATCCGGCGGGGCAGGAAAGCGAGGGGTGATGATAGCAGGATCGACTCTCCTTTCTGATCTGCCATCAGCTTGATTGACAGTCAAGCATTGCGGTGTGCCGCCCTGTGGAGGAGCATTGAGCGGGTCATATCTTTCGCAGAAGTTGGTCGACCTGACTCAAAGTTGGCCGGCGGTCATCGCGCCGAGTTTAAGATGCCGGCCATGTGCCTGCCTTCCGATTCTCACCGCACGCTCCGCATCCTGATTGTTGGCTGCAGCTGAACATGTCGGAGCATTATCACGGCACTTTTGACAGTACTTGCGGACGACGACGGTTCTTGTACAACTGGCTGATAGATGTTTGGTTCTTATCACTGGTCCAGAGAAACACTGCATGGCACTGAAGTGAGCGTGGTGTGGTGTATGGATGGTTGTTTTCGCTCTGCACAACACCACGACCAACCGCGCAGTACGAGGGTGAACCTGGCTGTCGCATGAAGGGAGGCAGGCCGACTGGAATGCAGTTTGTCGACATCCTTACTGTAGACCCTTATGGGAGGGTAAAGTCGCAGCGAGGTTTTGGCAGGATGGTAACTATTTACCTCTCTAGGTATCTTAGGGGGTACCTGAGGTAGGTTTATTGCATGCCCAGCGCTGAAGTCGTGCATTGCCATCGTCTGTTGTTAAACAGCACCTGGAGGTGTGCTAAAGAACGCTGAAAGATGCCATATATGGAATTTTCCACGTCGGTCAAGTCGTCGACTATTTGCTTCGTGACTGTTTGCACTCGGGGTAGGTAAGGATCTAAGACCGTAGGCAAACCAGGTCATGTCAAGTGGCAAGCGATGGGATAAGATCCTGCTTCCACAAAACCAGGCAGATAGGAGGAAATCAAGACTTGCAGTTCGATTGAGGTCAATCAAGGGTCCAAGTGACGATGCCCTCTGGTAAGACGTGATGCTTCATTTTTAGTCATTCTCCTCAACGCGTGATAGAGCAGGAAACCTCGAGGCCAACTTAAGAATGGCAGGCACCCATGAGACGCTGAAGTGTCGCGCCTGACGGCCACCTCCGTAGGGAGGCCGTTCGTCACAAAGTCCCTACCTACGGTACCCAGGCGAGTCATGGCCCCCCAACACCCCCATCGTACCCCGCATTGGTACGTTTCCAGCGTATCCATCTCTTATCATTGCCAAACATCTACCATAGCAATAGCCGGGTGAACCCTCGATCAATCTATGGCTGAGTATCATCATTTCTCGCCTGGTCGACAGACATTTGTCTCGCCTTAGACCTCTTGTTATTCAATGCCACACCGACGACCAAGTGCCGGCGAAGGGAGTGCAGCTATGGAGACTGGCGCGGCCCGATCGCAAGACCGTGTCTCCAAGCGAACGTCGAATGCGTATGTATCATTTTACCTGTGCTCAACAGCCTGTCAGTCGCAAGACCCGAGTTCGTCTGACTCAAGTGTAGGTGTGTTCGCTGCCGTCGTTTGAAGATCAAATGTTCCGGCCTCCAACCTTGCGATGGCTGCTCGAAGAGGAGGGTGGCCTGCGAGTTTGATCAGCGCGACCAGAAGATCGTTGTGACGAGAGGGTAGGAGCATGCAGTTTATCAGCTTCATCGGAACACTCCTGATCATGGGTCTCTGTAGTTATCTCATGGATCTTCAGAATTCTGTCCAAGAAGCGGAACATCGCCGTCAGAGAAGGGATTCTCGTGGATCACCAATTGGTGAACGGGCAGGTCAACGCTCAAACGAAGAGGGTAAGCACCCTACCGAAGATCGCATCTCGGATTCATCGTCAACTCACAAGACCAGAGCTGACTATATATTGAACTACCTAGAAATAAGTTCGTCTGTCAATGGGACAGTGCAACAGCAGGAAGCAGCAGGCGGCCCCTCCAACACGTATGCCACGCCAAGGTCGGAGGACACAGGTTTCCAAGCGCCAGCGCTACAAGAGTCCCCAGATCACACTGAACCAGCTTCCCTTGCTGTGGAGAATCCTCTTTCGCTCCGACATGCGGAATTCACGACTTCCGCTGCGGGAGTCACATGTGAGTCTTCCAGGCTGGCACCACCACTGGCTATCCGACATGATTCTGACAGCCAGATTACCTGGGCACCTCTTCCAACTGGTCCTTCACTCGCCGCGTTCTGAATCTTACCCACTCGCAAGTCTGCAACTCTCCGGCGCCTCCACAGGCTCTTATCTTTGATGGCGGCGTCTATGAAATCGACTGGGGACGCCTCAAGATGGGTTCAGACGACCCGAATCTTCTGCCCGAACTCCCGACCCTTGACCACGCCATCTTCTTGATCAACACAGTTCAGTTCAACTGCTGTCAGCTGTTTCACCTCTTCGACACGGCGGAGTTTATGGAATCGTGTCACGAGTTCTACGCAAACCCGACCCCCGACATTGCATCCGCTGGCCTGTGGTACATCCACTTTTGCCTCGTCATTGCACTCGGAAAGGCGTTTCAGTCGCGACGGCACGGAAGTGACTTACCTTTTGGACAAGAGTTCCTGCTATCAGTATTTCGGCAGTTCCCTAATACTGGAGCTCTCATCCAGCAGCCGCTTCTCTCGGTAGAGATTCTCTGCTGCGCAGCACTTTGCCTACAATGCATCGATCATCGCCATTACGCCCACTCTATGGTAAGAAAAGGTGCATTTCAACGTGAATAGAACGCGAGATAACAGTATTTCAAGATTGGGGAGGCCCTGAGAATATCGCTGTTTCAAGGCTGGCACACCGAAATGCCGCCATTGGAGCTTGGTGATCGCTACGTAGAACGTTGTCGGCGGGCATGGTGGACGGTCTACATACTGGACCGTGAATTCACGTCCTTGATGGGTCTCCCGCTGACGATCCAAGACGACGACGTCAACTGCCCTCTGCCCAAGTTTGACGGCCAGATGCAGCGAATGGCGACGCTTGAGATGCAAGTCAAGCTGTGCCGCAACATCGCTGACATCAACAAAAGTAAGAGCATCAGTCGCATATTCGTGGCATCATTATTAAGCACCTGACTTAGGACTTTACGGGGGCGGAGGAAACTTGCATCGGAAATACCTTTCTCGGGCCAAAGAAATTCTCGGTAACATAGCCGATGTTGCAGAGGAGCTCAAGACAGCGTTCCCTCTTCAGCCGAAGGAAACCATGAACGGAATCTCCAGGACAGCTTCTCACTTGCATTTGCTATATCACAGGGTAACGCACTGATTTGAGCCATATGGAAGTCGAGGTGTCCTGACCGATCGTTTAGTGCATCACGCTCGTGACGCGACCGCTTCTTTTCTACCTTCTCAAGACGCGCTTCGCTTCATTCAACGAGTACTTCAACACTTTGGAGTCTCTACCAACAGTACGAAACCTCGTAAGAATGTGTATTGAGTCTTCTCAGACCATGGTCTCCATTCTCGAGTGTTTGATGAATCAGGGCCTGCTCGGTAAGTCATCGCTCAACTCGGCATCTCACGTGAATTCTGGGAGGCTCATTCACCAGGTGCATTCTTTCCCTATGACACTGAAGCCATCTTCGTATCTACTACAAACCTGCTCCTCGGCCCAGCCGTAGATCCGCAGTTTATCAATGGGGGTCGGATATGGCTGCAGAGGGCGTTTGTCGTTTTTGATGATATGATTAGCTGCGGAAACCAAGTGGCCAAATTCCGCAAAGACGAGCTTCTGCAGTTGGATGAGCTACTGGAACTTTTTGGGACTGTGGCCCCCCTTCACAGGCCGGAAGCAACAGGGGCCGATGCCACAGCGCCAGCAACACAGAGCCACGACGACCCGAATGAGCCTGATGTGCCTCCGGCAGACTTGGCACCAGGAGGCCCGGCTGGCGACGTGTATGAGCAACTTCAGGCTGATGATGGGCCATCGAGATTACAGATTGTGGATCCCATGCTAGGAGATACCTTTGGGGCTGGCTTCAGCAAGGAGCAGATAATGGGCGTGGCAGATGCCATTGATGACGAAGACATGGCTTGGATGTGTGAAACGATCATGGAGCATAGCAGTATTGGACAGCATTGAAAGAAGTATCGCGAACGGCAGACATTGTATGAAAGGAGGGACATTTGACTCGTCATCGGGGCGTCGGAGCGGTATCGCCTGCATTTATCGTTATGCTGAGCATATTGTCAACATTTCACAGAATCATGGACTCGAATGGGAGCCATTCGGGATTGATGCTACTGTATGCTTCTCAGAATCTATAATTGGAGAGAGGTGGTGAATCAGAAAACTCACGGGCTACATTGCGCCCTCTTTAAACCTACTCTTCAAACCTACAATTTGGAGCTCTTAGGATTCGTCAGGTCCTTCAACTCTTTGGTAGCTCCCAAGCGCCAGCTCACTGCACCGCCCCAGTCCTTGCCTTCAGTCGAAACGGGGGCCTTCCACCTGAACTTCGAGATAGGCTGCTTGCCATCGGTGGCGAGGAGCATATCCCTGACCCAATTGCCAACAATGGGAAACATTTTGAACCCATGGCCAGAGTCACCCGACATGAGCAACACTGTTGAATCCGTGTTGGGTACATAGTCGATGATAAAGTCCGAGTCGTTGGTATCAGCAAACCAGCACAGAGACTGTTTGATAAGCGGCCTATCAGCAAGAGCCGGCAGCGTCTGCGCAAGCAGACGGCGAACCTGCCGTTGGTCATGCGGCGGCATGAAGCTGTTCTCGCCCGGCACCTCAGGTGCGTGCGAGACGCCCGTTTCGGGGTCCGTGTTGACGTATCCTCCACCCATGGGACAGAGCTTGAGCAGATTCGTCTTGAGGTCCGGTTCGAAAAAGAAGCCGAGATCCCGGGCATAGGTCACGGGCACGCCGCGCAGGGCCGAGGCCTCGTCGTCGGTCAGTTGAACGTGCGCCACGGACCATGATTTGGCGACGACGTGCTGACCGCATTCTGGGACGAGGCGGGCGGCAGCCGCGCCTGCGGCAACGATGACGAGCTTGGCGGGGAAGTCGCCTGTCTTCGTCCTGGCACCGGTGCTCTTCCGCGGGGTAGCTGGGTTGGAGGGCTCGTTGTAGATGATTTCCGTCACGGCGCCGCGGTCGCCTGTGTAGAACTTTACGCCTCGCTCGCGGAGGAATCGATACACGCCTAGCAGCGCGTTGGCTGAGTGGGCGTAGCCGCCAAGACGGTTGAGATACCCCCGCCAACCTGTGAGCGGGCCGTCATTATATTGCCAGGTGTGCTGGCGGATATCTTCCGGTCCTTCGATGGGGACCACGTGCTTCTCGATCCACGGATCCCGCTTGGCCGAGTCGTGGAAGCGGGCTAGAGTCGCTGCGGCTCTTTCTGGCGCACTGCCTGAGACGCAGTGCAGGAAGCCGGTCTGGTGGAAGTGAGGTGCGAAAAGGGGAGTTTGCCAGGCGCGAATCGCTTCCTTTGAAAGGTTAGCTACGGGTTACGACAGTGCACATAATCTGATCCCTGCCAGGGAAGCGGGATCAGGGCTCGATTCCGTACCAGTGTGAGCTCTGTGTAGAAAGGGTCCTCGTACTCGGCTCGAATTATCTTGTTCAGGTCGTTGGCGGCTGAGAACCTTGACGGAAGAGTGTCATCCTTTTCTAACACTGTAATGTTGATGAAGCGAGCCTCGAGAAGACGTAAGGCTGTTGAGAGACCGAAGGCACCCGCGCCGACGATTACGATGGGATCTGACTTGAGGAGGGGCATGATTTTGAGGGGGGGGGGGATAATTGTGATACGACTAGTGCTGCTCGAGACTACTACGTGGTAATCCTTACACCTTCCATTTGTAGGGATTGACTTGTACAATGGAACGGTTCAACCGCAGCGATCCGATGTCCGTATCAGCGACGGGGTATCCCCGCTTGAGGGTCGGAGGAGCCGGCCGGTGAGTCCACCCACAGATGCCGAGCTTTCGAGAACCTTGTCGGAGACGAACCCGAGTTAATTTATGGGTCTACGCGGAAGCCTTTCCGTTATCAGCGTCAGCCAAAGGCGCTGATTGTCCCGGACTTTCGTCTCCTCCGTCAGCCAAGGGTATTGATTGTCTGACATTTGGCTACGAATAAGGAAACTGGCAGGTTGGGGCCGTGCAAGCGGCTCTTGATGTGTTGAGGGTAACGCCATTTACGAAACATGTATGGCTAGAGTCTTCCAAAACATGACGATGCTGTAGACACCAGTGTTGATACAGAATCATGACTTTGAACATCATTCGATACAATTAGAAGCTTATCGTTGACAAAATCAACATGGCCGCACCAGCTTCGAAGCTCAAAATATTTCATTGACAAAAAAAAACGTCACGCCGAAACGCATCATTGTGCGTTAATAATTAAGTGATGTGATTTTCCAACCAAGAAATGCTCAATATCTGACAAAATCACCCGAAATACCTTTCCAGAATGATATGCATAGCTCTAACTAATCGTAAACACCAGCTACTACTCCCCTCAATCGTTGCTGGGGTACTTGAACTCCTCCAGAGGGAAAAACTCCTCCTTGATCATCCTCGGGCTGGTGAAGCGGCGCAGAATGTCGGAACTACCTGCCTTATCATTGGTGCCACTGGCACGAGCACCGCCGAATGACTGCTGGCCGATGAGAGCAGCCGTGGTCTTACAGTCTATTCAGTCATTGTCAGCATTGCTCCTAGGCAAGAGGGAACCAGCTGCGAGTTTGACTTACTGATGTAAAAGTTGCCAGCCGAGTACCGGAGGGCATCTTCGGCCTCTCGAATGGCACGACGGTCCGTGGAGAAGACGGCGCCGGTGAGAGCTAATCCACCGCCGTTCTGGTCGACGCTCTTCAAGAGGTTGGTCCAATCTGCGTCCTTGTACACGTGGATGGTCAAGACGGGCCCGAAGATCTCTTCGTTGAACAACTTATGGTCGGGCGAGTCGGCTTGGTAGACGGTTGGGCTGATGTAGAAACCAACCGAGTCGTCGTAGGTCCCACCAGCAAGCAGCTTCAAAGAAGAATCTTTGTTTGCAGCGTCAATGATGGACTTTATCTTGTCGAATGATCGACGGTGAACCACGGGACCCATGAAGGCGCCCATGTCGCCATCTGGGCTGCCCATCGTGACGTCCTTGACGCCGGCTTTCAGAAGGGAAATGAACTCTTCTGCACGAGACTCAGGGACGTAAGCTCGGGATGTGGCCGAGCATTTCTGGCCTTGGTACTCGAAAGCGCCACGGATGGTGTGGTTTACGACGCTGGGAATGTCGGCGGTGTTGTGGACGAGGTGGAAGTTCTTGCCGCTAGTCTCACCGACCACTCTGGGGAACTCGCGATATGTCTTCTTCGCGATACCTTCGCCGATTCTGCCGTACAAAGACCGGAAGATGTCCGAAGACCCAATGAAGTTGAGGCCGGCAAAGTCATGGTGGCTGAGCGCAACGTCGGTGACTGTCTCGGCGTCACCTGGAACAAACTGGACGACGTTGGGCGGCAAACCGGCCTCTAAGAGAATGTTGTAAACGATCTGGCTGGCATAGATGCTGTATTGTGAGGGCTTCCAGAGCACGACGTTGCCCATCAGTGCTGGACCAGACACCAGGCTTCCTCCGAGGGCGGTGAAGTTGAAGGGCGACACAGCGTAGACGAAGCCTTCGAGAGGGCGGTAATCGAGACGACTGTGCTTTGTTTTAGCACGGTTTTTACAAAGTACAAGGATGATCGAGATTATTGCTTACCTCCAAATACCGTCGGAGCCACGTGTGGGCTGCCGCGCATGAAGCTCAGCCGCATAGTGACAGTTTAGGCGGAAAAAGTCAGCAAGCTCGGCAGCCGCGTCGATTTCGCCCTGCCAGACATTTTTGCCCTGGCCCAACATCGTGGCCGCAATGAGCTCATAGCGGTACTTACCCGTCGCCAGCTCGGCTGCCCTCTGGAAGATGGCCGCCTTGTCGACAAATGGAGTCTCCTCCCATTCTTTCTTCGCGCCGAGGGCCGCCTCGATTGCTGCTGAGATTTGGTCCCTCGTCGCGAGCGGGTAGTTTGTGAAGACCTTCTGGTGCTCCGACGGCATCACCTGGTCGTCGGAGCTGGAGATCTTCTGGCTTCTGCCATCGTAGAAGATTCCGCTCTTCACCGGGAGCTCTGATCGGAGCTTTTTGAGGGCTTTTTCTACCTTGGATCGCTCAGGGGAGCCTTTGACATATGTTGGCTTACGTACATAGTGTCAGCAGTAATCGGATTAGCTACATGGCGGGAAGGGGAACACACGTTGGCCTCATTTCTGGCAGCAGGAAGAGTGAAAGGCAATGTGACATTTGTTCTTTTCTGCGCAGCCAAAGCGGTTGTCGAAGGCGAAATCTTGAAGGCAACAGGTCTGGTCGTGCCGGAACGGATCAGGTTTTTCGTTGTGAGCATGTTGACGGCAATTACTTTTGCTAGGTACCGGGGATGAATTATTCAGTTGCGGGTGAAAACCAACGAGTGCATTGGCGGACCAAAACAAACACGAACAGAAGAAGTGTATTCTTGAAATCAGACAAACCAAAGGCCGAAGCTCGAGATCTTGTAGAGCAAAGCTGACATTCGATTGACCCTGGAGCCATGATAGCAGAAATTAGGGTAGCTCCCGGCCCCTCTGCGGAGTTGGTTCGGGCGGGGCGCTGTCGGATGCTGACCCGGCCGGTGAAGGGGTATCGGAGATGGGGTTCCGCATGACGGCGGCTGACCCGACTGGATCGTGTCCTGCCCCTCACCACCGTGATCACTGAATCTTCGGGTGGAGGGAAGAAGTAGGAGTCCGCCAGCCCATCTTACTAGACCACTCGCGGCTGACATCGCATCCGCCGGCGGTGGGCTAGCCGCGGCGCTGATATCTCCAATACTTACAATCATGGACAAGCTACCAAGAAGCCTCATATCAAAGCAACATGCCCCAAGCTGCCCTTGTTTCGGCCCATCATGGCGCAAGCGACAACCGGCCAGATTCTACTTCGCACCCTAACATCGATCAGGGTCGCTACTCTGAGGAAGCCAGGGCACTTCATCACGTCAAAGCCTTCGGGAATCATGTTGGCGTACGCGACGACCTGCGTTGTGGCAATTAGAACCAATATTCTTTACAAGGAGCTCACAGGTAAAACATCTCGGGCACCAATAGTCTTCCTGTCGGACTTTATGGTCAACGTTCCTCTCGGGGTCTAGAAGCATGCTCGTTTCTTGCAGATGCAAGCCACGGAAACATTTTCGCTCCAGGAAGCAGCGTTGATTACCTTGACCCAAAATTACGAATAAGGGCTTAGACATGTCTACGACAGCGCCGGTAATGGCATTCTGTTCCGCTACGCCCTGACAGTCTTCAGATCATTCATCCTGCCCGACTGGCCCAGTGAGTCCCAAAACGATGCTGCCTGACGAGAATCCATGCGCAGCGCTGGTGCATATTCTTGGTATCAATAGCAAGAACCCTTGATCCCCCTATGAGTACTCCCCTACTGACGAGTATCGTTGACGTGAGGGTTCTTGCCCATCTGCCGAGCGATCGTGACAGCCTCCCTTAAGGCCTTGCCGATATGCCCCCTAACTGCGCCCTCTTCCAAGACCATGAGTCCTCCAATAGTGCAACCCTCCGGAGAAGTCCCCTGATCCTTGAGTAAGGCGGGATGAAGGCCACCTTGCATCATTGTAGCCGTGCCAAGCATAGACTGGAAAGTCATAGTATGGGCCAGAGGCCGGGGCACGCCAACAGCGACGGCCGCGTCGATGAGGGCATCGCAGACGACAGCAAAGAAGGCGGGGGTCGAGCCACCCAAGGCTGTCGTAGCGTCCATGAGAGCTGGAGGAATGTGAACCGTCTTGCCAATCTGATTGAATATGGTGTCGCACAGCTCAAGGGCCCAGTCTGGGGGGGCGGGATCCGATATCTCAACGGCGGTCAGGGACTGGGCTACTTGGGCGGCAACGTTGGGCAGCGTCCGTATAACCCATGTACGACCGCTATTTGCATTGGAACTGTTGGTTGGCGTGCCAAAGATGGTCTTTTCGAGGTCCTGCCGAGTCCAACCTGCGGCGACGCTGATGAGGAGCCTTGGGCGGCCGTTATTAGTGGACGATAAGGCTTCAGCTACACCTTGCTCTTTAAGGGTGGATGCTATATCGGCGGGATCGACTGCGAGAATAATCACGTCGGCTTTCTTCATTGCTTGAAGATTCTTGCCGGAAGATACGGTGACGGTGTCTGCGTTGGTGCGGAACTTATCTGCTAGCTTTTGTTCAGTTGCGCTGCTGCGGACACAGACGGTGAAGCGCTGGATGGGCAGCTTTGTGGCATCTGCCGTTTCAGGGGGGGTAACAAGGTTCTGCAGGATCGCGAGACCCAGGTTTCCTGGAATTGGACACGTCAGAAGGAGGGATGGTCTCCGAAAGCACACGGTGTGCAACATACCACAGCCCAGCATACACAGCGTCAAGCCATCCATGTCTTCAACTCCCATCTCGATTCACTTGCAGCTGGTTGGATGAAAGACGCTCTGACGGTCTTTCTTAGTTCTGACCGTTATATTAGATATATGTTGGGGAATCAACGTGTAGAGACAACACTGAACCGTTGGAGAAGCGGGGGCTGGAGGCCGAGGCGGAAGCAGAAGCCGGGGTGGTGCCGTGACGCGCTTTTCTCGGCATCCCCGCACTACATCGGCATTGTCCTCTCTGCCTAACTTCACTACGCAATACTTCTCGCGCGAAGAGTCGGGCATAAACGGCTCGTCTCCCGACTTATCGCACTGATTAGCCACAGAGTCAGACATGATTCCGACGCATCTTGATAGCCTGTATTCTTGATCAAGGTACCTTTGTACGCAGGGAAGGTACGTACCTAGGTAACTAACGCCTAAACCCAAGCCGTCCTCGGATCTCCTTCTTCAGAGCTCGGTACTCATCACTGCTCCTCGAAACCGCATCCCTGTTCTCCGCTGCCCTCCTCATCAGATAAGCCAGGCACTGCCCGAGTGTACCCCATGTGGAGCACTTGTATACACCCGGTGTATGGTCGCCACGTGCCCCCATCTGCACCAGATCAAAGCTGAGATCATCAGACATGCCATGCAGCTGGGCGAAATCCAGCTGAACAGTCTGCAGGCCCAGCTGCACGCGGGACTGGTGTGTCTTGTGCGCAGCCATCAAGCTCTCCCTGTTGTGACTCGCAAGAAAGAGGTTGACCGACGGGAACGGGAGCCCGCCCGGCGCACCGAACCTCCCAATCTCACACTTGAGCGCCCCCTGCGAGATGGCGTTGTACGCATTGTCCGTGTCCTGCTTCGTGTCGTGGATCAGAGACCTCTTGTCTGAAGACATGTAGGCCCCGCGGACGAGCTTCAGGCCGAGCGTGAACCCTTCCTCGGCGGCCTGCTTCAGGTGTGTGTCGAGGGTTGCCGCCGTGCTCTTCAGATACGCCTGATACGTATTGTAAATCCGTGCACAGCCGTCGCGGTTGTAGATGTGGGCTAGCTCCATTCCCACTAGGAAAATGCCCTTTTGGTAATGCTGGGACTCGGCGTCGATGATGATGCGAGCATTCTTGCTCCTTGCCCGACGGCAAATCTCGTGGAGCACGTCCATCATCGCTTTGGGTGGAAGCCGTCCTGCGGTCAACGCATCGCAGACGAGAGGACCAGCTCCAGTCAGCCTATCTTTGGGTTAGTCTTCGACAATCTCAAAGCGGGAGTCCCTGGCTTACTTGAGAGCGAGCTGATCGCCATCACCCAGCAAATCGACTGTCTCGAGTGTCCCTTCGGCCCAGGGCCCGAGATATTCGCATTCGCCCCTGTCTGTTTCAATTGCTGCCCCTTGCCGATGGACTTTGTTGGTTACTTGATCAAAAGAGGTCTCTTTAGCGTAGGTGAGAATCGTCCCCCGGAATCCAAAGTCTTTCATCTGTCGAAGGGTGCTCCTCGCCTCGGACGCCGTCTCTCCGGCGCAGAATTGCTTGTAAAAGGTATTCTTCAGAACAAAATTCAAGACGGGATTCTTGTTCACGTTGAAGAAAATGCCGCCAGACGTGCTTGTGAGCCATGACAGGCACGCCAGCGAAGCGCGGAGGAGATAGGGCTTGGATGAGATGGCGGCGAGGAACCAAGATCTTAGGAGGACAGTACTTGGGAGGACGGAAAGTGGTGATTTTGCTTTTGTCAGCTCTGGGGACCTTTCTCCCGTCTGGGCTGGTTTTCCAGCGAGGCTGGTGACTTGTCTCCTGCTTGGGGAAGCGGTGATGCCGGGAAGGGCTCTTGGAGAACTGATACGTGGCCAGGCTCTGTTAAGCTGCATCATTGCTGATTTTGTGTTGCGACTCATGGTAGTTATGATTTACCTCGCTTTGAGACGTCGTCTAGAGAATCTTAAGTCGAGCTTGTTGAAGGGGGGACATCCTGCCCCATTAACAGGTTCATCGTAATCAGATGCCGATGCATCGGTACCCAATCCGTTGATACATACGGATCAATGAGGCCGTTTCGATATGCCTCTAGCTAGCACGGGAATACAAATATTCAAAGGCGGGATAAGACGGACTAGCGATAAGGTGGTGCCGTCATGGGGCTCTGCAGCGAAAGTCGTACACCATGAGAAGGTGTTCATCGGAAAGGATGCCGTAAGACGGAAAGCGTGGGACGGGATACGCTCCCGTTGCCCAGGTACTATAGGTACCTTAGGTAGGTACTTACTGGAAGGAAGCTTGCCCCAGGAAACGTCATGTGGTTGTCGAGGGCTCGGCGATGACTATGTGGAAAGTTAAAATACCATTGAAACAATTTGGGTGACCAGAAACTTACAGAGACTTCAAGAGACAAGTGAAAATGATATAATCGTGGTCGCGGTGACGGGCGGTAGCTAAAACCCTTAATTTAACATGTCAAAGCAAGATGCCCTCTTCTACAGGGAGGCGTAGGTAGACCTCTGCAAGTTACTCCCCCCAATCATGTGAATATTGTTGGGGGGTCAAGGGTCTGAGAAGAAAGGTGTGTATTGGGAAGCTATTCTGTAGGCAGGAGGGTGCCTGGAACTAAGCTATGGGAGGTGCCAGGGCACAGGCCACCTGGCAACAGGTGAATGCCCTGCAAGCCCCAAGTGAATACCACCAACAAATATTAGTCGCTTTGGTCAGTGGCTACTGTTCTGTGAGTACCTTTGTACCTTGCCGTGAATGGGATAGAAAGTCACCGGGCGATGCTCACCGAGCTCTGGTGATTCTGGGAGCACGTGACCGTTCTGTTCATTGTGTTCGCAATATTAGGCAAATGTCTACAGGTCAGACGTGGCAAACAGGCGGTAGGTCAGGCCATATGGCAGGCCATTACATTCTATTAGCTTTGGAATACGCGGGCTACTTGGCTCGGAGTGAATGCCACCACCAATTGCTACGACTCCGACAACCTTTTCATCGACTTGACTGTTGTGGACTCCCCACGTAACATTACAGTAAGGTACACGGCCGCCACGGCCTGATTGTCTCAGGTGGCGTTAGCAACATGATAGGGCTACGGCCTTGGCATGGATCAATTGCTGCGAAGGCTGCAGGGGTCCCTGTTCATTTGACCGTTACACTCCACTCGTTACATTAAAGATTTAAGTTCAGCAGGGCGCGGGGATCCCGTCTTTATCTGGTGAGTCAGGTAGTATGAGGTGCATTTTGCAGCGTGTCCGAATAAGGTACGCTATGCAGCAAGCAACGCCACGAGCCAAATTCGCAGTGTCGTCCGCGCAACAACCAGGGATGCAGTGCTTCAGGGTCGTGAGGCACATGTCCTCGGATTCGCATCGTGCGCCGATTGGCATGCCAAGCTTGTTTCCCCAGACTCGGTTGGAAATGCGACGGGTATCGTCGCGAATAGCCAATCGAAGGACATTTGATTATGCCAAAAGGGTGCTCCTCCGTGTTTTTCGGGTACAGAGGACGAGGATCTGACGAGGATCTTGACCACGACGGCGGACATTAGGAAGACTCCGAGCTCATGCAAGGTTGAATGACCTTGGCATCTGGGACAAATGTCGCCTCTGCAGGTCCTACATATACAATCACGATGGCGAAATATCTTTGCCGTCACTGGCTCTTCAGTAACCTGAAGTTCAACAGGCTCCAGGCTCGTCACTCATTCAATTCCCCCAGTCATTCCTTGGACCACGGACCATGGCGCGCAGCAGTTTCTTGGCCAAGCTTGCTCTCGGCCTCGGCCTCTTCAGCGGGGCCCAGGCACAGTCGGCCGCTTTTACGGACCCCGATACCGGCATTATTTACCAGCAAGTCACCCGGGGCGCCTATACTTTTGGCATAGCCCTACCTGAGACCCCTGGTACCGACCTCATCGGCCGTATCAGCGTCCAAGGCACTTCAGGATGGGGTGGTGTGTCGCTCGGTGGAAGAATGGCCAACAGCCTTATGGTCATTGCTTGGCCCAACGGTGATGATATCGTTGCATCACTGCGTCACTCTACGGGCTATGCTAGCCCTGGTCTATATGCCGGTGATGCGGCACTGAAGACTATCGCCGCCGGCACGTCTTTTGATGGCACCACCTTCACCTACACCTTCCTCTGCCAAGGATGCATCCAGGCCGACGGCACCACCTTTGCAGCCGACGCCAGCACCGCTGATATCGGCTACGGCTTGGCCGGCGCCAGCGTCAGCGCGCCAACGAACCCCGCCTCGCCTCTGACCTTCCACTCCGGCGGCTTCGGCATCTTTGGCGTTGACCTGGCCGCTGCTCAGTCGTCCCAGTTCGCTACTTGGGCTGCCTTGGCCGACGAGACGGGGGGGCCGCCGGACGGCGGTGGTGGCGAGACTCCGAACCCCGGCAATACCACGGTGCCCATTTCCAACTCGACCTATGACTACATTGTGGTCGGCGGCGGTCCGGCTGGCCTCGTCGCATCTCAGCGCCTCACTGAAACCGGCCGCTCCGTTCTGCTCATCGAGCGCGGCAGGGCCTCTACAGCCTCGACCGGCGGCAACAGGCTCGTCCCTTGGAACCAGAGCCTTACTTACTACGATGTCCCCGGCCTCTTCAGCAACCTGCCGTTTGCTACCCTCGGCGAAGGTTACTGCACGGACACGGCCGCCGTGGCTGGCTGTGTGCTTGGTGGCGGTGGCTCTGTCAACGGCATGGCCTTCATCCACCCTCCAACTTGGGACTTTGACGATGAGTGGCCAGAGGGCTGGACCTGGGACGATGTTGCGCCTGCTGCCGCACGTCTTTACGCAAGGAATCCGGGCACGACGTCTCCCTCCCGTGATGGCAAGTACTACGACAACGAATCGGCCAACGTGCTGGAGCCTTTCCTGAAGAGCCATGGTTGGACCTTCGCCGATGGTATCCAGAACCCTGACGAAAAGGTTCAGTCGTATGGCCCTCCCTCTCTCAATGTAAGTGCACGATTTCTGGGCCATGATTCAGCCTCTCGAATATTTATCTGACAAACTAGATCGCCAATGGCCTTCGTTCCGGTCCTATCCACACCTACCTGCCACTGGCCCAAGCCAAACCCGACTTCAAGCTCGAGCTCAACACCAAGGTCATCCGTGCCATCCGCACCAATTCGACCATTACTGGTGTTGAGGTTGAGAACGCGCAGGGCCGCCAGATCATCAACCTGAAGGCTGGAGGTGCCGTCATTCTTGCCGCTGGCGTCATGTCCACCCCGCGCGTCCTCTTCAACTCTGGTATTGGCCCCTCTGCGCAGATCAACACAGTCAAGTCTGGCACAACGGGCGTCACGCTTCCAGTGGAGAGCGCGTGGATCAACTTGCCAGTCGGCCTTGACGTCAAGGACCACTCTCGCTACGAGATCACCTTCAATGTCACCGATGGCCTGACGACCTACAGCAGCGCCCAGCTGGCCAACCCTACGGAAGAGGACAAGGCCTTGTTCAACGCGGGCTCTGGTGTCCTGACCCAGTCTTTCCAGCGCCTCGACCTCTTCCGCCAGGTCAACACATCCGACGGCCACGTCATCATGTTCCAGTCGCACGTCAACTCGCAAAGCAACGACACCGTTCGGTTCATGATGCTTATGAGCCACGGCCTCACTTCTCGAGGCGAGCTCGCAATCAACGCTGCCGGTAACACCCTCTTCACAAAGGCGCCCTGGACGAACACCGACACGGATCGCGAGGCCTGGTCCATCGCCATCAACGAACTTTTTGACCTGTCGCGCCAGTCCAACAGCCCCATCTCCTTCTCGGGCGGCAAGAATGCCACAGCGCAGGTCATCCTCGACACACCCGTCCAGTCAGGCATTCACATGGTAGGAAGCGCCAAGATGGGCACCGACGACGGTCGCGAGGGCGGCAGCGCCGTGGTTGACCTCAACACGAAAGTCTACGGCACCGACAACCTGTTTGTCGTCGATGCTTCATTCCACCCTGACCTGTCCACGGGTAACACCCAGGCCATCGTCATGGTCGCGGCGGAGCATGCCGTCAAGAAGATCATCACGCTTCGCGAGGGAGGTGGTTCTGGCTGCCGCCGGAGGCCGCGCATTGTGCGCAACTGAGAAGAGTCTGCAAACGCTGGTCTTTGATGTATTCATGTTTTCTTTCCGGTCAATGTTACCAAGTTCTGTCACACCTGTCTATGAATTATGTACACTGCAGCACATAGCTTCTTAACTACAGTATATACATGCCCTTGTAAACGCTCTGCGCCTAATGCGACATCTTGTGTGGCCTGCTTGACTGCAGGCCAAGGCCAGCCCCAGGCTTTTCATTTGCTGCTGCCCTTCCCAAACATCAATGGAGGTGGCGAAGACCGCACGGTTTCAAGCGAAGTCACAGCTCTTTAGGCGTAGCTCGGTTTTTCAAGGACTAATGTGTAGTCTTCAATCTCAGGTCTTAGGTGCCTCAGCTGCCCAGGTGCGGGGAACTGACGTGCTTTGTTCGTCATGAGCGAAGATAAATATTGATCCGCTTACCACGTTATTTCCTAATCGCTGCTATTAACGTCCTCTACTGCCATCACAATAAGACAGAAGCTCGTTACGCGGGTGTCACCTCACGTGGCCATTGTACTCCAATACTGAGTTTCTTCGCAGTGATACAAGTGGCAATGGAACAAAGAAGCAGGATCACCTGGAGAGTTAACATCATTGCAAATCGTTAAGCATACTTTGACCGACGTGACCCGACCGGAACCATACCGCCTCCCCCACAAACGGCAGCCCGAATGGCCGAACGCCCCATGACGGCTTGATCCACTCCTCCACCGAGCCGCCCAGTCCGCAGATACCCGTTACAGTCCCGCATGCGGCCAGTGTGCAACAACAAAGCTGAGTCGAGGCGGTCGCTTTATCAGAAAGCCAGGGAGGGAGCACGGCGCCGAGCCTTTTCTGAAATTTGCCGCGCGTTCCCTCGTGACCGCCAAGATCCAATCGCACCTTGTCCAAGCCAGCCTCAGACCTATCCCATGGCATGCCAAACCTTTGCCAAGCTGATGCCAAGTTCCTGGAGAAAAACACCAGAAGCATTCTATAGGCCCACTCTCAGCCTACCCTGCAATCTTCCCACCATATTAGACTATGCCAAGGAACATCGAGGCATCACTGTGATAGCGAACCATGCTTTTGGCCATGTGCCAAGCGTCTTGGTTCGACCGCAATATGAGGCCAACCCTAAACTACCTGCCGTATAGAGTAGGTGTGTAAGATCATCAAGGCTCTAATTCCCCAGAGTCTCTTGTTGGCTGCATAATTGGAGCTAGACCTTCAGATGTATGGGGCTCCTTTGTGCTTGCCCACATCGCCGGGCCCTGCAAGCAAGAGGAAAGGGTTTGGAAAGGAGGTATGAGAAGGGCTCAGATACATATAGCTGGTTCCCGGAACCTCCAATTTGTCGGTTCCGTTCTGCTTCTCTTTCAAGTCTTCCGCTGCCTGCCCTTCTCAGCTCAACTCAACTCAGGTCCTTCGTCTGTTTTGTTTCACTTCCATCAAGCGCCTGCAAGCATGGCGACCCAGCAGGAGCGGCCCAAAATGGGCATTGGCAAACGCATCTACCTCTTTATTGCCCCAGACGCTAAGAAAGACGAAGATGGCCGTGACAACTTCAACTCCCGTGCGCAGTTCATTCTCTGCGCCATGGGTGGTGCCGTCGGCCTCGGAAACCTCCTTCGATTCCCCTCCGTCATCTACAACAACTACGGGTTGCAGTTCTTCATCCCTTACTTTATAGCTTTGTTCCTGATCGGTATCCCCATCCTCATACTCGAGATTGTCATGGGCCAGGCCTACCGAGCCGGCTGCGTAACCGCGTGGAACAACCTCAACCACCGGGCCAAGGGCGTTGGGTTCGCCATGGTCTTCAACGGTTATTCTGTTGTCGGTTATTATGTCCCCATCCTAGCCTGGGCCATGTCCTATTTCCGGCGTTCTTTCACCAGCCCCCTGCCTTGGGCTGGCCAGAACACCCAGGACTTCTTCTACGACGATGTTGTGCGCAACCAAGCACCCATCGGCGATAAAGATGAAGGAGACATGCTCTTTTATCCTGGCACCGGAATCGTAGGGGAGACTGCCGGATGGACCTTTTTCACCTGGTTCATTGTCTGGATGTGCATGTTCAAGGGTGTCGGACTGACCGGACGAGTCATCTATTTCACCATGGCCATGCCGTTGATCATGATCTTGATTTTGGCTGTTCGATCCTTGTCGCTCCCGAACGCATCCGAAGGCTACCGACTCTACCTTGGCGTCTGGCGGACCGAGTCTCTCCAGGGGCCTGGTGTCTGGCAAGACGCTTTTGGTCAGATGTTCTTCTCCATTGGTGTCGGGTTCGGCTACTTTACCTCGTACGCATCTTACAGCTCCAAGTACTCCAACGCAGTGCAGGACGCTTTCATCATTGCTCTGAGCAACTCGGCAATCGAGATCATTGCTGCTCTAGCCGTCATGGGCATCATCGGATTCTTGCAAATCGAGCCCGATCCTACCAACCGACTCGGCACCTTCAGTTCTGGATTCTTCACCTATCCTGAAGCCCTTGCCCAGATGCCGGGCGCAAACTTCTTCTCGGTTGTCTTCTTCATGACTCTCTTCCTTCTCGGTCTGACTTCCGCATTTGCACTATTCGAAGTCCTTGTCACCATGATCTGCGACACTGACTGGGGTAAGCGAGTACCTCGTTGGGTCGTGGCCACTGCCGTTGCCATCATGTCATTCCTCATCTCGTTGATTTACTGCAGCGAGTTTGGATTTTACTTCCTGGACGGCATAGATACATTTGTCAACGACCTGGCTCTCTTCTTCACCGTCTGGTTTGAATCCTTCTTCGCCACCACTCTGTACCGCTGGAGGGATCCCGTGGACCAGGTTGGATACGTCAGCTACTGTCTCTTCAACGGCGGCTACTTCCTGGCCCACTTCATCGGCATCCTTGTTGGTCATCTTGTCAGCCCCCCGGCCGGTGCCGGCGTGGCATTCGGCATCTTCATCGCCGGTGCTGTCTCATCTGCCTTCTTCGGCAAGACACCTACGGTGGCGGCCCCGAGCTTTTGGGGGCGCAGTACCGTTCTGAGCCGTTTCTGGTACTCTGCATTCTATTCGGTAAGTGATCAACATCCTGCGGCTCTTCTATTCAGCCCCCTTTTTAGGCGCTCCTGGCTAATCACGGTCGTAATAGGGCAACCAACTTCGTCGCGACATCAACGCCTCCATCCTTACTGGCAAGAACTGGCGCCTTCACTGGGCCTGGCCCGTTATTCTGAAATACCTGACCGCACCCGCTGTGGGTCTTGTGTTCTCCTTCGCGTACTCCAAGTTCCGCGACGAAAAGTTCGCTCAGGACCCGGCCTACCTATACTCTTTCATCCTCTTCCACATGGTCATGGTCTTCATCGTCGGCCTGTTCATATTCCCGCGGTTCTTCAACTGCCTCGTTCCCGCGCGAAGGCTCGAGGCCGGCGAGGGCAAGTACGCCGTTGCTCCTCAGGTCTTCATCGGCGAGACCGTCATGCTCTCATCGGGTGGAATTGAAGAGGGCAACAGTATAGAAGGGCGGCGGACGGACAGCGACGGGGCGTGGAATGAGCCTGCTGTGACGCAGGAGAAGCCTACTCACGGTTGAGAGGACAACGTCTCTCCCGTAGTGCCTTATTTATCAGCGTTCAGTGAGAACACCCCTCTAGGTCGTGTGGAGAGGGCTTCGGGTTTCCCACGACAGGGTTGTGTATCGGCCGAGTAGCACTTTGGTCATTCATCTCATGGCCAATTTATTTGAACAATTTACCCATATGGTGTCCACGAACCAAGTCAGTGTCATTCATGGCCCCAATTCGGCTTTTTGCGTATGTTGTCAGCAATAAGGGCAACCCTTGATTGACTTACAGTCGCAGTCGATGTGAATGCGCCCGGCAATATGGCAGTTCCCCGCAATGGCAATTGCAGTGCAACCGGCTTCTGCGGAAGTGTGTTTGATGTAGATGACGCGCCTGCTGTTAGGTCCGGGCCAAGCGTCCGCAATCAGTGCCGACGTCGCATCATGTCAATATTTCCGAACACGTGAGGCATCGCTCGCAATACCCTGGCCTATGGGATTCTGAGCTGTCACTGGTCCCTCGATCCATCCGGTATCGTGTCAATGTTCACTGCCGGCCGAACGAGGACGAACGCTCCGCAGATCGGCATTGCAGGGTCCGATCCTAGATATATTCAGCCATGGCGATTGGCGCGTATATGGGCAATCCGGCAGCGAGATCGTAAATGGAAGGTGACTACGGATGTTTGATGATCTCCAAAGCGTCACGCAGACCTCACGATATGGGCACTCTCGTATAAGTATGATAGTGTTCACTCTTTCTGTTGTTGCCTTTGCGCCTGGCATAGAACCGGTTGTCCTTCGCGGCCCCTTCTTCAATTTCAACACATCTTCGGACTTGATTCCCACGCTGCTCATCAACATGAAGCTGTCTCTCATCACCATCGCGGCGGCGTACGCCTCCGTCGTTTCCGGGGCCATCAGCTGGTCGCTCCAGAAGGCCGCCAACCCCACGACCGATCAAGCCGACGCGTACGCCAAGATCGAGGCGGCCATGCGGCTCGCCGTCGCGCGGCACTCGAGGCTCGGCACCGCCACCAAGACGCTCCGCGTCTACTACACGCCCGGCGTGCCGACGGCCGAGGCCAACTTCAACGGCGACGTGCGCTTCGGCACCAACAGGGCGTACATGAACGAGCGCACGGCGCTCCACGAGATCTCGCACACCCTCGGCATCGGGCAGACGGCGGCGTTCGACAGGAAGTGCGCGGCCGGCGACTGGGCGACGGCTCTGCCGCTGCTTCGCTCGTGGGACGGCGCGGGTGCCGTGATCAACTGCGGCGGCTCGCACATTTGGCCGTATGGGTTGAACTACGACAACGAGTGGAGCACGACGAACGCTGATCGACACGTGAGGCTTATCAATGCGATGATCAGGGACGGTATGTAGACCTAGCTATTTGCAGGAATTTCAGGCGATGTGAAGATTTCAGTCTCACGGTGCACTTGTAAACCCGTCGGTGACATCGTCATAACCGGCCTGACCAGCCGCCGGTATGTGAAGACCAACCGATCAGTGTTCGTTCCCGTTTCGACCAACTGTCGGCTGTCCACATCATGGCCCGTGTACATCGAGCAGATCATACGCCAGAAAGCGTCCGTCTCCTCTGAGCGCTTCCTGACCCTCAACGGAGACCTTGACGTTGGTCTGCCGCAGCGCCTCAGCTCCACTGGGGCATTTCCAATACCTCGGGCACGAAGTGTGCGAGCGGCGACTGGGTTCCGCTCCTGACTCTTTCGCGCAAGCATAGATGCCCACACTGGTCTAGGCGATTGGGGCCTGTTGTCAGACAAGCAGCACGCTGCAGGTCAGTCATCTTCGGCAAGTTTGACTGTGGTCGTGACTGCAGATGAGCGACGGCGTCCCACCGTCATACACATCTCGCTGTGTGCGAGCTGGTATCACTTCCTGGAGTGGAGTTCGTGACGGATGATTGGACATTCGACCGCTTGTAGAGTCATGATCTTTTCCAGTGGGGCATTTAGACACAATCGGCCTGCTGGCGCAATGGTAGCGCGTAAGCTTCCGGTGCTTAAGGTTGTAGGTTCGAGTCCTGCGTAGGTCGGCCGATTCTCGCTTCCGAGCGAATCCTTTTTGGTCTTCCATCGTGGGTGCCGAATTTGGCCGTTGACAGCCAACTATCGAATTGAATTGAAGCATACAGCATGGGGTGCATTTACCTGCTTGAACCATACTTTTGTCCTGCGAAAGTGCTCACCACCAATGTACCAGGTCTACCTACGTTACGGTGGACCCACGGAGCCCCGTTGCCCCGACGACCTTGTGAGCCCCTCGCCCCACATGAAACCGCTGGCAGCTCGAGGTAAACACGCGTTGGACAGTGGCATGCGCGAGGAAACAACGGCAGTGAGCGCCTTCCCACGTCCCGCCTTCCCACGTCCCGCCTTCCTGGTTTGTCGTCAACGTCTCCCCACTCGACCGCCTTCTGCTCGAGGAAACAGAACCGTCTCTCCTCTTTGTTTGCTCTGCTCTTTCGTTTGCTCTCCTCTTTCGCTTGCTCTCCTCTTTCGTCTGCTCTCTTCCTTCGCACAACGCGTCTCGACAGACCAAGAGGGAGGAACACACATCGCACCCACCATGGACAGTGCACCGACGAAACCGCCATCCAACCTCTTCCAGGTCTACTTGCGCCTGCGGCCCTCACCAGCCGGCTCGACCGCCTCCGACAAGTTCCTCTCTGTCGAGCGCGAGGACACGTCCGAACACCCGACGCACATCATCCTGAACTCGCCCAACGACCGCAAACGCTCCACCGAGAAGTTCGCCTTCACCCAGGTCTTCGAAGAAGATGCCACCCAGCTCGACGTCTTCCAGTGCACCGGCGTCGCGCCCCTGATCGAGGGCGTCCTGGCGCCTCACGGCGGCGTGGGCACCGATGCCCTGCTCGCGACCCTCGGCGTCACCGGCTCGGGCAAGTCGCACACCATTCTGGGTTCGCGGGCCCAGCGCGGCCTGACGCAGCTGTCGCTCGACGTCCTCTTTCGGGCCATCGGCTTCAACATGCTCGACGACGCCTCGTCGCCTGACCTCGACTCGTCCCTGCAGCTGTCCGACCCCTCTGATGCCACCATCGTTTCGGCACCCACCTTCCTCGAGACCGTCTATGCCGACTTTGCTGGTCCCGCGCGCGCCGGCTCGCGCGCGCCGACGCCTATGCTTGTAGGGCCCCCTCCTGCTTTCTTTGACGCCCCTCCTGCTTTCTTTGACGCCCCTGCTGCTTTCCTTGACGCCCCTGCTGCTTTCCTTGACGCCCCTCCTGCTTTCTTTGACACCCCTCGTCCGCACACCGCACCTCGCCGTGTCCCGTCCGGCCCTGGGCCCCCGACCGTTCGCGTCGTGCCCCCGACCCCGAACGCGCAAGGCCGAGTTCTGCCCACATCCTCCTCCACACCCATGCATCTCCCCCCCAGCCCCCAGAAACACCTTCCCTCGCAGCACACACGCAGCCCCCAGAAACACCTTCCCTCGCAGCACACACGCAGCCCCCAGAAGCACTACATGACCTGGACCACAGCCTCCAAGACAAAGAAGAATCTGACCAAATCTCCAATCAAGGGCGAATACCCCCCGCAGCAGACCCCTCGAAGACATCTCCAACGCCCATCTGCCGTCCCGCAGATCCCCGACGTCAGCACCGTCCATGTCTCCTCCGATCCCAACGCCGAGTACGCCGTCGTTCTCTCCATGTACGAAGTGTACAACGACAAGATCTACGACCTCCTGACCCCGCCCATTCGATCCAACGCCACCAAGGAATACCGCCGCCGCCCGTTGCTCTTCAAATCTACAGAGCAAAGCGCCGACAGGAAGGTTGTCGCCGGGCTCAAGAAGATTGTGTGCAAGAGCCTGCGTGAGGCCATTCTCGTGCTCGAGGCCGGCCTGCACGAGCGACAGGTGGCTGGCACCGGCAGCAACAGCGTGTCGTCACGAAGCCACGGCTTCTTCTGCGTCGAAGTGCGGAAACGCACCAGGGGACAGAGATCGTCCACCTGGACCGGCAGCACGCTGACAGTCGTCGATCTGGCCGGCAGCGAGCGTGCGCGCGATGCAAAGACCCAAGGCAGCACGCTCGCCGAGGCAGGCAAGATCAACGAGAGTCTCATGTACCTGGGACAGTGCCTCCAGGCGCAGAGCGGGCTGGGAAACACAAGCAAGGTACGTGCATGACCCGTCGCTGTTGTCGCTGCCGACATCGGCAGGCCGACGAACGAAAAGACTGACCCCATCTCTCCCCACAGCCGAGCGTCATGCCATTCCGCCAGTGCAAGATGACCGAACTCCTGTTCAGCAACTCCTTCTCAACAACATCGTCTTCGTACACTGCCCCCGTCGTCCCCCGTCGAAACGCGCAACGAGGCGTCATGATCGTCACCGCTGACGCCCACGGCGACGTGAACGCAACCTCCCAGATCCTTCGCTACAGCGCGCTAGCTCGCGAGGTCACGATACCTCGCATCCCTAGCATCACATCCACGATCCTCGCAGACATGCCAACGGCAAACGCACACTCTGAAACTCTCTTGTCCGTCAACTCTGCATCCTCTCAGCGGTCCTACTTCTCTCAACCATCCGGCTCTCACCGCAACATCTCCCCCAGCAGCCCGACGGATGGCGACAGGTTCATCATGGAGCACGCCGCTCTCGAAATTGCCCGCATGCAGGAAGAGATCAACAGCCTGCACCAGGAACTCGACGTCGAGCGCGATGCGCGCGTCGCCGCCGAGGCACACTTGCTCAGCATGGAAGACCGCATGCTCGAGCTTGAGCAAACCATCCGCGAGGACTGCGCCGCCGAGTACGAATCACGGTATGACCTCGAGGTGGCGCGTTGGAAGGCCACGATGCAGGCCCAGCAGGAGCGCGGCGAAGAGCACTGGGATCGCAAGATGGAACTCTTTGAGCGCGGTCTTGGACCCCATGACGATGATGACGAGGAAGGCGGCGAAGACAAGGAGAACGTTCTCGTCGAGAACCTGGCGCAGGAGAACGAGCGTCTTCGCCGCGAGATGGGCGTGCTCAAGCGTGAGCTTGCTGGCCGGAGTCCGACGCGGAGGCAGCCTCTCCACGAGCGGGACGACTTTGGCAGCCGCAAGCCTGACGGCGGCACCGGAAGCCTGGGTCGCAAGATGGAGCAGCTTCGCGTTAGCAACGCCAGCGTCTCGAGCGTCGCCAGCGGCGGCAGCCCCAAGAAGATCAGGCGACTGCCGACGAAACGGTGGGAGGACGCTGACGACCTGGCGTAGTGTTTGCGCAATGTCCTGTCGATGTGTGGTGTGGATTTTTACTGCGTGTATACCCTTGGTTCGGCCTATCTGGATTGCAATGGATTTTATGACTTGTCATCGATTCCGACCGCGCCATGTTCGTGACTGGGTTGAGGAAAGATTTCGCTTGCATGGCCGGCGATCTGATGCCAGGTAGAATCTGTCAATGATTCTGAGCAACAGACCGACCGAGGACCGACTTGGCGTCGAGAGTCTCGCCATCAGCTTCGCGACAACGCCTCGACACCGATCGGTAGCCTTGGCCCCGTGGCGCTCGGCCTCTATGCAGGCGTGCTGCTGCCATCGGCTGTCGAGGAGCCATCTCCTCTGCCGGAATAGGAAGTGCGCTCGTAGGACCTGATCGAGATGGTCCTTGCGCCGGCCTCGACAGTCACGTCGCAGCTCCGAGGATCAGTATGACTCGACGGTCTGGCGAAAACAGGGCGGGCCAGCACGGTGACGGAGCCCACGCTGCATGCAACCCGCAGCAGATGCCGCTTCCACCATCGTACCTGTCCCCTCGTCGTGTCCGGCGGTAGGTCTGCATGAATGACCGGAGATCTGCAGCTCTGGTGTATCATTTTGAGGTCACATCGTGCACGTACTTACTCATTGGCACCACTGCAGTGACCGAGTCTGGGTTCGATCCGAGGGGGCGAATAGAGAAAAAAGAGGAGGCCACTGTGATGTAGCACTCGGCATTGATGTGGCGGGGCACCTACGGCAACACTGCCGTGGCGCAGCTCCGCGTCCATGACGAGGCCGTGGCCGGCAAGCTTACTTCCGATAAGCTTGAATGCTCGCAGCCCCCTGATCTCACGCAGAAACGTCTGGTCACGACGCGGAGCAGGCTATAGTATGTGGCACCTTCGTTGGCCGGCCAAGCTTTTCTTCGTCGTGCATTCATGGAAGCGAAAGGTGACGCACCAGGGAAGCTTCGGGGAAGCGGAGCACGGCTGCCGCTTGATTCTGTTCATCCTGGCTGAGCACCGTGGACGGCTTCGTCACGTCTTTTCTCATTCGCTCTCCGCGCTTGCTTCTCGTGTCAAATATGTCTCGACCGGAACCCAAATGAACTTGCGGCCTCCGTCGGATCAGCTGGCAATAGGAACGATCGATCCGGCAGATTCTAGATCAGGTTCTGAGACGACCTCTGTTCATCGGACGCGAAGACCTGTGCAGCTGCACCTGGGCCATGATCTCGGTCATGAGATGCACAGCCGGGATCTCCTGCCATGCGGCGGCAAAGCTGCAAAGCCGTAACCAAGGATACCCTTCATTTCCAGACTCGGCAAGTCGGAGGCGTTTAACTGGTGACAGCGGTAGTTCACTCTCAGAGTTCTCTGGGCTTGAAGTGTCTTGCAAGGCGGTGCCCAGGTGGTGATTCCATCGATGTTCGCCGTCAAAATAGCATCGACAGCCCGTGAGTCTTCGCAGGTCTCCGCGGGAGAGCCGCATTTCCGGTCATGGCAACTGTGTCTGGCCTTTAAAAATAAAGGGATGCGTAAGGAACTAACACGGAGGCTATATGGACTTTGAAGCTGTGGTGCTACTTTTTAAGCAGTAGTGCTTGGTGAATAGCCTGGGTAATTGGCTGTTGATTTAATTTGCAGCTCAATATTCCATCTGATAGAGTCAAGGTCGTCAATCGTAGGCTTGAAGATATCCAGAGATCGCCCCTCTCCTCTGGATATGCCGAACGAGAGCTGCACGAGCATATCGGACTTTCATGGTGCGGTCATTTTGCTTCTTACCGCTGGATCTTGACACCACACAATATTTCCCTGGTGATATCATAGTAGTTGGACCAGAGAGTCGCCCATCGAAGACCGAATGTGACCACGATGGGTGACGAGGTCGGTACCTATCCGAAGCCAACTGTCCACGTTTCTGTCACGCATCACGCTCCGAGGAAAGCATACCAGCACCATCAACATAAAGATAATGCAAGACTATTGAGTAAGAGCAGCTCTCGTTGACTTACGACATTCCTCCCATGGCAAGCATCATCTCGATTGAAGGGAGGGACTGTTTTCATCACGGATCCGCTTAATGGGATGAGGGAATTTAGTGCGTGCATCCCCGGATTTCCAGCAAATACATCCTGGTTGAGAGATTCTTGCTCGCTTCCAGCACCCTAGATCACCCCAGTCGTCCCCTTGTCTACGAACCCTCAGTCATCTCGGTAGGGCAGCGGCGTGCGGGCCATGCGGCCGCTTATTCTGATGGTTTGGCACCACAAGACTCGGATTTTGCGCCACAATTCTGCAAAACATGCACTTTAACATATCCAGCAATTCAGATGATGGAAATTTCCACGCCTGCAGCTAGAAACCCATGGTGACACGCGCCCGCGCTTGCGAAGGTTCTTGCTGGCCCTTGCGGACGCAGTGTCAGCAGCTGAACACCAGGGGTTGGGTCCACCGAGTGATTCTTCATGGCCATGAGTATACCATGCACGACATCGTCTGCCCAATCACGCACCACCTCGTAAGAAGAACCCAATCAAGCTTGGGAAGAGGGTTGGAATCATCTAGCCAATGCAGCCGTGTGCTCTTCACGATGGCAGCTTCTCGTTCAATTCAGCCATAGCTTCAAGGCCCTGCAGTCAGCAAAGGCGTAGCCCGCACAAAGTGTAGATGACGCTCAACTGTTCATTTCCATTCTCACTCCAATCAACGTCTGCTGCTCGTAAAACGTGGGCTGTCGAAAGCATCGTCACTTGGTGTCCCATGTGTATAAAATAGCATGCCAGCTGCACTCCTTGATGCGATGAGAACAGAAACATTCCCACACTTCACCTACTAGCCAAAATTGGAGAACGCATCTTTTACAATATGCCTTCTCTCAGAACGGCCTCCTTCTCCGCTGTGGCGGCTCTGCTCCTGTTGCCGGCAGTCATCGCAACTCCTCTGCCGGACACGCCTACCACGAAGCTCATCCGCCGCGATCTCCTCCAGCCCCTCGGCGGCTCGGCCTGGTCTGAGCAGGAAAAGTGGTGCCCGGCCCTCGACTACGATACGGATTCGTGCTACAACACGGTCGCCATCTCGCCCTCCGGCCAGCTCAACGCCGGACAGGACGAGACCAAGTCGGCCGGCGAGATCCTTGGCTGGTGCCGCAAGGATGTCCGCCTGCAACAGACCAATATTTACGTGCGCTCGCGCTGCAACAACGGCTGGTGCGTGCACATGTACGACTACTACTTCGAGGCCGACTTTGGCTGGGGCGCCCACCGGCACGACTGGGAGCACATTGCCGTCTGGGTGCAGCACGGCCAGCTCAAGTTCGTCAGCATCTCGCAGCATGGCAAGTGGGACATTCGCATCCTCGACGGCCGCACCGCCGCCCCGCGGTTCGAGCACGGCACCCACCCCAAGGTTGTGTACCACAAGGACGGCGCGCTGACCCACGCCTTCCGCTGGGCCAACGGCGGAGACGAGCCGCCCGAGAACCACTGGAAGAGCTGGCGCTGGGGCGTCGGCGCCGGCCTCATCGAGTGGGAAAGAATGCCGGACAACCTGCGCAAGACGCTGTCGGCCAAGAATTGGGGCGCAGCCGAGATGGCGGTGCGCGACAAGGACGGAAGCGACTGGAACTTTGCGTGGTACATCAACGAGTCGCAATACTTCTGCTGGGAGACGTATTGCCCTGGCTTCCTGGCCCCCGAGTTCAAGCCGTGGGGTTGAAGAACGCACGGGACTTTGACCTTGATCTTGCAAGCCAGTCACTTGTTCGAGCTGCTCTGGCAGTCGTGGTGGGTCATGTTCAACGTAGTCAGGCTACCTTTTCTGTCCTTGGCTGAGGATAGTCATTCATAGAGAACGCGTATTTTCTTTCGACTTTCAAGCCACTCAATTGTGGGTAGTAGAGAGCCTTAATCCACGTTGTAGCTTCCGATACAGAACATCGCTTTCACTTGGGTCAACAGGCGTGAATTGTCAACTGAAACGATACCCTTCTGAGCTATGTACTTGCAGAATCTTGGACTATCGTCTGCTGCATGTATCAAACACGTGTAGCCGAGAGGCTTGCTAGAGGAACAAGTCACCGTAGAGGAACCTGATGAGACAGCTTCACGAGACAAGGCTTGGTCAATGACGTCTCGACATTCGACCTCTTTTCAGTCAAAGAAAAAAAGGGGAAACTGGGTATCATGGTGTTGAAACTAGTCAAAACCTTTGCATTTGGTGATGCGCGTTTGCAGATACTCAGGAAATGTGTTCATGCTTTCATCCAGGTTCGTGGAGGGGGGCTCGAAACTACTGGCGAGGATTTCTCAAACACAAATCTGCCAGGGATAATCGGACTTCAGGATGGTCACTTCAGCCAAGCCACATTTCCTTGGACAAAGCCTCGTCAGCTGTGTAAGAGGCAGCATCAGGGCAAGACCTGGTACACACTAGAAGCCCGGGGGCTCGAGAGGTCTGCCACGCCTGCCGTTACTGGAATCAACGGCGGAAGCTACATTGTCGATTGATTCTGATGCAGAACGCCTGAGGTCTCGGAGGGTTGTGAGCTGGTAGTGAGACGCGCAATTATTGAACAAGTCTTCATCAACATACTACATCACCCAGGCATGCACTGATAGTGGTCGCGCGTTCGCGACATGCGGTCGCCCTGACACAGGTTATCAAAGTTGCTACCGTACAAGATCAGAATCGGCTAACATAGAACCGGCAAGATAAATCAGATGGCACCGGAGTCATAAAGATCTTTCACAACGAGAATCCGTGCTTTGCAAACAGGAAATGGCTTCGAAGTCGCATCTGTTCACACCTCAGGTGCCACGTTTTCGGCAGTCATCCCTGCAGCACGGTATTTCCAGTAAAACTACGATACCAGCCCAAGCAGTTGATCTCGGCAATGGCGAGAACCAGAGCTCACCAGAAACGGCCCAATGCGACTTTGATGACGAAGTCAGTATGAACTGCCGGTTGCGTACGCAGCCGGGAGACTACAGAGAATAGTGAAATATCGCTCACACGAACCTTTCCTGTTGACCAGAGCCCCCTCCCCCTCCCAAACACTGCCTCATATCTCTCGTTATCCTGCTCTGAGGCTCTGGTGAGATTGGGAAAAATCAAACTCGCCAGGAGATGGCTGTTATGAAATCAGCAGAGTTCCGCTGGCGACAGTATCCGACATTTGAATTTTCTCTTTCCATGTCGTTAGCAGGACCGAGTCAAAACTCAAAGCTCGTCGTGAGTCTTCTGATAAAGAGCATCGGGCTGCGCATGAAATCAACCGGAGCATGACCAGTCGCCTGACACGAAGACCGAGGTGTATCTCATATCGGGACATATAGCCCAGCTAACGAGTCAGAACCCTGACTCCTTCCCCTTGCACGCAGAATGAATCTTATCGTAACTCGCATAACCCCTGTCGAACGATTAAGTCCCCGCCGCGGCTGGCCCGCGCGCGGGCACCGGATTCTTGCTGGGATACCCTTCGACGTCACTAGGAACATCAGTCATGATCCTTGGAAAGGTTGGTACGCAAGGTTTAGGCTGTGTGGGCTCGAACGTTACAGTTTGCCTTTGAAGGCACTTACCGCAGGCAGCCAGCGTAAGGGGATGCAGGAGATACAACGCGGCCATGCAGGAAGACAGTTTCGTCCGCAGATGCGTGGGTGCCATTGCCGGGAATTGCAACGGTCGCCAAGCAGAGCACAGTAACCTTGCTGGCAAAAGCCTCCCATTCGAATCATTCTGGATTTCTGGCGATTCCTCGAGTCATCAGTCATATTTCACAGCGTTTCCCCCATGCGAGGCCACGTCCAGGCATAATTCTACATTTAGTCCCCCATCGCCGCATGTACGTGTTAAGCCATCACAGTTCATCCGTTGATTCTGGTCACATTTCCAAAGAGACGTTAGATGCCACCATCTCCTCATCCCAACATCGTCAGCCAAGATGGTGGTCATGACCCATGAATACACCAAGAACCAGATGATCGGGCTGGCTGTTGGTTTCATGTTTCTCCCCATCATATTTTATGGTCTTCGAATCTGGGCTAGATTGATTATCAAACGCATCACTCTGGACGACTACTTGGCTGGCGCAGCAATGGTAAGTTAGGTTGTTGGACCATGCGTATGACCAACTCCGATTTCTCATCTAACGCCACATTACTAGATCCTTTCCATCGTCTGCTGTTCTTTGCAATTAGCCGGTAAGAATTTGGAATTCTGCAATTTCCCGCAAACGGGTTAGACACCAGCTATCTAGCTGGACGAGATGCTGATTATTACCTATCTAGCAACATTTCATGGACACCTGGGCCAGCACCAGCCACAACATCCTGATGGGACGGCCATCATGGAAGATCCAGGTCTAGCGTTCTTCGAGAAGGTCAGTCGAGTCCGGCCTCGTCAATCACAATATTGATCCCTGTCGTCGCACGCCTGCGTCGCGTTAGACATGACTAACATGGCTATGCGAACAGTCGAAATTCGCCTTGAACATGCTCTCCATCGTCGGCCTTGGTCTCGTCAAGTCATCCATTCTCGTTCTCTACCTAAGTCTCTTTCCGAACCGCAAGTTCCAATGGGTCGTGTACGGCGTGCTCGGCTACGTGATCGTCTGGACCATAAGCTTCTTCTTCTCGCACCTCTTCACCTGCTACCCGATTACTGCTTTTATCGACTTTTTCCAAGACAAGAAATGCGTCAACCAGGTGGCCATGTTCCTAACGGTCCTGTACACAAACGTCGTGGCCGACTTTGCCATTCTCGTCCTGCCCATTCCCATGGTCATGAGCATCCAGCTCAAGTTGCGGAGGAAGATTGCCGTCCTCGGCATGTTGAGCCTCGGTGCTGCGTGAGTTGGCGGCCTCAACAGCTCCCGATATCGGAAGCAATGAAGAGCAGTCTGACTAACGGAAGTTCAGTGTCTGTGCTGTCAGCGTCACTCGCGTCATTGCTGTATATGCAATTGCCAAACAATACGTTCATTACCCCAACGACATCATTTGTAAGACGCAGCACTCCCGCAATCTTCTACGCGGAGACTTGTGTGTGATTCATACTGACGGTAGAGATAGACTACACCGCACCCGTGTTCTTCTGGACGAATATTGAACTGTCCATGGCGGTCGTGTGCGCATGCCTGCCGACACTGCGACCGATTTGGAGACACCTGTTTCCGAAAGAAACAGCGACTGGAAACAACTCGTACGAACTGGGCTACGGCTCCGGCAGGAAGGGGACGAAGAAGGGCAACCACAACATGCCATACACAGAGCTGGACGAGATGGAACTCAACGCCGGTAATAGCCACACAAGGTCCGCGTCGCCGGCGAGCGGGACGGTGGTCAAGGAGATCAGGATACGTCAAACGATCGAACCAGCAGACGACTCTAGCGCGATATATCTACCACCGACCGAGTCTTTTGCTGGGCCGCTTGGTCCCAGGGCATGATGTCCGCTGAAGAAGAAAGCTAAGGGCCAGCGGGCGTCCAGAGTAAATTAAGAAACATGCTTTGACAGTTCTTTCCGGCGTCCTGATTCCTGCCACCCCCCACCCCCCCCCTTTCTTCACGGCCCAAAAAGCAAAAATAAAAACAAGCTGGTATGTTCGTGTAGATAATTTCTATAGAACAGAAAGGAGGCGTGACTTGCCATCAATCAAGCATCATCACAGGGGCCTCCCTGGAATGGCACCCTTCAAGAGTTTAATCTACATTTCGTTTCCGAGAGAGTTCCAAGCCACGCATGCAGCATATTGCCGAGAATGCCGTCCCGAACTTCTGGCTCGCTACAGATGTGTGTCATGACTGACGTATGCCATCGAAAGTGCACACCTGTGCATTCTGTACATATGGCGCAGTCGGCGAGATATCCTCTCCCCACCTCGTCACATACTGGCGGTAAGCACGTCAAAAGCGCCTCCGATCATGGTACTTGAATCGTCAATGTACGCCGCTGGCACCACCGTCACAAGTCACTTGTACAATGGATGTGGAATATGAGGCGCGGTGAACCTCGATGAACCAATGCACAGTCCTGGGTTCCAGGCTAGAGCGGCAAAGGCCTTAATTCGACCAGTAGCGGGGGCTTTTGCCATTCTTGGTTTCTGGACCAAGGGACGGCGGTTGCCGTGAGCATGCCAAGCCAAGGGGCCGTTGAACCATAAACAGGGTCTCAACCAAGACCTTCTGGGCAACCCCCCCTGAAAAGACGCGTGGGCAGGTTGCAACCACAGCGGTGAGATAATCTGTATCGGTAGCCCTTGCCTTGCTTGAGAAACCTCGAAGGCTCGGCTGTCGCTCGCCTTGGTCGACAGCGCAATATAATGCATGCGGCGAGTCAGGGCATGTTGGTACAGGGGCAATGTAAATCTACAGGGGCAGTGAAATGGCACGCAGTAGCCATGCAGACGACCAGGCATCTCCAGCTCCCTAACGGGCAGACCCAGCTTACTGGTCACTTATAATATATTGTGATGGTGTCCATTGGAGGCCCAGGTTTGTCCCCTGGCTCTTCTTGTTACCGACTTTGCCATCCAAAGTCTGTCCAACCCGGCCGTTCACCAGCATACTTTCTTTAAAATCAGCTATCATGGCCATCTTCACTTTGCGCAAACTTCTACTCAGCCTGCACCTTGTCAGTGCAGTTGCAGCTTCGGCAATCGATCTCACCCCTCGGTCCGTCGCCGCCGACTTGAACCGTCTCATCAAGCACTCGGGTGCCCAAATCACAGTGCGCACGCGATGGAGCGAATTCGATCCCCCGGCGCCGGCCGTCGTGGTTAGCCCCACGTGCGAGAGCGACATCAAGGCTGTTGTGAAATACTGTGCCAAGAACAAGGTCCCTCTCCTGCCCCAGAATGGCGGCAATGGCTGGGCGGCATTTGGCTTCAATACCACTGGAGTTATTCTGAACTTGGCCGGCCTAAACCAGGTGACCATCAGCCGAGACAAGAAGACAGCGGTCATTGGCGGCGGTGCCATCATCAGCGAGGTCATTGCCGCTGCAGACAAGGCCGGAGTGCTCATCCAGACGGGCAACTGTAACTGCGTCGGTGCCCTCGGCGCGGGTCTCGGTGGCGGATACGGTAATCTCATCGGCGAATTCGGCATGGCGGTCGACAACATCCTGTCTCTCCGCGTCATCACCCCCGAGGGAAAGGCGATCAACGTCTCACCGTCCTCCAACCCAGATCTCTACTGGGCCATGCGCGGTGCGGGCCCGAACTTCGGTATTGTCACCTACGCAACTGTCAACGCTTTCCCTACCGCCGACCGCAACGCTTGGCTCATGTCTCTGACCTTCGACCACTCCAAGATCGCCCAAGTCGCCCAAGCCATCCAGGATCTCCCGCTTCTACCTCAGCAAGTTGTCTTCCTCATCCTCACCAACTCGGGCGACGCCAAAAACACCCCCACCGTACTAGTCACTGGCTACCTCCGTGGCGGCGACGAGACATCGGGCCGTAAGGCGTTTGCATCCCTGTACGCTCTCGGTCCCCAGACAAACAGCAGCTCCACCGCCCCTTACACGGATTGGAATGTCGGCAACGACTTCTTCTGCGGCCGTGGCGGCCGCAAGCCGGCCTTCACCACCGCTCTCAAGGATATGAAGTCCTCGAGCTGGCCAGCCATTTGGGACCTGTACGCCGACTTCCAGAAGCAGCCCGGGGCGGAGAATTCAGCCATTGTGATTGAGCGTTACAACCTCACCAAGGCCAGGTCGGTCGGCCGTGGTGCCACTGCCGTGCACGATGAGCTGCGCTTCGACTCGTTTGCGCAAGCCATTGCACTGCCGTGGTACAAGGATGCCGCCCTCGACACACAGGCCCTCGACTTTGCCTCCAAGGTCCGCGACATTTGGAGCTTTTCCGCTAATGCCAAGGCCAACCCGGCGTAAGTGCTGCCTTTTTCCACACTGTCAATGATTGCAATTGGAATGAGCTCAAAAGCTAACAACCCCCTCTTTCGTGGTATAGATACATCAACTTTGCTCATGGTGACGAAGAACTTGTCGCTATTTACGGCTCGAGCCTCCCCCGACTCAAGGAACTCAAGAGCAAGCACGACCCTGATAATGTATTTGGACAGTGGTTCAGCCTTGCGTAGGTTTAGCGGATGACCTTCTACACGTTGATAGCAAAACTTTACATACTCATTCGAAGCCCATGATCATTTCATCTCAAAAAATGGAAATCCAGATGCAGGGCCCTCTACTAAGGTAGCCTTTATACGCCGCACGCTTTTTGTCCACGGCGGGAATACAACTGTTACCGCATGGTGTTTCTCTACAGCCGCATCGTAGGCGGCCCACGGTTGTATATGTCTGTGCCAACCGTGACGCCTTTTCATGTTGGGTCGAAACGTTCCCAAAGCGACAGCTCAGTGTTAAAATGGCGCGAGCACGATAGGGGCTTGTCCACCCAGAGGCGAGGGGGCGTCATAAAAGAGGACGAACGGGCCCATGGGGTATGTTTCACATGGGGAGAATAATTCGGATCGCGAGATGTTCAGATCGGGCCATGGTCTTTGGAGAGTCATTGCAGCACCAACTAAAGGCGTCGCCGAATGACGACCATTCGTTCTCTCTCTATCTCTCTCTCTCTCCTCTCTCCGGTGCCAATAGCAAAGTCGTAGCATCCAGACCAAGGCAAGAGATCCGTCGCGGATCAGGTGATGGTCAACTCGTCATCATGGGTGGGCAGAGGACACTGCCTTTCTCGAGGCAGTCTGGGCATGTGCAGACAGGCTTGGCCTGGAACAGCTTGCTGGTCCCCGCAAAGGCGTATGCTCGATGGCTGGAAAGAATGGCAAGATCGCCAAGAACGCGATACTTGGTCATGGCGCGACGCTGGCGCTCGGCGATCGGCGAGGATCTTGCCGAGGCGAGATAAGCAAGCCATTGGGGACAGGCAACACACGGTTGGGGGTATCTGCCCAGTCGAATCGATCTGGGTCGAGGAATTTTGCGATGAATAGGATCCACAATCAGGGCGAAAGAAAGTTCTGAACAGAGGGCATGCCAAGACGGGCCGGGCCAAGCATTTTACTACCGTAGGGTACAACAAGCTCAGATTGCCGCAGACGACGACGACGACGACGATGACAGCTTTAGTTTGTGTGGGGTTGATAACGACGCGACAGGACGCGACGAGCATGAGGACGAGCAGGAGCATGAGCAGCAGGAGGGACACGCAGATTTCGCTGGTCGGCACTTTCCCCCTTTTCCCTCCTTCCTCTTCGGCCCCTTTTCCCTGCTCCTTCCCGTACGCCTCGTATTGTTTAGGAAAGGCCATTCCTGGGCACCCACAGGCTAACAACACCCCCAGAGACAGCAAGAGACAGCACATGAAGCACCACTGGCACCAACGCTCGCTCCAGGCAGCCATCGACAGAGAGGGCGAGAACGGCCCATGGACCCTGGCCAGTACCCAGCCGAGATTGGAGCAACACCAGGCACGACCGTCTCAAGCCCAAAAAGGCAGGGGCCACCCTCGTCGACGACCCCAAAAGACGGCCACTACGGCTGACTATGGTGATTTGGTCCAATCCAGACACGAGATGGCAGCCATGAATGAGGCCCGCCCTCCGCCACGCCCCCATCCCCATCCCCATCTGTCTGTGCCTCTCTCTCACTCAGCGTCGAACAGTGCTTTTTTTTCCCTTTTGGTTTCTCACGCCCACTGGCCCGTGTCTGAAGTGAAGCGTGTGGCCCGGAGAAGCTGTCAGCGACCCGACCCGAGCCAGCAACAAAACCAAACAAGCTCCCACCCCGGCGTCGCCATGCCTTGAGAAAGCCCTGCTGTCCTTGGCATCCAAGCCGTCATTGCCATCTCGCGCTGGTCTGCCACTTGCTATCCATCTGCGCGTGCTACACTACACCATGGCTCTGCAGCTGCAGAACATCGCCATCATGTTGGTCGACAATGTGTCTCCCACGGTGCAGACCATCGCCAATACTTTGACCGACAAATTGTCCCCGACAGTGCAGATCATCGCCAGCACCTTGACCGACAAAGTGTACCCGACGGTACAGACGAGCGCCCACCTGTTGGCCAACAAAATGCAACCGACAATGCAGACGATTGCCATCATGTCGGCCAACGTGAAGTACCCGACAATACGCCCGAAGCATGCCAATGCCGCTTTTCTCGCCGTCTGGCTGATGCTGGCCCTCTACTGCTACTCCAATTCCTACGACGACCCCTCGTCTATCTTTTTCAACGAGAAGCTCGCCTTCCGAGAACGCTTTTCCCTCGTTCGCACCACCAACGCCGAACACCTGATCGAGGTCCTGACCTACGGGCCTCCGACGCCCAAGATCGAGCGGCTCCCCGGCACCAAGCCCTTTCTCTGCATTGGCGTTCCTAGTGTCGCCCGCAACACCGTCTCGTTTCTGCCGCAGACTCTCGCTACCCTCGTCGACACCTTGACCGACGAGGAGCGCTCTACCATTCATCTCGTGACGCTGCTCGCCGACCAAGATCCCAAAGACCACCCCGCCTACGAGGCGCCCTGGCTCGATCGTCTTGTCGACGAGGCTATCGTTTATAGCGCTGGCAACTGGACGCTGCCACCTCAGCCAGAGGGTTCCGTCACGCGCGCCATTCCCTACGACGTCCGCCAAGCCGGCCGCGGTACCGAACGCGTTGAGAACATGCGCCTCGACCATTCCGTTGTTCTCGACGCCTGCCGCAATACGGGCGCCCAGTACTTTGCCCTCGTCGAAGATGATATTGTCGCATCGCGCGATTGGTTCACCCGGTTCAAGGCTGGCATTGCCGACGTTGAGCAGCGCAAAGCCTCCCACCCGAAAGCCCCTGACTGGCTCTACTTCCGTCTTTTCTACTCAGAAATCTTCATGGGCTGGAACAGCGAGGAGTGGCTTGGCTACTCGCGCGTCATCTTTGAGCTCTACGTCCTGGCCCTTGTCGTCTTTCTCGTCCTGCGTCGCACATGGCCCGCTGCCTCTCTTGGCGCCCAAGGCAAGCGCACCGTCACCACGTACCGCCACACGTCGGCCTGGATGGCCGCCCTCGTCTTCGGCCTCTGGCTGCCGGCCCTCATCGTCCTGTACTTCGCCGCTGGACGCGTCTCGACCCACCGCATGACCCCCTGGTCCTCTGACGGCGTCCGGGAGATGCCCAATTACGGCTGCTGCGCCCAGGGCCTTGTCTTCCCGCAGCGACATCTCGACATGATCCACGACATGCTCGTCACGCCGCCCTTTAACTTTCCCGGCGACATGATGCTCGAGGATCTGGCGCGCGACAAACAATTGACGAAGTGGGCTCTCGAGCCGAGCGTCTTCCAGCATGTTGGGCTGAAGGAGTCATCAGACGGCACGCAGAGGAAGGAGGTGTGGAATTTTAGCTTTGAGAGGCAACAAAAATAGACGGCAAATCATCGCAAGGAGAGCGAGGCATGCTCTGTCTGATGAAGGAAGCCATGACGAGGACGATCAACAATGTACAGTAATAGATATTGGACTTGCATGCCATGGCGTTTAGCAATGTGGTTGAATAAGATCTGTTTTGAAGCACTGCAGCGTGTATATTTGTTAATCGTCGAGGAACGAACTTGATAGCGGTATTCGTTATGGTACACACAACCAACTTCTATAGGGCGTTGATCAAGCCGAGTGCAGGGAAGCATACAACCTTGGAGAGCGCTTTGCGGTATGGCATATCCACCAATGACCAAACAACCAATGACTGTATTGTGCACCCCGCGACTTTTGCATAGCCGCGCATCTACGTGCCATATCCTTTCCACGCGCCTTGGCTCATCATTTCCCAGACTTGCCAGGCACCACAGCATCATAAGTCTTGCCATGCCAGCATGCCGGCAGAGCGTCACGCGCCAGCCGTCTATTTCCCCAGGAGTATTGTATGACCTTCGACCCAAATGAGCATACCTTCAACTGTGCTCTCTCTCTCCCTCTCCCCCATCTTTTCATCCCAAGAACACTCAAAGGACGATGTGATCAGCCGCATACGGAAGACCCCGATTCCCTTCCCCAGGAAACGTCCGACCGATCCCAGACCCAGAATCAAACGCAGAAGAAAAACAAAACCCCCTGAGCACCTCTAGATGCAGACCTTGGCCTTGGTGATGAACACACTGGCAACGGCCCCGCCGCCCCCCTCGGGCTGCACCTTCATCTTGATGCTCGGGCTGATCTGGAACTTGACGGGCGTCTCGTCGGCGACCTCGGCATTCTCGACAGACGGCCACATGGTGGTGGCGTCGAAGCGCTTGGGGCGGCCGTAGACGAGGAACATGGGATTCTTGCTGCCGAGGAGGACGTCGTCGATGCGCACGGCCAGGGTGAAGACGTTCAGGAGGCGGTAGTGCAGCGTCGCGGCGTGGCAGACGGAGGCGTCGGGGTTGGCGGCGTCTTGGACGGGCAGGTACGTCTTCAGCACGGCGAAGAGCTCGCTTGCCACGGTGGTCAGGTTGTCCCAGTCGATGCTGGTTGTGGCGGTGGCTGCGTCGTTGCCGAGGGCCTGGGTGATCATGTGAGCGCCCTGGGCGCGCCAGAGGGCAAAGTGTTGGAGGGTTCGCATGTCGGCGTCTTTGAGAAAGGCTGCGGAATGGGCCAGTGTCAGTGATGATCTGGCCATTCTTTTTGGAGGTTCGATGGCCAGCTGTAGTACTCACTGGTGCGGAGCTGCTTGCAAACGTCCTTGAAGGCACCGCCCATCTTGCCGGCCCAGATATCGCGATGCTGGCTGCCAAAGTACTGAGCAACCTCGTACCAGACAAAGGCCTCGAATACGGAGCAGCGAGTGGCCTCGTCGATGATCCACTCCTTCCATTGCTCACCGAGCATTCCAAGTCCATTCGCCATGCGTGGATGGGTCGTATCGACGGCGACAGGACCAGTCAAGAGAAGAGCCAGGATATTAATCTCGTACGTGAGCTTGCTGAAGAGTTCGTGAAGGACCGTGGCAGGAACCTCGGGGGCAATGGGGGCCTGCTGTGCCTCCAAGACGGCAATCTGCAAGCGCTGGAGATCGATTTGCTTCTCTGCTCTCTCCAACCTCTGTACCATGTCTTCGTAGGCGACAACAGGATCAGCCTGACTCACTTCCATGTCAACGTCGTTCATATTTGCCCGGATAATGAAGAATTTCGGAATATATGGCTGTCTGTTCCCCTGCAGCGCCGTCAAGTTGGTGAGAGAGCTGGAAGGAGAGGATTAGAGGAGGATGAAGAAGACGGAGCCTTCTGGCCTCACGTACCTTCCTCAAAGGAGCGCGTGAAACGCTCCACCGACCTCTTTCCTTGCCAGAGTGACTTTTCAAAGAATTTATTCGAGCCTTGCTGGCAATTGTTTCTCTTTGATAGCTGGGCATCGGGGCCGGGCGGGCAGTGACCAAAGTCCCGACCTCCGCTGAGCTGGTGGGCATCAGAGAGCCGCCGGCCAAGGGGGCCACGCGGCTCGACTCTTGTCGATACTGGCGCAAGACGGGCAGGAAGTGGCCCGAAGCTGCCCACCAGCAGAGGGCGGCCCATAAGAATCTCAGCTTCTCTCGCCCCTTCTCGGCTAGTACTAGGACTGCGAGCAGCGATATGATGACTCCAAAAAAGCCGGCTATTGCCATTTTGGCCCATTCACTTGCTGGGTTTGCCGGGGAGGGAACGCAGAACCAAGAGATATGATCCTGTGCGGGGTTGCTCACATTGGCCATCTTCATGTTACTCTTCCCTCTAATCATATATGTCGCTTCCGTTCGTTTCCCTATTGTATGCTGTTTTGCCCAGCACGAAGTACGCAATGTAGCGTGTTCTTCTCGTGTGATCAAAGTTGGCATGACCCTGATTGCCTTCCCCGCGTCAGATATTTATGATTCGCACCCATCAAGGTAGTTGAAATTTCATACTTTTTAGCATGGAAAAGACAGTCCGTTCCGGTAAACGTCATTGATATAGCTGCCACTGTCCAGAAACGAACGACAACTGTTGGAAGTAGCTGTTGCGCTTATAACCTGAGTTCCTGTGGGAATTGGTCATGCCAGTCATGTCCTAGCAGGCCCGGGGACATCCGCAACACGCGGTCATGCTGATCTTCAGACAGTGATTGATGAGGGTGTCATTCGCCATATATCCCGAGACGGTCCAAAAGGCCGGGCGTCTCATGCTCAATCCCCTGTACATTAGGCCGTGTTGGCCGCGCAAGAGTACCTGGCCAGGGCATATTGTCTGCGAAGAATGCCGGCCAAGTGATTCCTGGCCCTTGCACATTTGGGTTCGCATATGTGGAGTGCTTTTGCGATCGTTCGATTATGTGCCAATCGTAAATGCGACGCCAATACGCTCCTCGTTTGATGAAGAGATGGAATTCCACTAGGGTGCTTCCAAGCGCAGCGACGCTGTCGCAGTTGCATCAAAGTAAGGATGAGAACAGGCCCAAAGTTTGAAGCCGTCGAAATTGGAGGAGAAAACCCTTCGGGGCGGGGCTTATATCAAGTGAAATCTCGATCTTAAGCCACCCTTGGCGTGCTCCCTCATCAACGCCCAAGAAGCCCACTTTCCACAAACCAAATGCTCGAGAGGCTCCTTGAAGCACTGCGATCCCACCTGAAGAGGGCTTGCCAGCCGACGGAGACCTTCACGACAAATGAAACCGATGACCCCCTCTGTGCGAGAAGGCAGTTAAATGTCAGCAACAAGAATCAGATCCAATACAGGAGTCATCCTAATGGATTCTGTCATCGCTGCGGCGTATCATAATCATAATACAAGCCCGTTGATGACTCTTCCGGATGAGTTGCTCGTTGTTATGATGCACCGCCTCAGAAGAGACGACATCTTGCGACTTCATTACGTTTCGATAGACTTGATGCGGCTATTCAGGATACCTTCATTTCAGAAAAGGAAGGCACAGTCGCCTTACACAGTATACGTGTGCAAACCCTTCCCTCCCGTCTTCCAGAATAAATGTCTTTTCCGTACCAAAGGCACCTTTGTATTCTCCGCCGGCGACGAAAGGGGTGGTGTTGGTGCCAGTGGCAGAGGTTCAGCGCTCGCGTGTCCCATCGCCGTCAGGAAGAAGAAGTCGTACCAGAAGGAGTGCTCCAGGTCACGCGGCCTGCCGTCCTTGGTCCAAATTCGCCTCTCGCTCAGCTCGCGCGAGAGACGCCTGCGGAAAGAGCGGTCTGCTCTCACCCACCATATACGCCACATGGTGAGGACACAGAGCGTCAAGGGTACCGCCGTCACCCAGTAGACCCAGAATAGGCGGCTTAGGACGGGAAGAGGATCTCGAGCTGCCGCAGGAGCGCCTCCGCTTTCATCGGTCCGACCTGAGGCATCTTCACCTGAAGCCTGCCAGTCAAACATGGACATGCCGAAAAGACCGCTGACATACTCGCCTGGGAGGAAAATGGCAGTGATGACAGCTAGCGCCGTCATGGAAGAACTATCGCGCGTCGCTGACACGGCCATGCGGGCGTTGAGCATGTTGTCCTCTTGGGCCATTTTGCTGTAAATCTGCTCACGATCAGCGTTTGCCCACGCGTCAGTTTGCTCTTGAAAGGGGGCTTACTATGTCAATCTGAGCACGGCATCTAGCCTCGGCCATGCCACGATCGGTCTCGAGCGCGATGCACATCCTCAATAGGCCCTCGAGATACTGCTCAATTTCGTGCCAGTCATCTCGCAAAGACTCTCTCGACACTCTCGGCTTTTGGAGCACTGCTTGGTCACCTATCTCGAGCGGAGTCGGAGCGCCGAACTCATCTAACACTTGGGTCTCGACCTCCACAACATTCATCTCTTCTGCCAGTTCGTCGCCCGTCTGGAGCAAAAGCTCGACAGCTCGCTCCATCCACTTGACCGTGTCCAACAGCTTCATTGATTCTTTCTGCACGTCATGCGCCCGCTCCATGAGATCGGCCATGTGCATCGGTCCTGGCATGAAATCTTCTGAGCCCCCTCGACTCGAGTATCGAGCCCAGCGCAGCCTCTTCTCGTCATCTAGGCCTGGGTCTTCGAACCCAGATATGCTGTGAACATCCTGCTCGAGGATTTTGACATGGAGCAAGTTCTCCATGATGGCCTCCTCCGTGCGCCCGAACTGCACTTGGAGGAGCACAACAGGCGTGACAAAGGGATGCGCCCATTGCGCCCTACATGCCTCCAGGCGATTGTCGTATTCATCGAGCTCTTGAAAGTCATCTCTCCGAGGATTGTGCGACTGACGTATGAGAACGGTCGATGTTCGTGACTTGAGATCGTATGTCATCGAAAGAAAGTCATAAGGAGTTCGAGGATGCGACGAGAAGGCCAATAATAGGCTCAATCTTGACTTGTCGACGGACCAGAAGCGACCCTCAGTCGTCGTTCGACGCGAATACTGAAGTGTCGCAGGATGCAAATTCATAGCAGTTAGGTCGTCTGGTGTGATGCTGAGGCCACCCACACGGTCGAAAGAATGGCCTCGGCGAAAGCACACGACCCGTCTCACACGGCCGTAGACTGTCATGCTTGAATCGAGCTGGTCAGAGGTAGCGAATGCACCATCTTGATCCAATAGGTAGTCTTGTCGAAAGGCAAGATTGAGCATCTCGAAGCCGGGAATATCCGCCTGGTTAAATCGATGCGAGATGGTACCTTGTGGTCGATGCTCGGCCAAATTACCATGGCTTGGTGTGGTGGCGCCACTGCTCCATTTGTAAACCACATATTCGTCGTATTCGATGCCGGAGCCGGAGCTGTTGTCTGCCAGAATGTGGTCTCGTAGAAGTCGTTCTTCGAATTCAAAGAGATTCGAGCTGTTGAGCCCGACGTACTCGGGCATATTGGCTAAGCAAGTCGTATTCTGGACTGTGAATCGATCCGACGTCCGTCGCTCCGGATTGTTGGGTGGACATGGCAGACGTAGAGTTTTAAGTCACGGGTCTTCCTGGAGCTTGAACTTCTGGAAAGAGCGGCGAACAAATGCAGAAGGCTGGCAAGTAATTAGAACCAAAAAAAAGCGCGATGGTCGCCAACCTTCACGTCGTCGATGAACAGGCCTGATGCTGGCTTCGCTTAAATCTGAGAAGTCGCACATGACGTCTGCCAGATCCAATGCTGGAACAAATGAACACTGACAGTAGGATCGCTCGAACAGCTAGTCCAGCAGGCCTCATTGACGACGTATGCTCGATCAAGGACAAGGGCATCCATGCTAAATGCCCCCCGCTCAGGAGCTGCCAGCAAGACGTCTATACAAGGACATCCCCGCGGCGGAGAACAATAGCGGAGACACAGGTCTTGTCATTGCTAAGAGGTCCTGTTTGAAAGAGAATCCGAGAGTTTGGCTTGTGCTGAGCCCGCAGCTTGTCGATGGATGCTTGGTTGGTCTGGGTTCGCATTTTGTGAAGGAGGACTGATTCGCTGAGTGGGGACTTCATCATCCAACCTGCCTTGCCTGCCTTGCCTGCCCACCTGCAGGTAAGGGGACGAGGCAGATGGACGATAAGACAGAATAAGCTGCTTAGTAAGGTAAGGGCAGCTTTGACCTCGGAATCAAGTCCGGACCATCTTTAGCGCTTGCACTCTTCATCTCGCAGATCATCACGCCTTAGTTGACTCCTCGGGCCCCATAACCATTTGCCGAGCGATGTCGCCTGTCGGGACTATGGGGACCTCCGGCCAGATTCCGAGTCGCGACAGACTCGTTATCTCGATGGCCATCTTCCCTCCATCGTCCAAGGACCTACCTAGTATGCCATAGGAGCGACGAGGGCAACTTGTCATCCCCCTACAATACGTTCCGCTCCTCACGACCACCTGCAGGTTGGGTTCAATCGAGGAACGGAACTGAGCTTCATCGATTTGAATGGAACTGGCTACAGAGCCTCGAGCTGGTGCCATGCGGCTCACTCAACCATCAAAGGCACCAGCTGCCGACGCCGTTTTCGAAGCTCGTGTAGCCGAGAGCGATAAGCCCGATGACCGCTCTGCTCGAGGACTTGTCATTCACATCCTGACATGGACGCCTACGAGGCTGCGTTATGATCCGGCGAATCCTCCCGAATTCGGGTACTTCCTCAATTTTCTCTACGCTCTGGTAAATGCTTCGCCGGCCTTCTTTGTGTTTTTGATGTCTTAACGTTCGGCTAACCATGAACACAGTCTGCCACCATCACTGTAGCCAATCTGTACTACAATCAGCCCGTGCTGAACAGAATCGCAGAAACATTCAATGTCAGCTTCGAGCGTGCCTCTTCCGTCGCCACACTCATGCAATCCGGCTATGCTGCAGGCCTGCTCTTCCTATGCCCGCTAGGTGACACTTTGCGACGGCGGCCGTTCATCATTGGGCTGGTATGGGCGACTGCGATGCTTGTAAGAACAATCGAGCTTGTGCCTTGCGCCATAGGCTGACCCTAGAATAGTGGCTCGGCCTTTGTGTCACCAAGTCATTCGATGTCTTTTGTACGCTATCCTTCATCTGCGGTGCCACGACCGTCACTCCGCAATTGATGATCCCTCTCGTTGGGGATATCGCTCCACCCCAGCGCAAGACGACAGCCATGGCGATTGTCGCCTCAGGCCTCATGTTCGGCATGCTCGTCGCACGGTTGCTCTCAGGTATCGTTGCCAACTACACCGACTGGATCAACATTTACTGGCTGTCCTTCGGCGCCCAGTACATCCTCGTTGTCCTGCTCTTCTGCTTCATGCCTGATTACCCACCCACCAACCCCGAGGGCATCAATTACTTTCGCGTACTGTGGAGCATCGTCGCCATGATCTTCACCGAGCCCATCCTAGTGCAGGCCTGCCTCATTGCGTTTCTGTGCAACGCCATCTTCACCAACTTCTGGACGACCCTCACTTTCCTGCTCGCATCGCCGCCTTACGAATTCAGTTCCCTCATCATCGGTCTTTTCTCCCTCATCGTCCTGACAGGCATCGTCGGCACACCACTCTACACCCGTCTGGTCTTTGACCGGTTTGTTCCCTTGTTCTCGACCATCCTGGGCTTGTTCGCCGTCATGGCTGGAGTCATCGTCGGTACTTTCACTGGCAAGGCTACCGTGGCCGGACCTATCATCCAGGCAGCCCTTGCCGACGTGGGAACACAGGTGGCGCACATTAGCAATCGAGCGGCAATTTACACACTCGATCCAAAAGCCAGAAACAGGATCAACACGGCGTACATGATTTGTGCCTTCTGTGGTCAGTTGACAGGCACAACTGTTGGAAACAGGCTGTATGCCCATGGCGGGTGGCTCCTGAGTGGTGGAGCGAGCGGTAAGGCTTTTTGTCTTGACGTCTCCCGGTTCGTTTTCGTGATACTGATCTTGTGCGTGCGCAGTGGCATTTGTCGGGCTGGCTCTGCTTGTCGGGTTTGCAAGAGGACCTAGAGCGAAGGGGTGGGTTGGCTGGCATGGGGGCTGGAGACTACGTAAAGACCAGTGATTACCAGGGTACGATCCTTCTCGACTTCGCGTCACTCGGGGCGTGTCGCGGGACTTTGGAAGAGCAGGCTGCAGGTTGGATCTATTCTATCTCAAAAAGTAACGTCTTACTACATGCTGCGCTGGCGCAATTGGGGCCTTTCATCTCGATCTCATCCGCAGCTGATCATGTTATTGCGGGTTGTTCTTGAAAACTCAAGGTGGACAGGCAGCTGCATACGAGTGAACAAAGATTTGCTTGCGGGGAGCTAAACTGTACACTCCCGGCATCGTGGCAAATGAGTTCGATGTTACGCATGCACCAAGGCGGAACAAAGTCTTGTTTTCCTGGTCATCTTGGGCGAACCTACCGCGGGTTGAATTGGGTTTGACATGGACTTGCTTGATTGGGCGCAAAAGTTCAATTCGGCTTCTTTGAGTCTAGTCTTTGTTGCCAAATGATTAAGCTTTGTATATGAGGGCCCGGGTTGGTTCCGAATTGCATGTTCTTATGCGCAACCTTTGATGAAAGAGGGCCTGGCGAGAGCCATCGGATCTCTTCAAAGTCCACTACCAAAACAACATCCATGCACTTCATGAGCATCACATTGTATAAGTCTACATAGAAAAGTGTGCAATAACGCGATGAGGTGAGACGGGTCGCCAGGTACCAAAGCCCGGCATCGTCAAATGGAGAAAGAAATGTGATGGTCCGGCTAAGCTAAGTAAGTCATTGATCAGATGACGATGTCCTGTTTCGGACACAACGTTGTTCCTGTGAAGAATTTGACGTACTGCGACTGCTTCTGATCAAGGTTTTGCGACCAATCGCTTGATTATTATGCGAAACCGACATGGCCTCTGTACCTCTATTGTTTTGCAGCCAACGTCGCGATAGTCAACACTATATAGAGACTCTACTTCAACTCCTTCTCTTAACCCTCCAGCCACAGAGACTTATGGTACATGTCGTGGAAACCAGTAAGTAACCAAACTGTATCATTCAACGCGGTTTTGAAGATTGCGCGTGATTCACAAAAACACATCAACAACCAACATGGCGCCCATCGACCTCCCTCCCATGCCAGACTTCGGCGTACGGTTTGTATTTCGCCTCACCCTAGAGTTCCTTGTCGAGAAGAAGGTCACAGGGCGGAGGGCTAATAAGAGTTTCGAGGATCCACAGCACGTGCTCGAAGACGTTATTAGGCTGCTGGACAGCCTAGGCCTCCCTGCCATCGCTCCCAAGACGACTCAGGACCACTACGCTTCACATCAAGCCTTATGGCAGGTATCTCGAGCGACGAAAGCTGAGATGGCCCCGCAAGACTCATGGATCGATCCCATGAACAACCAGTACACGGGTGTTTCCTTGAGGACGCCATTCTTCTCTCCTACGAGTAGCTGGGCTGAGGCCGTCTTTGAAGTCTGTGAAGCAATTGCCGCTGAACGCACTGTGGGCATCAACACGAACACGACGCTGAAGGTGGAGATGAAGGTTGAGAATGGTGAGTTTGACCTCGACGGTCTTAAGAACATCATCCGTTTTTTATGGTCAGCAACCTCCCTGATCGACCAGTTACACCCGCCTCATTGTGCATCCAATAGCCCCAACGCGCTAGGTCTCCCCTTTACGGTAGCCTTTAGCCCCTTCAAGCAAATCAGTACTGACGAGTTGCTTTTGAGTAAGGCATCCGCCCCTTACCTATTCAACAAGGGAAACGCCATAGCTACGAGGTCGCCCATGTTCGAGCTTGCTATGTCGAGAGACGATTGGCAATCTCCATTCTACGCGTATAGAATGTCGGATTTACTCAACACCATTACAAAGGACGATTTGATCCAGAAGATGCGCATTTTGCCGGCCAGAGATAGCGCCATGGAGTTGACAGGTGCGTTCATATTCTCTACTCTTCAAGCTAACGAGCCAGATGAACGAACACTTGGATTCACACAGCACAGCGGAACACTGAACATGACGCGCATCTACCATTGGGTTTCGACCTGCCTTGGAATTGTGGACGCATGCCTGACGTCAAGCCCTATGCGTATGAATGATCTACTCGAGAAGCTGGGGGATCCAATCATCCGGTCCGCGACCAGCGGTCGAAGCGAAGACAGCAGCGGCCTCACCGTTGAAGAGCTCTTGCGCCAACTGAAGCTTGAAGAGACAGCCAGGTACTTTGAGGGTCTCGGTCGAAACCCCCAAGTCCCAGAGTTGGCTGAACTTGCTTCGCGATTCGCTGTGGATCTTGAGGGTGTAGAAAAGGATGCAGAAACAAGCCCGCAGTATACATTCGGCGTGGAAATGGAATTCATGGTCCCTGCCGGCGAGAAGGCCCTAGACCCGCACCCCCAGGACCCGCGCTGGTTCATTGATGCCAAGGATTGGAATTTTGACCGTCTTGGGGATGGTGATGAATTGACAACTGACGGATCACAGGCCTCGTTCGTGGACATCACCGCGCAAGAAGACTGCAGTCAATTTCTCCGTATCAAAATTGCGACGCTCCTTGCAGACAACGGTTTCTTCGCCTCAATCACTGACAATCAAGATAAAGTGCACCTGCATAAACTCGCACTCGGCGCGGGTTTCATCATCCATCCTCACTTCAACATTATCTTCCAATCTTGGCAAGTACAGCACGACTTAAGCCTCGACGAAACGGCAGACCCGGTTGATGGCTACAGCAAGGGTTTTGCCGCTATGGAGGTTGCTTCACCCATAGGCCGCGCCAATTCTGATGGGTTCAGGAAGTTTGCCGAAGGTCTTACACTCATGCGCAACAGTTTCCGCACAATCATTCCTCAACAGGCGGGTTTGCATGTTCACGTCTCACCGCACAATAAGCAATTTGATCTGCTTCAATTGAAACGGATCGTGACCGTCATCTGGTTCGCCGAGCCCATTACGCAATTGTTCATTGCACCGCATCGCCGCGGGCCTCATTGCAGATACTGCCTGCCGATTTCGACCAGCTCTGACGCAGCTACTGGCAATGAATCTTGCCATCTTCTAGAGCTCACAGAGGATCCCGAGGAGCAGGGCCGCCTTGAGGAAGACTTGCGGAAGCACGTGCCACTTGGATGCATTCCGTCATCGTTGGTACAGAAATCCATGGGGCTCATCTGGAGCACGATAAGCCTAAGCGATCTGACAACGCTTACCTGCAACGGAGCTACTCGCGGTGCGGTCACCCTGTCACACCTACGGGAAACTGACACTTTGACCAATAAAGGTGAGTCAGTACTGGAAGGGACTATTGAGTTCCGCGCTGCGCAGGGCTGCATGGACCAGGTTTACATCATCCACTGGGTGCGCCTATGTGTGGCGCTCGTCCGAAAGGGTCAACACGGTCAACCAGAAGACATACACGACTGGGTTTCTCGTCTTGTCGAGAAGGTTGAGCACCCCCTAGTTAAACTGCCATACATGCTCGAGAGCCTGGGATTAAGCAGGGACATTGAGTTTTGGCAGAGCCAGGTTGAAAGATTCTCAGTGGTCAATCTGAATCCCTCGAATGAGCATGTGCAGGCAGTGTCGGAAGAGGAGGCGAGGAACTTCGAACATGTGCTGGAGATGTTTGACTTGATAGAATAAAAAATCGCGACCATAGGAGAGGAAAATAGATAATAGGTAGAGTAAGAGATAGTCCTTTGTCCCAACCCTCCATTGATATCCACTTCAACAGCCACTGTCTCCATTACCAAACTTTTTCTGTGAGTGGTCTCTACGTTGTCAAAATTGAGGTCAAAATTGAGAAACCTGATTTAAGCCCCGTGGCAGTTGTATGATAATCATTGTTCCTTGATCTTGTTGACAGACCGCTATCTTCTACTATCCATATTATGGATGTCGGTTTGATGTGTCGCGTCTTCAGCTGAGGGTGAGGATGAAGCAGTTGATGGGGCCGACGGCACCACATCCAGCTGCAGAGTTTAAGTCAGCATATTCCTGCCATTCGAAACATGGCTGGGGCTACTTACGGTTTGCGTTATGTGCGATGTTATTTACAAACGTGCCGCACCAGTCATCGCCTGCCTGACGGAAGGTGCCAAGCGTCTCGCCGTCACGCAGGCCACGATAGGTGATGCCAATGCTGTAATAGTTGACGACATCAAAGTGATGAGTGCCATATTCGACATTGTCAAAGTACGAAGCCTGGCCCCCGCCTGTCCCGGGGCTGTCAGTCATTCATTCGTTTCGCGGAGCGGGTCTAGCGCCTGGATGAGACGAGGTTGTCACTTACAGTTGTCCTGGGCATACATGCCGATCCCAATGTTCGCCCATCCCTGCCTCTTCAGCACCGCGTCTCGCTTGTCTTTGGACACCTTGGCCCAGTCAATGTCGGCTTGGGCGCGGATCCAGGCCCAGGCCTTGGTGCCAGGCTCGGCCGTGACATGGTCGGCATGAACGACACCGTCGTCGGGGATGGGGCCGTAAATATCGACGCCCAGAGCTTCAGCGTTTTTGAACGACTCGATTTCGCCATTACTATCGGTGAAGACAGCGAAGCTGACAGTGTCATGACGAGCGGCGAGCAGCGGAGAAGTCGGAGATGCGAGAGCGAAGCTAAGCAGGGTGCCGCAGCCGGCGAGAATGGTAGAGAAGTGCATAATTGCCGAAAGACAAGAACTTATCCTGTTCAATATTTAGACTGGATATTCTCAAAATATTGATGAGTCCAGGGTTTGATAGTTCACAACTTGCTCCTGGGTTGAAGATGGTCCATTTATAGTCGGCGCGATTTTCTTAATTCTGTAGCACTGGGTTCTACTCTCGTTCGAAAGGCCCTGGTGATACATCTTTTGTCTCTCCAACAAGGCTCCCGTTTTGTTCGCTTGACCGCTTCCCCTTTGGCCTAGAACGACCTGTGGGCCGCCTTCGTGAACTGTGTGACGACCAATGCCCGTCAACGAGTTTCACGTGCCTCACCTTCATCATTGGAAGTATCATGCCCGGATCAGACCTTTTTGTTGGATTCCTCGATGTCGAGGCATGTCCACACAAGAATCTTGGGCGGACGTGGCACTGCAGAGATGACACTGCAATACCGTCAGCTGCTGTGCTTCGTCAAAGATCCTGCGGGAAGTGTTTCCTACCTCACCAGGACAACTAGTTTTTATCGTACTTTCAAGTTCAGAGGCTCAAAGACTAGCGTGGATTGATCCACGTCATCCGATTTGCTGAAGTGTCCTGCTTCTGAATGGTGGCCTTGCGCAAGATGTTGCTCAAGGGGCTAAGCTGTTCTGTCATGCCCTGACCGAGTCCCGCTTTAGGACCTGACGTGAGCCATTGGAGTGACATGAGACTTGGTGCGACCGGGCTTCTTGCCGGTACGAAGACCCGTGAGGTCAAGGTCTCTTCGGCAGCCACAAGCTAATGCGTGCCACCCACTGTCCACGACGATTGGAACAGAGGATGTAAATCGGGGCCACTTTGTAGGGAGCCTCAGCCCTTCTACTACTGTAGTGAGTATGTTGCCATCGCCCCGACCAAGCGGGGTAACAAATTTTTGAAGAAAGGGAGGCTGGAGGTCGTGACATCAAGGCCGACTTGTATCCAAGTGTGGGAGGCAACGTGTTCTATGTCATTACATTGGTGGACGAAGGAACGAAGCACAGGCCAAGTTTTAGTTGGGCAGCATCCATGTTAGGTTCCCGATCTCGTCTGACGGAATTCCCTGCACTTTGCCGACGGCTGGACCACCTGACCCAAACCAAGACTGCTCATGCACTATGATCACACACAGCAATTATCTAATCTGACGAAAGACACATCATGAAATCTCAAGGAAAAAGCACTGTCAACGGCACAAGTTTGCATGACCATGAGTTCAAGTATCAGTTCTTGTCAATAGTCGATTTTGCGGCTACATCAACGACAACAGTGAGATCCTTCAGCTATTTCCGCTTTGTGTACCTCTTCACTATCCGGCCCAAATTTTGAGGTCATGCTTTGAGATGCGCCTCTTCCGAGCTCCTCGTGGGCATCGCGTAGTGTCATGTAAGCCAGATATGCTGGCTAGAGAGTGCTTCAAATCAACTCCCAGGTAACGGAGCCACGCCCAATACCAAGGTCGTCATAGAGAGCGATAAAGATGTCCTCGCTGACATCGACATTATTGATGGCACATCCCATGCATTTGTCGCGAACCTTGCCCTCCACAGTTCTGCCGTTGGCGGAAAGTAGCACTCGCCGGTCACAGAGCGGGTTGCCGTTGGACGGAGCACCCATCTTTTCATGCGATAGGGCGACGATACCAGAAGCACCTGTATCGTCGTAGCCACAGGCACCAAGGCCAGTAGTATAGTGGGTGATTTCGCCCTCAAATGGGCCGGAGGAGGTATCCTGACGGCGTGTGATTTTGGTTGCGGTCGACGGAAAGGGAGGCTGTCCAATGCTGCGTGGGCGAAGAGTCAGCTCAAATGCAAGGTGATGAATGCGGTTTCCTTGGCCCCGCCACAGACGGAATTTTGCTCCATGTCGATGGAAGGAGACGAATTGGGTACGATTGGTGGGATTCTGTGATGCAATGGCACAGGCATATTGCCCATTTTTGTTTCGCGCGCACCATGGCAGCGAAGAGAACAAGGAGGGAGCCCAAGGTCGGAAGCAGAAGAGAAAAAAACAGGCGAAGAACCAATGCACTCACATGTTACCCTCGGGAGAAATACGACAGACAACAAAAGTCTCGAAAAAGGACGGGTGGGACTGGTAGAAGCCACATCCGATGGCGGTTGCGGTAGACCAGACGAGCTGCGCTACATGGATTCATCAGTAAACGCTATACTAAACGGCGAATCAGCGCTGTGCCTACACCAGTGGATGTAAGGACCAGAGTTCTGGTCAATGACCGCGCCGGGGGGATAGTTGACGCGCTCAGCAAGCCAGTCCACCATGGCGTGGGTCATGGGGTGCGCTGAGGCGTCGTCAGGGGAAGTCGAGGTGTAGTGGGCAATGACCTCGCCCTGGTTTGGGCGCTCAGCTTCAGTTGCATGGACAACGCCACCAACCTCACCCAGGTAGCTGGCCCAATTGGTGGCGGCATTGGCAAGCTCGACATCCCAGGTAAGGGGACCCAGGCCGTTGAGACCTCGCTCAGTATTGGCGATTGACAGTGCCATCTCCGAGTCCAGAGGAACAGAGAAAGCAGAGACAACGAGAGCGAAGGCAGCAGCCAGAGTGACGAGTGATGTGTGGAAGAGCATCATGTAAAGGGACGGGGGGATGAAGAAGAGGACAAGATCGTGAACTTGCGTGCTTGTTTGAATGAAAACAACGACGAAATCGAAGGGCTTCCAGCTTGCGGATCAGAAACAAAGAGAGTGAAGTGAATAGTTAGACGAACACAGGTGAGTAGGAAAGGAGGAATTTGCTCGGGGAACGAGGTGTGCATTTTAAGATGTGGACAAGGGGTTACCAGACGAGACCTCTTTCGATGAATCTATGCTTGCCTCCATTCATCGTGATACGTGCTCTGCTTCACTTGACACCGACTTGCAGAAGGAGCAGGTATGACGTTGAACACCTGACGAACGCCTTCCTGATGAGAGCCTGGCGAGGGAGGAAGTGTCCTCGTTCGGCAGGAGCATAGGTCAATGCGGCGTCGATTCTTGTTTGAGCACTCTGCCTTCTCCCCTCTGCTCTCTGCAGGTACAAATGAGTGAGACAGGTGAAGGATGCGATGGCGAGTACAGGATCAATGTCACAGAACGCAGCCCTTGGCGCAGAGTTACAATGTGTACGCGTAAGCTGGTCTTCTTGAATTGTTCTGAAAGTCACAGCAATATCTGGCTTTGCCGACCTTGAATAGGCATACGTGGTGGCATTGAAGTTATCGCAATCACATCCGGCATGTTTGTAAACTAAGTCCCAGCGGTTCTGTTTTGCATTGCTAATTGCTTTGCGTGGGCAGGTTAAATACTTTGATGATGATTCACCAGAGGCATGAAACCCAAAACAAGAGCTAGGTGGCCGCATGGTGGTCGCAGCTTCCCTTTAAATGCGATGAAGCTGAGAGGCAATCCTTGTAGCGAGACACATCACCGGCCCCAGGCCCTCATCATCGTGTTGCGCATGTAAAGGTCTCGACTAGATGTATTAAGTGACGTGCGCTAAGGGCATGTCTGCAAAGAAAATCTCAAACTCGGCTGAAAATCACGGCACATCTCGCAGTACCCTAGAACTTGACCACCAACTTGGAACCAGACACCTTCTTCTGTCGGAGCTTGTCCAGTCCGGCCAGGATGTCAGCAAAGCCCCCTTCGCTGACCGATACGGGCACGGGTTTCAGCGTGGCCGTGAGCTCCGGCAGGGCCTTGTAGAAGCGCGCCAACCCAGCTCGGTCGTCGGGGTTGCCCTCGAACTTGGGGCCCACCGGCGGCAACCACTGAAAGGGCCTGCCCATGAGCGTGTAGGCCATGACCAATTCGAGCGCGACGCCAGGCACCTTGGACTTTCCATTCGGCAGGAGTATCACCACCTTGCCGCCGGCGTTCCTCAAGACCTCGGTGCAGATCTCGGTGGAAGGGCCCTCACCGTAGCAGTCGACGGCTTTCTCGACGGCGGGATGGGCTTTGACGATTTCTTTCGCCACGTTGGGCTTGTTGTAGTCGAAGACTGCGTCGGCGCCGTAGCCTTTGACAAGGTCGGCCGATCGGGATGACGCTGTCGTGATGACTTTGTAGCCTGCGATTTTGGCGAGCTGGATGTGGAAGAGGCCAGCACTCGTGGAGCCACCGTAGATAAAGATCTCCTTGCCGTTCGGCGCCTGCTGGCCCTCGTCGGCCCAGGGGATCCCATGTCGGAGGTTGAGGCTCAGCATTGCAGTGATGGCCGAGACGCCGTAGGTCGTGGCATCGGCGTCGCTGACTGTCGATGGGACGCGCCAGGCAAGGTCGGCGTCGATCTTGAGATACTCAGCAAACGCGCCGCGATCAGGGAACAGGCCGCCGTGCACGGCACCAGCCACACGGTCGCCAACTGCCCATACTGCGGTCGCGTTGCTGCCAACCTCTGCAACCTCGCCGGCGTAGTCGCAACCAATGACGGAGCCGGGGGGCGATATAACATCGAGGTGCTTGAAGTCTGTTGGATTCAACGCCACGGCCTTGACTCTGACGAGGATCTCATTTGCGCCGATGGTGGGCTTTGGAACCTCAGTGACGCTGCCGCCGGGTGCGAAGATCGATTTGTTGAAAGCAAAGTTGAACAGGCGAGTCGCGATGAAGCGATTGGAGACGAGTGCCTTCATGTTGGATATCTGTAAACGTAGATGACTTGAGAGTACTTGGTTCGCAAGTAACGATGTAAACGCAATCTGGTACAGGTCTGCTGTCACCGTTCGATGTGGCCGCTGAGACTCTTTTAAACTTTAGTCGCCGGACCTCGAGTTGAGCCGAAGGAGTGGACCCCGGGGCGAGTGCCCGCGGTCTGCTTCCGGCACTTGAGGCCCACCATGGTTCACGGCATTGCTAGTGTAAGGCCAACACATGGTCATCAGTCAAAGTTTGGGTACTGACCAAAGTGGGCGCCGTCTTTAACGTCTCTCGATCACTTGGAGTGGTCTTTCGGGGAAGGTGTCCATGTGTGACACGAACGAAGCTTGGCCTCGATTTGAGACACTCCCCAATGCGCTCGAGGAAGGGATGCTGGAGAGCTTTCGTTACCTAATTTACCTCCGTTATTTCGATCCAAGTCTGGCAAAATCATACAAGGCCTCCAGAGGGTTGGCTTTCTTCCTCGAACTTGAAAAGTCAACAGCCACAGAGGCTGATATGCAGGTTTTGCAGTCTCCTAGCGACTCTCATATACTTCAGCGAAATCTCGATGTTCGAGAAAAATAGCCTTTCTTTGCAGGCTAAGAACACTTTGGTTGATCACGGGCATTCTTTCACGTACCATGGCACACTTGCTTCCTCTCGATGGTCTCCCATCACTGATCTCATACTCTCATCCGAGCTGACAATTATTTCCTGTTGTGAGCATGCTTCAACCGGATCGGTCTCCTCCAGGCTCTCTATCGAGTACTTGAGAGAAGACCCAAGAGATCGCGCCTTAGTCGTAGACCAAGGACGTGACGAAAGGTGTGCCTCATAAGACGTGTCTAATTGTCGACGACAAGGTGAACCCCCTCCCCCCGTTTTGCGCACGCAAGAGGGCTTTGGAGATTGTCGTGGCCCTCGCAATCACACCATGGTCTGGCGTCACGTCTGTTGCCTGTTGGGTATGGTAGACTGTAGACTGGACGATGGCGTGCGGTGGGGCATCCCGAAGGCAAGTTGTTGGTTACAGATCGGAGAATATTACTGATACTCTGGCGCCAGTCAGGCAGGATTTGTCCATGGAGCTCCCCTCATGGCCGCTTATGTAAAGCCCCCGGTGAGAGAACCATCCTAATGCACGCCAAAACAAAGCGAGAATACATGACTCGCTGCCCACCATCGCCGGGCGCGGTGCTGAGTGCGGGTCAACGAGTGCGCGCCGGAGGAATTCCTGGAATCGGCGTTACTGATGGCTCTCCCTCCAGGGTAGTGCATTGAGTGCCTACACGATCGGAAATAGCACGCGACTGACAGATGCATGGGCGTCAAACCCGGCTACGTTGATCTGCCTGCATTGCGCTACTGACGGGGTTTCCGCCGCGTTGACTCAAACAACCGCATGTTGCGATTGAGGTATGACAAAGACGATCCCAGTTTCTGCAGTGACACCAGCCTTTCCCCACGAGTGCATCGTGGCATCCGAGGTTGGCTGCCATTGATTGGTGATCGCGCATGTCTTCTCGACCCATCCCTTTGATTCTCCGGATGCTTCTTATCCCCGACACTCGAGTAGTCTGATGAGAAATGTGGGATGAGCCTCCACATGATGCAAGATGCGTGGATTTTGAGACGATGAGAGTCTGTGTATATTACGACGCCGGAGCTGCGCACGCTGTCTGAGTCTCTCTGTTCTCCATCGTCTACATCTCAGCGCTTCGCATCAATATCCCGAACACTGCAATCATGTCTGCTCCCACCACCTTCCTCATCACTGGCGCGAACCGCGGCCTTGGCAAGGGTTTCACTGCCAAGCTTCTCGAGAGGTCTGGCGTCACCGTCATTGCAGCGGCAAGGGACCCCGCCAGCGCGTCGTCCCTCGAGCAGCTCCCCAAGGGCGAGGGTTCGCGCCTCATCATCGTCAAGATCGACTCGTCCTCCGACACGGATGCTGCGGCCGCTGTCGAGCAGCTCCAGAGCAAGCACGGCATCACCTCGCTGGACGTCGTGATCGCCAACGCCGGCATCGCCAAGTCGGGCACCTCGGTCGCGAACACGACGCCCGAGCTCCTGCGGGAGCACATCAACGTCAACGCCGTCGGACCCCTCACCCTCTTCCAGGCCACGCGGCCGCTCCTTCAGGCCAGCAAGACCGGCAACCCAGTCTTCCTGCCCATCTCGACCATCATCGGCAGCCTCGGCAGCCAGGAGGCCCTCGAGAGCTTCGGCCTGCCACCGACCCTGAGCCCCTACGGCGCCAGCAAGTCGACTCTCAACTGGCTCATCAAGCGCGTTCACTTTGAGGAGCCCTGGCTCACGTCTTTCGTCGTCCACCCCGGCCTCGTCCTGACCGATATGGGCAGCGGCGCCTTCGGTCCCGGCGTCGACCCGAAGGATTTTGGTGCCATTGACGTCGAGACAAGCATCAATGGTCTCGAGAAGCTGCTCAACGAGGCAACCCGGGAGAACAGCAGTGGAAAGTTCTTCCAGTATAACGGCGCTCCCCTGCCGTGGTGATTGACAAGCACCGAGAGTTGGGCTTGTTTTTCGTTCGAGTTTTTTTTTCTTTCTCATGAGATGAGCTGTAGTCAATGCAACATGGTGATTTGAGCTGAATTGACCTCCTTGTCACCATAACATGATTTGTGATGAAAAATGAAATGAAGGACGGATTTGAGAAGGAAATGTCTGTTTTGCGTACGAAGTCTGTTGAATTGTGTTCGACATCCGCTGAGTGAAATGGCCCGTGCACCGGTGTGTTCTCGGTGAATGTCGGGTCCCACCTCACCCGCTAAGCTCCTCCCGCCAGATTTTCTGACGCGCCTCCCTCCACCAACAGCGGACATCACAGGACCGCGGCCACGAGAATCCACCCATCACCGACGGCGAAAGCAAACAACACACGCCCCGAGTCCCCCAAAGATTCTTCAACTCCCCAGCTGCTTACCGACTCGGAGGCCGATACCACCACCCTGCCCTGCCACGACAGGACGCGATCACATACAGAGTGACGCGCCTCGATCCGTCGATCCATCCAACCAGTCCACAGCGCGACCGACATGCGATAACCGCGAAGCTACCAATTGATCGCCCAAGATGACCACAACGAGACAAAAACCCCAGGCGTTCCAATCGTCGTACGCGCCGCGACTCCGTATTTACAACAATTCCCTCCTCACACCGGCAGTCGCGCCATCGGCACCCACGGGACCTCTGTCGCGAATGACCAAGCGCGGCACCACCATCATCAACTACGCCGAAGATGGATATGATGAGATTGATGACGATGACGATGATACGAGGCGCCGTCCTACGGGACTGCGAAGCTTGAGGAGGGGAGAGGATCTCGCCAACAGGCAAGACGCACCAGAACGAGTCGCCAAGGAGACGCTGGAGCCTGTCGAGGTCCAAGGCGTGTCGCGGGAATGGTTCGCCAAAGGCCGCTTCACGCGAAGTGACCAGCAAAACTCGGCACAAGCTCTCCTACCCTTGACGCTGGTTCCGATACGCATTGACGTCGACATACCCGCCTACGTCCCCGCGGCGCCCTGGGCGGCCATCCCGGGCGTCGACACTACGCTTCCACAGTTCCGACCGCAGGAGCTGACGCCTCCCTTCCGCCTGCGCGACATATTCATGTGGAATCTTCACGAGGCTGTCATGACGACCGATTACTTTGCGCAGATTCTGGTCCAGGACCTCGATCTTCCGAACCGGCAACAGGTGGTGTCGGAAATCAGCAAACAGATTCGCACCCAGCTGGAGGAGTATGCTGGTGTCGCGCTACACCCTCTTTTCCACACCCAGCCCAGTAATAATCTGCCTGCCGGGACCCCGAAACCCCTTCTCCTGAACCGAGACGACTCGGCGACGCCCACACCTTTCGCCCGCGCGACGAGTGGTGCCAACACGCCTCTGCAGAACGGAGGGCTTGCAACACCTGCGTTGTTGAAGAATGTCAAGGCCCTGCCTGACGTGACGGCCGCTGCGACCCCCATCACGGCAGAATCCGAAGACTACAACCCAGACGATACCTACCGATGCATCGTCAACCTCAACATCAACTTGTCGTCGACCCTCTATACAGATAAATTCGAGTGGTCCTTGCTCCATCCGCCCGGAACCGCTGAGGCGTTTGCCAAGCAGACCTGCGCGGATCTGGGACTGGCCGGCGAGTGGGTTGCTGCCATGACGCACGCCATCTACGAGGCCGTGCTGCGACTCAAGAAGGAAGCCTGCGAGGCTGGCGGTTTGGTCGGCGGCTGGGGAGCGCAGAGCGAGATTGCCAACGATGCCGCCCATGGGGCCGAGGCTGGCTGGCGATACGACCCTGAAAGCCTGGCCGACGAGTGGGAGCCCAAGATCGAGATTCTCACCAAGGAGGACATTGAGAAGAGGGAAGGTGACCGCGAGCGGCAAATCCGTCGCCTGCGGCGTGAGACGGCCCGCTTCAGCTCCACGACAGGTCTCGTGGGCGGTATTCCCTTCTCTGGCTTCGGCGGCATCGTCGATGCGGAAGAGGAGCGCATGGGCAGAGGCGAGCGGTCCAAGAAGAAGAAGCGGTTCCGCAGTCTGAGCCCACTCGGTCGTTCGGGCACGCCAGGCGGCCGCGGTACGCCTGACACTGGTGCAGGCTATGGCGGGGGCGGGGGCGGCACGCTGACGGATCAAGAGAGGTTGGCATGGAAGTGCTATCATTGCCACATGCCAGGAACCAGCGTCTGGGCTGTACGAGACGGCCCGACGGCGCCAAGAGTAAGCCTCCCCACACTTCCACACTTTGCTAGACGAGAAGCGCGAGCCAAAGCTAACGTTATTCAGTCTCTATGCCACAACTGTGGTCTTCTATACGAACGGGACCGCGTCCTTCCCCGTCAGACTAGGCATCTGCACTCATCAGCCAACGCGCGCATGGGGTAAGACTGGGCGGACGCAGGCTGCTGGCGGAGAAAGGGGACTTAGAGCTCGAGGTTTTGGTGACGATGGGATGGTTAGTGATAGTCCAGTCTTGGACAGGCGTTGCTGGGTATGAAAGCCGGTTGGCTGTAGGGCTATGTTATTGTGATACCGGGATGCTTCTCTCTCGGCGTCAGGTGGTGGATGAGGTCAACATTGCCTTGGTTGCCGCGAATGGCAATGACGAGCAATGGGCGCTTCTTGAGAATCATGTACAGTATTCTTGTCATTGTATACATCTGTGGCTGTACTACTTCTACGACATTGATGCAAGAGGACGTCGATCCAGCGCGCACGTGCCTATTCGCCCATTGATACACGTCCAAACCTGCAGAGGACATTTCTTAGTCATCCTCCTTCAACGTCACGTCAACTCACGACCGCCATCTCTGACTGAGCTTGCCCACCTTCGCAACTGCTCCTCAACCATCACCCTAACTCAAGGCACATTCAAACTTGCCTGGCAGCATGCTAAGGCCACGGCCATTTCATTTGGCCCTTTTCTCGATGCTCCAGGAGTGCCATGCACGTACCGTTACCCCACTGTCACCCCGCAACCCCCGCGATCCCAGATTGGGACGTGAAATCCTCGGAGCATCACCCATGAACCTCCGTGTCTCGACCCACGCTGACGGCGCGCGCCCCCCGAAATGAAGGCCCAGACTACCTGCGAGATCGCCAAGCCGGCACGGTAGGCCAAGCTTTTCGCCTGTTTGGCGGCCTGGGAACGAATGGCATTCGCCTCGTGCGTGAGGGGAATCAGGGAATCAATGTGCCTCTAGAAGGTCGTTACGCCAATGCTCAGGCACCATCCAGCTCGTATGGCGTTGATTGGGACTAGCGATCCGCCCCTGTATGGCTCAGCTGGGCTTACGTCTCTTCTGCACGATGGATCTCGTGGCTCCCACTGGGCGTCTTCGATAGGGCATTTCCCTTTTGCAGCCCAAAGGGCACGGCCAGGGTAGGGTGTGTGGCATTCGCTAGCTACCTGGATGCAGTAGCTGGTTCTGTTTCCAGATTCGACGTCTCGACAAGGTCACTCCGAAAACCCCACAAAGGTTCTCTTGGAGAAGATCAGACGACCGTTCTGCGCTCATTCCCGACAGCCACGACTCTCGCCTCGTTGACCACGACAAGACCAATGTCCGAAAGAAGGAGGGGTGGAAACAGCCTTTCCCCGAGTTTCCTCACCCCAGCATCACCGTTCCATCAGGAGATGATAGGCTGTTTGCCTTCCGAGGCTGCTGCCGCCGTACCTACCGGCACCCAATCTATCTGGAGAAAATGAGTGCTTGTTATCACACGATGCGACGTGGCGCGTGGCCGATCCGGGATGCTCCTCGTCGGATTAATCTGTGGGGGACGACACCAGGAACCGGATCGCCCATCTTTGTGTACCTGTTCCGGTACTCGGTCTTTCTGCGTGGAGTCTTTTGCGGTACAGGCCTCCCGAAGAACCGACGATCAATCCAGGGGGCAAACATGGCAGCTGGCCTCGAATACAGAGAGCGACTGCTTGTTGATTTCGCTCCCGCTCGCAGCACGCTGCGTGAATCGGTAGGCTGTTCCGTCGTAAGATGACAGGGGCTGGTTGGAAGCATTACCAGTCCAAAGTGTTCTGCAGTAGTTTCTCCGAGGATTGATTGCCAAGGAGAGCGATCGGAGAACGATGCGCCTGGTCGGCCTCGAGCAACAATACCACGGGCACCGCCTCCACGCCAAGAACGGGAGCCAAGACGTCAATTGCCCTTGGCATGCGAGCACATCGTGGATCGTTGCTTGGCCATCTTGGCAAGTCGCCGCATCGTCAACGTCCATGAACACTTTTGACGATGACATGATCACAACTCCAGGCTCTCTTCCTGAGCAGTTGGTGTCTGTCTCAAGTTGAATAGGCGTGACCTTTGTGCGGGGTGCCGCTCGCCTAGGTGCCCGGAATCCGAGCCAGTCAGATCCCGAAAACCTTCTCCTTGTTTGTAACCGGGCACACCAGGGAGACGCCGATGATTGATGAGTAGAGTCCACCAGCAAATTAACCGGATGTTGCGATGGGCTCGGAAGACCAAGGGCAACCAACCGATACGTCGGGAAGTCTCAGAAGACAGCCGTACCCCCAGCTCTAGGTTGTGACGAGCCGTGGAACGGGTTCGTACGAGCCATACGGCCCCTGCGACCATTCCCTACGAACAAAAAAGTCACAACTCGGTAGAAGCCCTCCGCGTTGATTATGGCTGGCTGCCAAGACGATCCTCGGCAGTATCGGCAGCCCCTTTCCCCCAACCTTGTGGACCCCTGCAGTCGATCCAGCCGCATGACCCCAGTGGACATCGTCAACCCCCAAGCCCAGACCTGGGGCAGCCACGCGCAGAGCCTGACCACATCTTCGGCTTCTCTCCCATAGTACGTCGACGCGGCTGCTGGATCATTAGTTGCCGCTTTCGACACGGTCCTTCAAGGTCCTGCCTGGCACGAGGCTCTCGGACAGCTGCAGCGACGCGGCTCGCCACTCCCTTCTGGGCTCATGGAACCTGATCTTCCTGGTCATCGTGAACCGCCGCGACATGTTGCTCCCAGCGGCTCACCTTCGACGGTCCGCGCGCCGACATCGAGTCCGCTGGTGCGGCCCTCGTCGCCACCACACGGTGCTGGCTCCGAATATCAATTCAGACATGGAAACTGATGCGAAAAGGTTCATGGCAATCTCTATAAAACCACGGACGCTCGCTCGATAATTCAATCTCTGTTCTTCATCCCACTCACAACATCTTCGCCTTTCACTCAGGATCTTCCACTTCAACCCGCTCATCAAAATGAAGACCAACTTCGGTGTCCTCCTGGCCTTCCTGGCCGCCGCCCGCGCCCAGCAGGCTTGCACGTCTCAGGCTGAGACGCACCCTTCTCTGACCTGGCAGAAGTGCACTGGCACCGGTGGTTCCAGCTGCACCAACGTCTCGGGCTCCGTCGTCCTCGACTCCAACTGGCGATGGACGCACACCGTCTCCGGATCCACAAACTGCTACGACGGCAACAAGTGGACCGCCTCTTGCGGCACCGATGGCACTACCTGCGCCCAGCAGTGCTGCGTTGACGGCGCCGACTACGCCAACACCTACGGTGTCACCACCAGCGGCAATGCCCTGACCCTCAAGTTCGTCACCAAGCACCAGTACGGCACCAACATCGGCAGCCGTGTCTACCTTATGGAGAACGAAACCAAGTACCAGGGCTTCAACCTCCTCGGCAACGAGTTCACCTTCGACGTTGACGTCTCCAAGACCGGCTGCGGTCTCAACGGCGCTTTGTACTTTGTCTCCATGGACCTGGACGGTGGTCTTTCCAAGTACTCCACCAACAAGGCTGGCGCCAAGTACGGTACCGGATACTGCGACAGCCAGTGCCCCCGCGATGTCAAGTTCATCGGCGGTGTTGTCAGTACAGCCTCAGTCTCCCAGATGAAGCCCGACTAACCATCACTTACAGGCCAACGTTGCCGGCTGGGTCCCTGCTGCGGACGATCCCAACTCTGGTGTCGGTAACCTCGGTGCCTGCTGCGCTGAGATGGATATCTGGGGTACGTTGCCTGCCTATCCACAGCCCAACACGACGACCACATGCTAACAACTTGACAGAGGCCAACAAGATCTCCACCGCCTACACTCCCCACCCTTGCCAGAACAACGCCTACCACACGTGCCAGGGCGACAAGTGCGGCGGCACCTACTCTGCTGACCGCTACGGCGGAGACTGCGATCCCGATGGTTGCGACTTCAACTCGTACCGCCAGGGTGACAAGACGTTCTACGGCGAGGGCACTGGTTTCAAGCTCAACACTGCCCAGAAGCTCACCGTCGTCACTCAGTTCCTCCGCTCCGGCGGCAGCACTGGTGATCTTTCCGAGATCAAGCGCTTCTACGTCCAGAACGGCGTCGTCTTCGCCAACTCGCAGAGCACCGTTGCCGGCAACCCTGGCAACTCTCTGACCCCCGCCTTCTGCAAGGCCCAGAAGACCGCCTTTGGCGACCAGAACATCTTCGACCAGCGCGGTGGCTTCACCCAGACGAGCGACGCTGTCTCCAAGCCCATGGTCCTCGTCATGTCCCTGTGGAACGATCACTACGCCAACATGCTGTGGTTGGACTCTACCTTCCCCACCACCTCCACCGGCCCCGGCGCCGAGCGCGGCAGCTGCCCCACCACCTCCGGCACGCCCGCCGATACCGAGGCCAACCAGGCCAACGCCACGGTGCAGTTCAGCAACATCAAGTTCGGCCCCATCGGCTCGACCTTCAACCAGGGCGGCGTCAGCCCTCCCAGCGGTGGCACCACCGTCGTCGCTCCCCCTCCCGCCACGACCCTCGCCACCACCACCAGGGCCGCCGTCACCACCACCACCACCCGCGCTGCTCCCCCCACCACCACGACCGCCTCCTCCGGCGGCGCTGCCGCTCCCAAGTGGGGCCAGTGCGGCGGACAGGGCTGGACCGGTCCCACCACCTGCGTCGCCGGCTCGACCTGCCAGGCCCAGAACCAGTGGTACTCCCAGTGCCTGTAAGCGCCCGACGGTGCCTGGCGAGCGGTTCACCGCGGTTTCTCCGTGGGCGATGAGAAGCACGAAGTCAAAGACGAACGGCGAGGGTCTCAAAAGAGGAGCCGTCCCGGCTCAGTACATGTATCTCCTTTCTTGCCTTTATTTGTACATGCTTCCGAGTCGTCGGTCTAGCCATGCCGGCGCTCAGTAAATATATGTCTATACATTGCCTCTGTGTCTTTTCTGCCGTGCATCGTGATTTATAGTAGCCACATGATCTGGTCCTTGGCTTCTTGACTGCGGAATCCCGAGCGCCACTGATCCGAGGGAGCTTGATCTGCTGCCCACGAGACGTAACGACTAGCAGCTGCTCCACGGTACTTCATCAAGATGTATAAGCCCCTCGGGATTTTCTGCTGACCATGTTTGCCCCGGAAAGCCAACTCTTCCCCAGTGTGAAACTATTGTTCTTGAATCGTGTGGTGTGGCGATGCCGCATCCCTGCATTCTCACACCTGAGAGGCACAGAGATGCGGGGACACTGGAAGACCTGGGCTCCTAGATTCTCGAACGTCAGCCACGGCAGTCAGACAGTCGGGCACCACTGCATGGAAAAGAAAAGCAACACGAAGCTGATCGTGAAAAGGCGGTCGTTCATCTAGACATCACTACCGAGACGGCGACGCCAGAGAAGAACACGGCGAGGCAGTGTCTCTACAGCCACCCACATCTAGTCGCTTCATCCTCCTCTGCACACACACTAGACTCACGGCGGGCTGCCACGCCGCGACAAGGATGGACAGTAAGATGTACTTGACTACCCGGTACCCCTAACGCCTGTCCTATTTCTCCAACTAATCCCATGGCCTCCTTCCCGTCTCCTGCTGTCCATCGTGTCCCCACTTCAGACTCCTGGTACAGCCAAAAAAAATACCCCGCGAAATGCGTAGACGGCCTTAGGACCACCCGTTCGTGTTGACGCCCTGGTTCCCCATATCCATGCCCATGTTCAGAAACGCATCAATCTCGCCCATCCCGTCCGTCTCCAGCGCCGTCATGAGCTCCAACTGCTGTTCTTGACTCAGGCTACCCTGTCGCTCCGCATTCCAGCCTGCCGGGGGCCCACCGAAAGGACCCAGGTTGAACTGCCCAATGCCGAGTCCGAGCTCAGGAGCATTGGTGTAGTTGTGTGCGTGGGATCCGTCGTTGAAGAAGCTGTTGCTCATGGGGGTGAAGTTATACGGCGTGATGAAGGGCGGCGGCGGCGAGAACCAATCCGTGATGCCACTAGGTGTAGGCAGCGGACGTTGCTGAACGTGCGGCGGAGGAGGCGGCACCACGAATGTGGGCCCGCGCTGAGGAGGATGGGGTTGCTGTCCTGGCTGCGTCATCTTGGGCGGCGGAGGCGGCGGCGACATGTTGGTGCTTATCGCATTCATCGACGGCGTGAATGACATAGCTGGCGAAGATTGCGGCATCGTAGGCGTGGCACTCGAAGGCGGTGAAATTGTCGACGTCGTACTGCCAGGAGTACCAGCATTCATCTGGTTCGCACCGAGCGACTCCGGAGGGGTGGGAAGATGGCCAGAATGCTGCGCCGGTGTCGACATTGAGGATGCATATCCAACGGGCGTGTTGCCAGGCGGCGTCTGGTCATCCAGGGGCAATTCTGGAGGATAAGCTGAAAATCGTCGGCCAAGCTGATCTGTGGAAGGACCCATAAAGATCGAATTGGAACGGAAGGTTGGGTGGATTGGTTGATAGTTTGCTTCGTATCCGAAGTGATTCATTGCTTCGGGGGTGGCATCGAATACGGTTCCGAACTGGGGCGCATTGACCTTGAACGAGGGCGCAGTAGACGCCGAGTTGTCGGAACCCTGGGGAGAGTCCGTATCGAATATGGAGGATGGCGTGTTGAGATGGCTGGAGGAAGCAACTGTGGAGGTGTCGCGAATGTCGTAGACCTGGAGACAGGCTTTGGCGAAGACGGAGTACAAGTTGGAGGCCGATTCCGAACCGGGCCATCGTTGAGCGCACTGTTCTTGATCGACAATGTCAAGCGCAACCTGAACCAGCTCATCAACTTCTTCTCGAGAATGTGCCTGCCGAACTTCGGGGTACGAGACCGCCCAAAGCATTGCGTTCAGAGCCATAAAAAGAGTCAACAAGAAAATCCAGGTGATGTCGACAGCCGCCTTTTCCATTTGCTGTTTAGACAGGTTGATGATGTACGCGGCGCCCTCATAGCAGATCAAGGCGGCTCGGCCAGATGGCTTGGGTATTTGAGGAGATGGCCGGTGAAGGAAAATGCGCATCTGGTGGGCTCGGCCAGTGAACCTATGCATTGTTAGCAATTTCAACCTGAACTGGCCATATCGAACTAACCAAGGTTTACACCAAGCTGGGTTCTCTGGTGATTGGTCCACCCAGTCTTGTATGTCCTTTTCCATCTTGCTGAACCAGGGATGTGTCTCGTTCTTGGGCTCAGGGCGTTTCTTCTCATAGAGAAACCGCTTGATCTCGGCTTGCGCCATCCTCATCTTGAAAAAGTGCAACGCGACAAGCTTCTTCTCACTGGGCGGAGCAGGGAGAATGCCTTCCTCAGTGATGTACTCGTCGTCAACAGTGGCAAAGGGCTCGACGTCCAGATAATCGTCTCCCTTCGATATGCCGTTCGGGCGTCCCATGCTATGAGCGAGGCCGAATTCCATTGATGCGGTGACATATGAGAGCCGGCGTCGCATATCGAGGGTCAGGGGGTCTATGAGGCCTAACGAATAGTCGGCCGATATCGTCTTCTCGTCGGTAAGTCCCTCGGCCTGACATATGCGCGTTGCCATGCCCACAACATGGTAAATGGCCATTCGCGTGGGCGTAAGCATCGAGTATTGCCCGATGAGGGCTAGGCACTGCAGAGTCCTCAAGTCTTTGGATCGGATCACAATCTCAAAATACTCCATGGCGGCCAGGTAGTAGCTGTCGGCAAGTCCAGCGTACTGGATATCGAGCTTCTGAAGGCTAATGGCGAAGACCATTCGGACGATGAAGTTTTTGTAGGAGCACGTTCCACCGGCGAAGACTTCTTCCAGATCTTTGAGAAACTGTTTTTCGTGCAAGGTAGGCCAGAAAACTTGAGCTATGCAACATGTTAGTTTCTTGAAGGCGAGCAGAACGAGGCGGGGATCGACGCACATCTCTGGCAAAATATGTCGACAAGCCGATCGGCGACCTGGCGCGCGGGCAGTGAAGTGGCGGGGTGTGCGCTTGTGGTGGGATAGCTCTTCTTTCGCTTGGTGGGTTTCGCCATGACGATCGATTGCATGCGTGTCTGTCGTCTCGCTCTCACTTCAGGAATGAGCTCAGATATGCGCTTGGAATCGGTGAAGAGTTTCGCTTGTTCCATGAGCAGGCGGGTCATTGCGATGCCGCTGCTGGGACCTAGGTATCGCGGCGTTTCTTCAGACTCTGAAAGTCGTACGAGTCCGCCAGGACGCACAAAGTCTTCGTTGCTGCGGGGGTGGTCGTTGTCCTCGTCGGTGTACATGCTCAATTCGTTCTCTAATTGTCGGACCTTTTCCTGAAGCTTGACTACATAGTTGCGACCAATCTTTCTGCCTTTTGTCGCATCATAGTATTCGCACACGGAGCCGGATCGCTCGCAGGGCAAGCAGCGCGGTAGTGTTGGATCGCATCGGGTTTTCCTCTAGAGAAGCGAACTGGTCAGTATCGCCTGTGAGACTTCATTGACTGCGCTTGCTTCTGAGAGGCAAATCGGAAGCGCCCTCGGCCCAAGGCAGATGAGGGGCAGTGGGCGGGCTCACCTGGCGACAGCGGCAACAAGCTGTCAAGGTATGGGCGATGCGTCCTGGGTGGTTCGCACCATCATCGTCGTCCTGCGGCGAGGGGTTTCGAGCGACGCGAGGGACGTTGTAAGGGACGGGCCGTGGCCTCGGAGGCACGAAGGAGTTGAAGCCTTGCCGGAAGACGTCGGCGGCGTCCATGAAGGCGAAGAGAAGGGTCAGCCGACCGCGATGTGTGTGTGTGTGTGTATGTGGCTGTCTCTATGTCTGATTGTTGTATAGGCCGACGGGCGGCTGTCGTCGTGGTCGTCGAGTTTGTCGTCGGGTCGGGTTCAAGTGCAGTCGTTTTCGAGGGGTCGTCGTGGGTTTGAGGTTGCTGCGAGGATCCAGTCCTAGCTCAATCCGAGTTTGGGCGACTTGGCAGGCGGGATCGACGTAGGATGGAGCCCCCCTCCCCGGATTGCGACAGTTCTCGACGAGCCTGGGCTCGGACTGGGACTGTTGGATTTGTCCTGCAAGTCAGGAAGTAAAGGCCGAAACGACAAGTGGATCTGACGGAGTTTGGGGAGCAAGTAGCGTCGAGTCTGGCTACAGACAGCACAATGTCGTCCGAGGAAGTCGGCCTGTCAAGTCGGGGGGGCAATGCGGTGGGCGGGTCGTGGTGTTGCTTGTGCCTCTCTTTCAGACGGCGAAGCGAGAGCCTTGGGCACGTCCAAGCCACGGCGCCATTGCGTGTTTAGTGGTACTTCTGATAGTCAAGGAGAGCAGTGAGGAGCAGCGGCAGCTGTGACCGAGATCAAGTGGGGGGGAGGGGCAGGAGACGTGGGGGGGGGCGGGGGGGAGAGAAGGTGGAAGAACGGGTGCTGTGACTTGCTGGTAGGTACCAAAAGGACTTGCTGGTACCAGAAGGATTCGTGCGTCTCGAATTGTGAGCGCACTGTGTTCAGAGGGAGTTCTGGAGGGCGGCTACCCGCTTGTACGCGGCCAACCCCGCTGCTTGACAGTTCGCTTGTACAGTGTCCATCTCTATCTGCAACTGATCATGGCAGGCACAGGTTATAGTGGGGCGGATCCCGAGAATAAGACCGGATCACAAGCGAAACACATGTCGTGATTGGTCTTTCAAAGTGATGACAAGATGACAGCAGTGCGAATGCGAGGAGGCGGAGGAGGGAAGGAGAGGCCAGGTGCCTTGCAGAAGAGCCCAGTCTAGCCCAGACCATGGGCAGAAGAACAAGCAGGAGCCGCACAGCCTTGAAATTAGCAATGGAACACGAGATGTGAGGCGACTTCTCTCATGCGCCGGACATCTTCGGTCCAGTGTCATTCATGGTGGCTCGCAGTCTGGCTGTCCTGTCACCAGCCCTGCCTTTCCAGGGTCCTTGACATGGACATCGTCACGCGACCAGCAACCCAGACCCCAGGGTCCCTCAACGATCCCCATATCCTCGTCGCTGCAAGATTCAGACAAGGCGCATTCGAGATACCCCGTGTAAGATATGACCCATAGGCTCCACCTAGGTCTGGGTGTCTTACCAGGGCCATCTTGCCAGGAGATTAGGCATTCTCTCTCTGCTCTGAATTCCTAAAGGTGAATCGACCACCATCTCGGCCATCAGACGTCGACGACCACCTGTATCTTGCCGCACATCACAAGTCTCCTCATGTCGTCAAGCCATATGCCGAACCATAGCACGCCTCATGCCCCTCTTCAAAACAAAGAAAAGCCACGGGACTTCGGTTGCAACCCAGGCCCCACCACGAATGGGCTACCGGATGAGGCGTGTCTGTCCACTTCAGCACCCGGACTAGGCGCGCGCACCAATCGTGCTTCCTGGAATCCTCCCGTCGGCCGCCAGTCTCCTCTTGGTGCCGCCTGTGTTCGACCGAATAGGCATCTGAGCCGTCACCTGGACCTCCACCGCCCGAGCCTTATCAGGCTAACATCGGAGGGTCGAGTCAAGGTGCATCTGAATCGATCAATTCGAGTCGACCCTGAACCGAACCGACCCTGCGCTAGCCTGTCGCTGGGAGGAGGGACATGCCGTGGCGGCCATATTGGATAACCCCGATGCTGGGCCCCTGTGATCGACGACCCTGTCCGCCGTCGACAGGCTGAGTGAACCGCCAGCCATGGATCAAGTAGGTCAGTGTCCTTGCCGCTTTTGTGCCGTTCAAGCCCAACACACACTCCCTGAGACAGCAAACATCGCCTTGAGGTCGTTCTTTGGCGCATTGTCGCGCTCAACTCTGCTGGTAAGGCACACAATCGCGTCCGCGAACAACCCTGCCATCAAGCACTACTTTGACGGGGCTTCTTCAGCCCAGGTATGCATCATGTGAAACGCGTGTCAACTCAGGGTAGTAGCATAAACCATGCCCTGTCTCAACGACACCCGCCAAGGATGCAACCCTTTTACACGGTCTGTGCCGGACGACAACTTGTTGATACAACAGTATCGAATGCTGTTGATTCTGCACTCAGCGCAATCGATGTGCGAAGCCTCGTCGTCGCGAGTCCTGGTATGCATTCAAGTCTTCGCAAATGATGACACTTCGGATCAATCACGTTCGCTCTCATGATAACGCAACGAATCATACGACGAGTCACTGGTCTCTCAATGTGTCTTTCACAGTTGACATTACTCATATGGTTGGAGTCGGAAGGCCCCCATCCCCGGCAGAGAAGCAAGAATACGACCACACAGACAGTGTCTCGAGCAAAACATGACTCGCAAGAGTGGAAGATCGCTCCAAGAGCGACAATTATTCACAAGATGGTTCAAGGGGGCGACTCTCGGACGACAGGGGAACAAACAGCATGCCTCGAGGCAGGTGTTGGGTTGCAAAATTGGATCCAACAACGCGATGCATCCGCAACTGTTAAAGTGCACGAACACGACGAGCACCAACAGGCGTGGGCGTGGCTAGGGTCCTGTGGCTTTGCCGTAGGATCCACTCCTCCCGCACTGCCCGGTGAGCCTAAGAGCAGCGAGGGCCTCTTCGGATGAGTGGGATCGCACTCGTCAAAAACCCATCTGCGGGGCTCAGCATCCTTCAATCCCGCGCCTGTACCGTCCTGCCCTCCCAGGCACGCTCCCCCTCGTGATCACTCACAGACCAGCCTGCCTGCCATTGCTTCAGTGGCCATTTTAACGCGAACCATACAGCCAGGCGACAGTAGCCGCGTTCACTGGAGGACTGATACCTAAGCTAGCTAAGGCAGCCAACGATACCGGAGCAGCGGCCCGCTAACCTGACCTGGCCATTCAAGCTGTTGACATAATCCTGGCACATTGGCAGAGCCGCACACGCTCTCACTCCCAATTCTCCCTCTCATCGACTGTTCACCAGAAAGAGGACCGGCCAGCCTCAGAGCCTCGCGCCTGGTACATATTTCCAAGCTCTATCAATCTTGGATTCCGGTCTTCGCCATCGTTCCGCCAGCTCTGCCTTCAGTCATCCATATCACACAGCTTTGGCTAGTGACGTTACGACGACACGAGATACTTACCCCGCCACTCGCGCTCGCCAATCGTGCAACCTCCATCTCTGTCCCAACCGACCGAGCCCCAGCGCTTCTCGAGCTCAGAGGTCCGCGCGCGACGCAATTCACTTTATCATCCACGACCTAGCGTGCTTCGGCCATCAGCGCCCAGCTTCCTGGACATTCACTGCGGATTTCGTGTGCACCCGCCGAGATGCCGGGCTCTAGCTTCTCCGATAACCCTCTCCTTCGGGTATCGCGGCCCGTATCAGCATGTTCACGTTGTAAGTCTGCGACGTCCTCTTCTCCCAGATGCTACTGTCAAAGCCGCCTATACTAACCCACGTCATTCATACAGGTCGAGCTGCGAAGGTGAAGGTATGTGATGACGACTTGTTTGCATCTGGGGTCTTCAACCGAGCTAATTTGCTTCCTTGCCATAGTGCGATGGCAAACTACCTGCATGCACCGCTTGCGAAAAGGCTGGCCGTGAAAGCGAATGCTCTAGTGCAAATGATCAATTCGCTCGAGGAAAGGAAAGGAGGTTCGTCGCCCCCACGTTGACCTCGACATGCCTTGTGATGTGAGGCTGACAAAGGAATAGCTACGTTGCTGCTCTGGAACTCAGGGTCGAGAAGCTTGAACGTCGGTTGGCTTTTGCCAGGCTGAGAAAGGCTTCTGTCAATTTGCATGAGCCTGATGACTTGACCACCCAATACGACCGCAAAGACTCCTTGGCAAAGATCCGTGCCGCAATTCACCGCAAGGCTGCTCGGCGACGTGAGGACTCGGATATCAACTCGCTCGTCTCGGACTTTGGCTTCATGTAGGTGCCTCAACTTGCGTCTTGCCTGAGCCTCACTTACACCTTCCAGGTCGGTAGACGCCACGTCGCGCGACTTCGAAGTCGACGTCAGTAATCTGACTTTTGGCCGTTTCGTCCTCGCCGCCTCCACCAATGAACTAACCCCAGAGCCTGCGGAGAAGAGCCTGCCGCCGCGGCAAGAGGCACTCACCATGGTCCAGTACTACATGGCCAACATCTTCTCTGTTGTACCGGCCTTCTCTGAGACCAAGCTTTTGACTGTACTTGACGATCTTTATCAACAGGACGATCGTGTCATACAAGACTCGGATTACTGGCTGATTTACCTGGTGCTTGCCATTGGGTATGCAGCTCAAAGCAGAGAACGGGAGGACTCATACTACCTCAGCGCGGTCGACTTTGTTGGGCGCGCTCTTCCATGTGCCGACGGCGCTCTGGGACCTGGAAGCATCACGCAAGTGCAGTCTCTCATACTGCTGACGCAATACTCCATGCTCGATCCTGTTCACTTCGACAGTTGGTATCTGATTGGCTTCGCATGCCGCGCTGTCATTGACATGGGGCTGCACCAAGATCCCGTCCAGAGCCAGATCACTGATGCTGCTGCGCTTGACACGCGGAGAAGAATATTCTACTGCGTGTACTCGCTAGACAGGTAAGTTCCCTTTACACAAGGATCGCTTGATTGTCATCGGTCTGACCAAAGCACAGGGCCATCAGCATGACGCACGCGCGGGCATTCAGTTTCACCGACGAATCCATCAACGTCGCATACCCCAACAGCTCTGGACAACGCAACGCAGGCCGGGACTCCGTTGCGCAGGGCCTCGTCGCGGGACCTCAGGATGCGGACCCGGCTTTGTTCCTTTTCGAGTTCCGCCGCAAACAGTCACACTGGTACCAGATCCTGTTTCAATCGGAACCCAAACCCCTTCACGATGCTGCTTCATTCATCTGGCAAATGTGTCTCGACATGCGAGAGTGGAATGAGTCGCTGCCAACGACCCTATCGGCACCCATTCGGGATCTCTTTGACCTTGATCTTCGCTACAGCTACGTCTACTGCCTTGCTCCTTCGGCCCGCGCACCAAACATCACCCCATACACCCGAGCTCTCATCTTTGAGCACGCCATCGCTTACGTCAACGCCATCCACGGCGTCGTTCATCACCCAACACCAAGTCACACTGCCTACTACACCTATCACGACGTGTTGAAACTATACTTCATGGCCACCCAGCTCGTTACTGTTCTCAACGATGGCGCCGATGCCCTGCTTTCTGGTGTATTACCACAGGCACCTCTGACACGCCCTGGCGCTGCACCGCCGCCGCCTCTGCCACGCCCGCAAAACCCAAATGTGGACAAGGTGTCTCAGAGTCTTCGGTGTCTGCAACAGGTCGTTGAAACCTTGAAGAAATACGGCGAGAGATGGGAGAATGCGCTACCACTGAAAGATAACTTTGAGATCATGTCACGGGATCTTTGGTCGTGGTTGAAGGCTCGCAAGCAAATGATAGAGCAGCGACCGCATCACAGCCCTCAGCAGCAACAGCACCAGCAACATCAGAGTCCCCAGCAACAGCACCAGCAACACTTCCAGGCGCAGCAGCAACATCAAAGTCCTCAGCCACAGCAACAGTTCCAAGCACAGCAGCAGCATCAAAGTCCTCAGCCACAACAACAGTTCCAAGCGCAGCAGCAGCATCAAAGTCCTCATCAACAGCAACAGCAGCATTTCCAGGCACAACAGCACCATCAAAGTCCTCAGCAACAGCAACAGCAACATTTCCAGGCGCAGCAGGCCACTCAGGCCATGGCTCACGGAAACGGAATGCAGCAGATGCCCGGAGTCTTACCCCCTGGGGCCCCTGGTGGACAGCAATATCGATGGGCCTGACGGATGTCACGTAGAAGGTTTGCTTCAGACGGCAGAACGGGCAGAACTTGGAGGCGGATTCGATTACTCTGAAACATATGTCAGCGGGTTTGGGATGGAGTTTGCGTCTGGGCGTTGAGGGCGGGCCCGGACATGGCGACGAGATCTATAGGTTACTGGAACGACCTGCGATTTGTCCATTTCAGTGTGTCAATGAGGATTCCAGTGTTTTCGCAAGATCCAATCCTTGACTGTATTCCTGTTTACAGGTGGAGGGGTCAGTAAATGGGGCCCTAGTGGATCAGCGTGACCTGGGATGACATTTCAAGACACGAGCCGACACAAGCATTGTCCCTTGGCCGGGGCATCTAACACACGGTGGCTTTCAAGACCTCCACGGTCTGTGCTGTGTATGGGTCCCTGATCCTTTCCACTGGATGCCTACAAGCGAGCCCCGGAGGGGTTTCCATGTACTGGGCACGGTCGCCGCCTTCCTCCTGACTCGGAGACCGATCATTGCCAGAGAAGTCGTGGAGTCTCGTGCCCGGGACCAAAGCCCACTCATCGTTCCCCAATCGTGGACGCTGCAGCATCCTCAGGTAACGGAGGCGGCTTCCTCCGTGGAGAAGGTTGCTTCTGCCGTCTTTGGTGCCGTTTCCGAAGGTCGAAGCACAATCATAGGCCAAACAGCGGCTTTTGGATATTCTGGATGGTGTCGGTTTAGATCGTCAACATACTGTGGTCGTGGCTCAAATGTGGCACAGCCTTTTCTTTGGATCGTATCGATGATCTTCACGGAGTACTTGGTAAGCTGCTCGATGGCCGGGATGGTAGACCCGTGCGAAGCGGATATTGCAGGGCCGAGGTAGTCTGGTATGTGGCAAGTAGAAAGTCAGCTTTCTGGTTGTTTAGGATTATCCATCTTGAGGGGAGAAGGGTTCCATGCGAACGTAGTTGGGAAATTTGGGGACGTGAAAGTTCAGGCTGTATTTGGACACTAATACTGGTTCAACTTAGCCCTCTTCCGCCTGACAATGAGAAGACGCAGTGTGTACGAGTGGTCGAAGCTGGTTGCGCAGATGATGGCATCCGATTCGAATTCAGTGCCGTCATGGAAATTCACGGAGTCCTTGGCTAAACGCCGAGGAGTCTCCCGTGAGACATTCACGTGGTCCTGGGACAGGGCCTGTAGATACCTGGTACCTGGCGTTGACCTACACGCATGCCACCTATCAACGTAGTTTATGGTTCAAGTCCATTGGCGACATTTACATTCAGTATCCGAAGTGAAATAAAGGAATCAGCCTCTCCGCTGAGTCGGGCTTCTCTGCGAGGGTAGTGCTCATCATTCTCCGTATAACAGCTTGCTCTAGAGAGCCCTTCATAAGAAGTTCTGCCTGTTACTGCTCGACACCTTCCACGTCTCAACGAAGACTCGATTTTGAAGCTTGAGCCATAACTCATAATCTTAGATAGGAGTTAATAGAAGTATACGCTTTTTTGTTCTCCGTTCATGCTCCATAGGATGGGCTGTCTCCCAGGATGGGCTGTCTTCCTCGCCATTCTGCTAAATCCTGCTAGCCGGGGAGAAGAAGAACAAAGTAGTAAGCTTGGCGGCGCCTAACCCGGGGACACTATTGTCGCATCCACCAGGGGAGACAAGGAGACTGGTGATGCTTTCCTGGTTTACCTTTCGTAGCCGTGCCAGAGTGCACACTGGAGCCCATGCTCTAGACCTCCGCCCCAGTCCACATCATAGCCCACGCCGTAAACACTTTATCAAGACCAAACTGCGCAAACGGCACCTTGGCGACATCGACTTCCCTAAACCCAAGGCCTGCGTACAATTTCCTCCCAGCAGAAGACGACTCCAGGAAAGCAGGCACACCAAGGCCCGCAGCCCTTTCCAAGCCCCATTCCATGAGCTGCTTCCCGACGCCCCGGCCCTGGTGGTCCGGATGCACGACCAGCACAGAGAGGTCTGCAACACGTCAGCGACTTGGCACAAGACCTCGTTTCGCAGTGCCAAGCGGCACCTCAGTTGCCAAGAAAACTCACAAACACAGGGCTTGCCGCTAAAGTTCGCCTTCCGCAGGCCATCAATCGCACCGAGCATCTCCGTCGCAGCCGCAACGTGCACGCCGGGACCGAAAGTACGCGGCTCCGGCTCCGGCATGCTCTTGCCATGGACGAACCACCGCGCATAGCCAACGAGCGTCTCGGAGCCCTCATCGTTGACGTCCCACGCCGCGAAGATGCGGCACCCGTCGTTCTGTATGGCGGCGGACAGCGCCTGGGCCTTCGTCTCGGCGCGGTCCTCCGGGAACGGGCCGGGAAAGACGAGGGAGTGGAAGTCGCTTGCGAAGGCGGCGAACTCGACGGTGCTGCAGCGCTCCAGTGTGGAGAGGTCGAGGGCGGCGACTGGGCGGACGGAGATGGCCATGCTGGGCGACGTGATGGTGGACTTGCCAATGGCAGATGCAAGAGGAAACGTCGGTTATCTGCTCTGGAGGGTATGGAGCGATGGGTGGGTATATTTCTGCCTGAGACGTTCTGAAAGACCTTCCGTGTGCCGAGTAGCCGGACGTCGAGACGGGCACTGGGAGAGGAGCTTAGCGGGGCTCGAGACGATCTAGAGCTCGATCATGTTGGCAGCGGTTTGGGACTGTGTCGAGTCGAAGGACACAGCCAGCAAACAAAAAGGCTTCTCGGCCATTCTGAAGGACGATACCGTCAGTAACAGATAACTTTTGGTCCAATAATGGATTCCCCTTCAAGCAAACCGAGTGTTTCGTGAGAAGAAGATATGAGTCATCATAAAATGGTGATGTGAGAATCCCGCTGCAACGGATGACGCATCGCGCTTTTTGAATCATCGGAGGCGGCCTTCCACTCCAAAGTCCGGCAATCAAAGAGAACCACAAACATAGACTCGCAAACCACAATTCAAGAATACAATGACACAAGTTCAATTGAAAGTTATGCGACAAATCTAATGATTAGGCTCGCGACGCTGTCTGAAGAAACACACTCTGCCGCATCCTCCCATCAAACGATCTGCTTGCGGGCCTCGGTCTGCTGCACCTCCGAGCCGTCCTTGAGCTCGGTGACGGGGGCAGTGCTGTCGGCTCCGGCATAGTGGGGCTCGCCGTGGAGCATGTCGGCTCCCTTCTCGGTGTGGTTGGCGCCGCCGAAGATGGTGTCGATCTCCTCGAGGGGGATCTGCTTCGTCTCGGGGATGCAGAAGTAGACGAAAACTCCCAGGACAAGGTTGATGGCCATAAAGAAGAAGAGGCACTTGAGGCCCTCGTTCTTGAGGAAGGTGGGGAAGAACTGCTGGAAGATGGTGTTGGCGACGTTCTGCATCTGCGAGCACATGCCGACGGCCTGGGCGCGGACGTTCATGCTGAAGACTTCGCTGGTATAGATCCAAGTCGTGGCTCTGTTTCCGATTGGTTAGCATATTGCTGCAAGAGAATGGATTGCCCAGGAAGCTGAGAAACTGGACTTACCCCCAAGTAGGCTTGTAGAAGAAGGCGAAGAGGAACAGCATGAAGACGATGGAGATACCGACGGGCTCAGACTTGACGGGCTTTCCGGTGGGCGACAAGTGGTTCGGGGTCTTGAGGCCAATGATGGGGACGATGAGCATGCACATGGCCATACCAGCGGAACCAACCATGAATAGCCAGCGGCGGCCGAAACGGTCAGAAGTCCACATGGCGTTCAAGGTGAAGAAGATGGCAAAGGTGGCGTTGAGGGCGTTGATCAGGTTGATGGTTGTGTTGTCGCTCCAGACCTGCTTGTAGATCGAGGTGGAGTAGGTGTTCAGAGTACCCTGGCCGGTGAGCTGCTGGCCAACGTTCAGGCACGAGCAGAGCAGGAGACGCTTGCGGATGGAGGGGTCCTTGAACAGAGCAGTGTAGCTGATGCCGCCAATGGCCTCCTTCTCGTACTCGATGGCGCTGCGGATAGTGTGGAGCTCCTCCTCAACCTCAGCCTCGGTGGCACGGATCTTGGCGAGAGAAGCACGGGCGGCCTCGACATTGCCGTTCTTCTGGATGTGCCAGCGGGGGCTCTCGGGGATGAACATGATAGCGATGCAGATCAGAGTGGGGATCATGGCCTGGAAGATGACAACCATCTTCCAATCCCACTCTCCGAGGCTCTCGCGGTGCTTGGAACAGGCGAAGTTGATCCAGTAAGCGATGAAGCTACCGACAGAGTAGTTCATCTGCCAGATGGTCATGACCATACCACGAATGTTCGCGGGGACGACCTCGCCGATGTAGACAGGGGCAGCAGTGAGAGCGAGACCTTGACCAATACCGATGATGACACGGCCGACAATGAAGACAGAGATCTTGCCCTCTACACGCGACATGTCAGCCATCAGTTGACAAGAGTGAGGAGACAAAGAATGCGCAAGCGAAGAAACTTACTGGGCGTGAATGTCTGCATCATGGTGGCAATGATGGTAAGGGCGCAGCCGATGAACATGCCCCAACGACGGCCGAGGTAATCGGCGGTGGGACCACCGAGGAAGAAACCAGCGACAATGGCACCGATGGTATAGGATGTGTTGACTGGAATCGGAATTAGTTGCGGCTCTTCCATAGCACACCAAAACAGAGAACGTACTCAAGCCGATCATTTGCGTATTCTCCCTGTCCAAGCCCACCCACTCGAACCAGTTGTCGGATCCCTGAAGGGAGTTGTAGACGGAGGCATCGTAACCGTAGAGTACCATGCACAGGGCCGCAACTACGGCAACGTACAGGTTGTACCACCTCGTAGCGTGAACCATCTTGCCGGCTTGATTCCTCTTTGTCGAATATGTGAGGTGAACTGGAGGAAGACTGTCGACACAGTGAGAAGGGATGAAGATCTGGAGGGCACGAGATGGTGCAGATGGATGGAAGGGAGGATGGGGTTTTAAAAGATTGTCGATCGAGACACTGCAGTCCCATCCAGGAAGTCTCGATGCGCTACCAGGGCCGCATCCTTGGACTCATGGCCACCTTCACCCCTGGCCAACGCTAAGACGGGAAGGCAGAGGTGGACGGACGGGCGTACTGGTGGGTGTGGGTGGTTTCCGGGGGAGTGGAGAGGACAGCGAGAGAGTGAGCCAGACCCTCGCCCTCTCTCGCGCGCGTGACTTGCCTTCTAAACAGCACCGGGGCGTAAGAAGCATAGAGACATGATAGTGAGCTGGGTCCAGGAGGCCGGCCAGACCCTGGGAGGTGCCGCAAGCGAGAGGCGACACTTCACGGCGCACCCCGGACTAGTCTCTGGGTTTCCCCTCGCCATCATGGCATTCCTGGGGCTCTTCTGGGGCAGACTCCACGAGTCATCGTGGGAGACGGGCGACGGGAGCCGCAGGACGCGGAGAAACCATGAAGAACGAAATTCCGCCAATGGGCAATTCACCTCCGAATGCCGGGGGTCGAAGAACAGAGTGGGTGGAGAAAGGTTTAATTCTGGAGCTTGATGTTCAGGCGACACGACGGCGGCAAGACTGAGCCGGGAGACGGCACGAGAGAGTGTGTGTGGCCGAAGAATCGAGCGTTCGCGCACCCATCATCCACCCACCGTAACAGGCATCGGCTGGACGGTCAGTGATAGGGCGGGGAGAAGGGGGGAATGAGGAGAATGCATGCTCGAACAGACCAGCGGGTGGTTGGCTGGACGGCTCCGATCCTTGGCCCTGTCTGCAGCTAAGCTCAGGGGAGACAAGCTCAATGGAAAATGGCAAAGGCGAGAGACCAAAACCTTGTTTGCGAGTCATCGAAGATACACTGCAGTGCCTGTTGACAAAATCCGGTCTCTCTCTCTTCAAGAATTCCAGATGTGCCATCATTGTTCGCGAAGCTCGTGATGCAGCAGATAGGTTATCGGTTCATCGACTCGCCAGACTCTAAAGTGTCCACCTCCACGGTGGATGAGCGGAGGAAGATCCCCCCCAACTTTGGAGGTCGAGAACTGTCGTCGATGAGGCTGTTTCGGGACATTATTATGGGACCCTTACTCCCCGCACCCCTTGCTCATCTTGGCCTGCAGCCGCTTGTTGTGCCGACTCCCGGAACCCTTGACAGCGACTGGCCAGGGTGTGGGCGGGGGAGGGTGTAGGAAGAGACACGTGCGTTGGTGCGCCAGAGAAGGAGGAGAGGGGGATGCTGTTGGCCTGAACAAACTCCGGCGATGATGGACCACATTGGGAGGAAAGATGAGGAGGATGAGTGTTCATGGCAGAGTCAGGACAGAGTGAAGGAAAGAGAGAAGGAAGGCTGTTGGAATCGATGTGACTAAGCACGTGACAAAACCGCTGCAGCATCCAGCCTCGAATCCTTGAGCCACAGCCTGGCCAAATCACGAAGCAGGCAGGTTCCAGGCATTCGAGACCGCCAGCACAAACACCAATTCTGCATCCCAATCAGGCAATGCCGCTTTTCCACATCCTCACAGGCCGCGTGGCCGCCTGCCACCGGTGTCTGGCTTCAAGTGCATCACGCACACGCCGCACTCGCACGCTCACAAGCCATTCAACTTTGCCAGACCAGACAGCGCCCACACGCTTGGCACTCTCCTGTTCTCGAGCTTTGGCCACCTGCCAGCAGAGCACCTGAATCCTCTGTCCAACGAACACCACCCTCGCTCTGCCCTACCGAAACAACTTCCTGTGAAAACGACACATGCGCCACGCAGCAGACAGGCGATCGCGTCTTGGCATTCGGGGCCGAACGACGCCCAGCATCACTCCCGCGTGAGCCATCCTTCCCGTGCGCTTGGGAGGGCTGCAATCTTGGCAAATCAGCCTAAAGCATTCATCTCCATGCCAAGAGATGAGGCGGCTGTGGCTGGTCAGAGCCTGGGACCTGCCGTCCACGCAATGTCGAAACTACGCGTGTTGGCTGCTGTAGGCGTCTCGGCAGACGACCAAGCTACCCTGACCATTCTCACACGGGGGGGGGGGGAAGACCCATGGTTTCCCTCTCGCCCGACATCGACATCTGGGGCAAGATTTGGAGGACCACGAGCGTCCCTAGCTTCGCGTATTCCTAGTTGGCGACACCCTCTTTTGGCTTCTGGGGAGGAATACCAATTGGTGGAACAAATGGGTGCTATAACCGTCCCCCGGCACCGCGACATGTGGATGTACGAATGGCTCCATAACGCCATAACCCGACGGTTCCCATTTATTATGTGGGGTGTTCCGACGGGGCAAACGCAAAAGATGGAGAGAGCGAAGAGACCCCGACAACACCCCTGCCTACCTGCGCGCGCCCTGTGACTCTAGGAAAGTTCGAGTGGGCGTAGCTCGTCGTCGACCTTGGGTTCCTGTCTCGTCATACAGTATCGATGACACCTCGCTGCCACAGCTCTGGGATCTGGGTCAGTTCGTGCACTCCCAAGACACTATTACGTTTCCTCACCAGCGGGCTGGGACAATGCCATGCCATCTTGGAGTACCGGAAGCCAAAGCTCACCACTGGCTCTGGTGCAGGGATTTGTGAAGGTCTTGTCCAACTCTCCCAGTCGAAAGTCGTCACCCACGCCCTCGAAGCCTCCCTGTCTCGCCCAATATCCCTCCATCATCTCGGTTATGGACCTCATACTTGGCTTTTTCAGTTTTACAAAGCAGACAAATGATACCGGTACTCGATCACAGATGGCTAAGGCGCCAATAATATGGGCGATTCCTGGCGCCCGGCCAAGAGGAACCAGACTCTGGCCATGCAGCGACTATACGCCCTTCCCGGCATACCAAGCCGGTACAAGCATTTCAGCTTTACATCGTACTTTAAGCCAAGTCTCGATCTTGGTCCTGGCATCGGCCGAGCCGTCTTGGGGTGTCGGCACCTCGTCGCTGTTCGTTGTCAACAATTCCAAACTTGGCCTCTGTGGCTGACCAACCGGGAATCACGGCACGCATGTAGCCAAACTCATATCCGAGCAAGCCCCTTCACGGAACTGGGGAATCGATCAGTCCTGTACGTTATATCGGCCGGCAGGCAGACGATGCCATTTTCCACGAGTCCTCGACGCCGATTTGATTTCCTTGCAATGCCACAAATCTCTACCCGATGTTCATACGAGGATCGCAATGATGGTTTAGTATGGGTGAACTTGACGTGTCCTCCCGAGGAAGCAAGCCGCGATCTGATCACCTGCTGTCAACTTACAACTCACTTGCTTCTACCTGCATTGGATCTACCTATCGACTTCTTCAGCGCGAGTTAAAGGGTCTGTACGATGCAGATACCCTATTCAGCTGCAAACTAATGCTGCATCGACCAAGTGTTATGCTTATTTGCTGCAGCGCAGACAGGTCACCCGACGCCCATCCCTTTTGGTCTTAGCAAGGTGGACACGCGTCCCTCGCGCATGGCCTCGATCAATGTTTCCTGTTAGAGGCAGGCCGTCAAGTAGTGTGTCCCTTCATTTGTGCAGTGTGCATTCGCCCTAGTTTCGAGGCAAGGGATGAGGGGTCAGGAGGCTGTAAGCTTCACGGCCCCTGGTCCGAATCTGGGGTGGCGCCTGATCCTGGGCTGCATGAGCTGAGTCGCCGGGTCACAGCTTGCTAGCTGTTGCATGGAGGTTTGGCGCGCTCCGTTGACATCTAGACATTGTACAGGCCATTTAGCCAGGACTTTTGTCTCGTTCAAGTCATCAGTTTGATACTCTGGCTCCTTTGCGCGAGTTGAGCTACGAACTCAAAGCACTGACGTCCGCCTATCCAGTCATTTCGCGAGGAGATCAATAGAACGATTCGAAAGCTAATGTTGTGTAGCGAATCATTGACAAAAGTTGGCTACTTGATGCTGAATTGCAGAACAGTCGCGAGTTCATACTTTAGCTCATCTCTCGGGTCGTAGACTGAGGCCCACTGCTGGATCAGATGGCAGGAGGATACGTTCGGGGGGCTGAAGACAATATCGCAGGATGTTGATATCAGCAGCCTCAGTAAAGATGTGCAATCCCCCACCAGCAGGCCGGCCATGTTACGATTTGACGTAGACTAGCTTTGTCTTTGACTGATATTAAAAAATGAAGATTCTAGGCTAAAGTGATGTCTAATTTGATGTCAGGAGACATTTTACACCGTTACTGAAATAGAGGCTCTCTCAAGGCAATGCCACCTCTGTCGTTCTGGACTATTTCATCAACATTGAGTAGACAGAAATCATAGCGTCTTTAATCACAGCGGACATAAAACTTGGCTTGTTTCACAAGAATTGCTTGCAATATTGACCAGACGATGCAATGCACTGTTGTGGGTTCAGAGCAACCTGACGTGGAACGCACGCAAGCCGAGCTGATTTCATGTCCGATATAGGATGCACATAAAGAATCAGGTTCTAGAGAGCATACAGATCTCAGCCGCCTATTATCAGAAGCAGTGAGGTCTTTCGAACATCTCTCGTGCGCGGTGAGTCCAGCAAAACAGGTATCACTCAGAGCTGGGATACGTCAGCAGGCTCAAGATCTCTGAGGGTTACTGTGGAAAAGAAATGTCACGGGGTTATATCAACATGTGATCCGTAGCTGATGTTGAAAGACGCAGAAGATTCATACATCATTCCAGGTGAACCTCATTATATGAGTTTGTAAAGGGGTTGGGAGAGATCTGATTCCATTCTTCTCCAGCAAGCCGGACCAAGTCTCAAAGTACCGCCCCAACGCTTTGAATTATCCGTTTTCACACTCCCACCCTCCCAGTTCGCTCATTTCTCGCCAATGAGCGCGAGAATGACATTCTCGTAATCTCCGCTCAGCATTTCCTTGACATCCTTGGCAAACGGCCGGCCGTACTTGGCCTTGTACGCATTCTTCGCGGCATCCAGACGGCTGCGGTCCCAGTAGAGGGAGACGACGCGGTTGATGAAGAGCGTGTCCTTCCTCTTTGACTTGAAGAGCGGTTCGCGCAGCCGGGCGGCGTCGGCGCGGGCGCGGTCCTGGGCGGCCTGGACGAGGTTGAGCAGGGCGTCCTCCATGTCGCCGCGGAACTCCTTCTCGATGACCTCCTGCATGTTGCGGTGGTACTTGCGGCTGTAGGCCTCGGCCATGGCGTGGATCTGGGCGGGGCTGCTGCTCGTGAGGACCTGGGCCACCGAGACGGCGTTGACGCCGATGGTGCCCTCGGTGGCGCGCTGGAGCTCGGTGACCTTGGCGTCAATCTCGGCCGGGTGGACGGGCGCCGCGTCCTCGGCGCGGTGGCCCGCGAGGACCATGCTGTAGAGGCGGAACAGCGTGTCGTCGACGTCGTTCTTGATGTCGGTCAGCAGGTCGCGGCTCTTGATGCGCTTGTACTCGGCGACGATGGCGCGGAGGTCGGCGTTGGAGCGGTTGAGCAGCACGTCGTTGAGCGCGTCCTCGTCGGTGCCCATGCGGTTGAGGGCCTTGTCGAGCACGCGCGCGTCGTTCTCGAGCGGGCCGCGCAGCAGCGCCAGCAGCGTCGTCTCGAGGTCGCCGCGCGTCTCGCTCTCAATGTCCTTGGCGAGGTCGCGGATGAAGCGGCTGTTGTAGTCGCGCACGAGCTGGGCCATGGTCCAGGGGTTGGCGTACTTGGGGCTCGTGAAGACCTTGATGAGCGCCTTCTCGTCGCACCCCATGCCCTTCATCGCCTTGCGCACAGTCTCAATGTCGGCCGACGTGTCGACGGGTTGCACCCAGGCCTTCTGGGCCGGATCGTACCCCGGCGAGGCGGGTGTCGGCTGGACATTGTAGGCGCCGTACGGAGCAGCACCGGGCGGCGGCTGACCCCATTGCTGAGGAGGCTGTACGCTGGGTCAGTACTGATTGTGCAGACGATTGCATCGCAAAGGCGTTTGAGGGTGACTCACCGGAGCACCTCCGTATTGGGGTTGTTGCTGGTTCGGCGGCGGCGCCTGTCCATATGGTGGCTGCTGCTGGTACTGTCCATAGCCTTGCTGAGGAGGCGCGCCATGCGGTGGTGGTGCGCCGTATGGCGGCTGCTGCTGCTGCTGGCCGTACGGCGGTTGACCTGGCTGCCCTGCTGGAGGCGGCTGTTGGCCGTAGTATGGCTGCTGTTGCGGCGGCTGCTGGGGGTAAGGCTGATTAGGGTACGGCTGGCCTGGTTGTCCCTGCGGCGGCACGCCTCCTGGGGCGCCCTGGTATGGCGCTGCTGGTGGTTGGCCTTGCTGCGGGGGGTAACCGTAATATGGCTGTTGTTGCTGTTGCTGGTAAGGAGGCTGCTGGGGATATCCGCTCGGTGGTGGTCCTCCTTGCGGAGGGGCGCCGTGAGGGCCCGGCTGACCGTAGTACGGCTGCTGAGAGCTCATTTGAGGGATAGCTGATGATTGGAAATCGAGCGTCGGTTGTTCCGGGTTGAAGGCACGATTGTCGCGTAGGTAGTCGTCTTGTTGGAAGCTGTGTAGCTGTGACACTGGGTTTCCTCAGAAACGTCAAAGATCAATTACAAGACTAGCTATCGGACAGCGGCAAGTCAGCAGCCAAGGCAGGTTCTATATACCATGCGTAGAGGCCTCCTCAACCCTGGTGATCCTGATTCCGGCTGATCCTGCGATGCTTTCTTGCACTGCCCCCCTCTCCCAATGGTGCTGTGCCACATGCCCCGCGCTCTAACCGTTATCGCATCACGTCACTGGGGACCGGCGAAGGAGGGGCACGGGGCTGAATGGGTAGCTTTGCGCCAGGTGGCCGTTCTAGTATCTCTAGCGCAGGTCAATCAAGCATTCTGCGGGTTCATCTGCCAGTCATCGTCGAGCGTCTTCAGCCCTTTTCTCGCGAACATCAGCCAATTCCGGGCCATCGCTGCATGTGAGGATCCAGGGGAGGTGGAGAGGTGCTGCTCATTAGTGCCAGGAACGTTGCACAGCTTGAAGCTTGTCAGCCCTTCGGTCGCGCGATGCCTCAGCAAACCGCCCGTCTGAAGCACCACATCCTGTGACCGCTGTGTCAAGACTGCCGTTGACGGGGTCCATTTGGGAACCTTCGATTTGACTGATTCTAGCCTTTCAGTTTCTTGTCGTGCGATACAGTTGGATAGTTGGTCTTCATTCAATCGCAGGGCGTGCACAATGCCAGGTTGCGGTTTCATAACCTCCTTCTGGCTTGGCGAGGCGTGCACAAATGTCACTTGTACAACCTCTCACCATGTAAGCCGGGTGAAGGTGAGGAAAAAGAAGACAAATTGACTGGCGGCCTCTCTGGCCTTTATAGGTCAAGACAAGTGCGTCTAGCGTAAGGTATCGTCGTCCCATAAACATGTCCCTTGGTCCAAAACGCCTTTTCCCAGCCCAGAATGACGATCTTCCATCCTCTCTACATGCACAACACTGCCCGCCCTACAAGGCAATGAGGCAACGAGGCCTCCGCCCTCCAGTTGCGGTGCTGACGCTTCTTGGCGGCCCCCAAAAGATTGCACTACCGAATAGCGTGTGCGCCATCGAGACGCCCGGCGCTTAGAGCTTCGGCAACAACGGGGAGGCAGCCTCCTGGGTGCCGCCCATCGCTATGATGGCGGAAATAGAGTCGGGTTCCGACAGGTAACGCGTCATGGCCGCAGAGGAGGCCGACTGGTGCGTGTTCGTTGTGTGGCTGTCACGCCTGTGATCATGGATTAGATGGTTGGGCTCGTCTGGACACCAAGAGCCCCCAATAACTCACATGGTTAAAGCATCAAGGCTGAGGGGCGCCACGGGCAGAGCCTTGGATGCGTTTTGGGAAGGCATTTCGCAAGTCGAAGATGTCTTTTGAAATGCAAAAAAAGTGAGCAGTGATTGCACTTGGACGAAAATCAATTTGTACGATCGATGAAGGTGATTACTGGGAATGTGTGCCTTGTGATGGTATCAAAGGAGGAGGTGAATTCATCATCAACATCAACCAAGACGACTGCTTTTATCGCCTACAAACGAGCTTCTGGACGGCCCTTACTCGACATGGCAAGGAATGCATAGGTGGTTTTCAAGCTCGCAGTTTAAAATTTGGCTGCAAACCTCGACCAGATAGCCGGCCAGCAAAACTCCACTGAGCAAAGCTCACCGGACAGCTTGGCTGGTAGAACATGAGATATTCAGCCTGCCGAGATTCCAAGGGAAAGTTCTGCATGGCGAGTTCTATGGGGATATTAGGGTTGCATATCGAGCTTTGCGCGTGGGAGTTTTGCGTTTTCAGTAAAACTCCAAGCTCGCGTTGTCAGCGAAACACATCATTGCTAGTGCAGACGTGGCAGTGCTTGCTCTGCATCCCGCAGCCAAGTCTTCTGGCGTGGGTGCAACAGCCTCCCAGCCTGACCGAAAGTAGAAAATGGGACAGACTCGGTACAAGGTTCGCGGACGGACTGCCCCTCATGTCGGGAGCCTCATATGACCACGAGCATCCACCGGCTCGGCTTATTTACCTCGGACTTCCACCTATCTATTCTCTCCCGTAAGTGCACTCCCACAAAGAAGGATTGCCTGCGGTCATAGGCTCGCGTTACGCCCGATTTTGGAACCTTTGATCCTCAAGTTGATTGCACAAGTCATACAATTTGTAAGTTGGTCCTTTTTCAGCTCAGGTTTTCTGTGTTTCGAGTCGATACTGACCAGTTGCCCCCGTTCAGCAACCATGGATTCTACGGACAGCGGCACAGGCCGAGGAAATTCTGTCCCGGGTCACAAATATATCTCCTCTACCCGAACTACCGCAACAGGCTGGCGTCAGAAACTGGCCGGAAATTCCGAATATTGCTCCCTGCGCGGCCTGAAGAGAGTGTCCTCGAAGTTCATCAAGCCCCTCCGGCAGCCAGTGGCCCCGCAACAACATCCAAGAGTACAAAGGCCGCGTCCCCTTCTCTACACACCACATGCTGAATCCTCGTCACGCACTCAGATCATGTCGCAGTCTTCCTCTACCCGCAAGCTAATGGCTTTTTTTAAGAATAACTCGGATCGGGACTTCGACCTGGGCAACAGTATAAGTGCCAGCCAAGCGACGGCTGGCAATAGCCAAAGTGACTATGGAAGGCTATCTAGTCAATTGAATTACTCCGGCGGAAGCAGTGATCCACCTACGATTGGATTTCTTTCCGAGGTGGAAGCTGATCAACTCGATACCAATGATGGCTCTGAGACTTTTGGCGTGGCCGCGGCTCAGAACGAAGCCTCCGAAAACCCACCCTTGCTGTTTTCGAGTAATTTGACGTCGCCAAAGCGAGGAGTGTTGGGATGCGAAGAATATGCTAAATGGCCTCCAGAGATCACATGTAGGCAAATCGGCATTCTTCTTTGCTAGAAGATCGAATTACTAAAAGTCATTAGCGGATGTTGCTGTTCCCGACGACCTCGTCGTCGACAACACGATACCTACGAGGGCGACTAAGACCGACCACATCAACCACCGGTGCAACCCCATTCCATCAGGAGGCAATCACGCGGCCGAACACTCATCAGCGCCATCGTTTGCGCCGAAGAACAATGTGGCAAGGTCTGCTACAAACAGTTCAGAGGGTACGATGTCTACTACTTGGTCTAAGACACCTTCATGGGCGACATCGAAAACGTCTTCAACGGCCACTGAGATTGATTGCTGTCATAACTTTTCCGTTCGTCAAGGTCTTCGAGACACAGCCGGCGAGATTACTCAGTTGTTTTACGCATCCAAGGCCCCGGTCGATAAGGACGAGTCATCGTCCGACACGTTCGGTCGAGCCCAAGATGGCGCTCTTTCGGCAAACCATCAGCTAACTCAAGGTAGACTCAAGATCGCCTCCGATCTCTCCAGTCTGCCTACACAATCGAACGAGGCCAGCGCGCCTCAGAACTTCCTGCCTTTGACTCATTCCAACATTGCCTTGTTGGGAAGCCAATCCAAGGGGGGCGATCAAGCAACATATGCAATGCCGGAGAAAGAACAGGAGAATGAAACCATACGCAAATGTACTTCTGTCTCGTGCCTCGGCAGATCTCCTGTACTAGAGGATAACGAGACCGTCGGGTCAACCAACGAAATCGCTACAAGCTCTTCGTCGCACAGCTTGGCACTGGGTCTTCAGATTCCAGTAAGAAGCCAAAGGCCCGGCAAGGCGCGGCAATCTCAGGCTGTTTCGGGTGGCAGAGGTCGAAGTTTGAGTGATATCAGCGAAACTCTTTCTGATGCTGGAAAGTCGAATGCAGAGACGTCGCCTCCTCTTGTCAAGTACTCGGGCTTTGAGGGCGGTGATTGGCATGGTTTCCAACCACAGCCAACGCCGGGATCTATGAGTGAGGTGGATTTTAATTGCGACGCAACCCAGAGTCCACATGATCCCATCTCCCAAACGCCAGGCACAACCCCGCCAGAGAACACTGAAACCGACCTTGACACAGAAGAAGACCTGGATGACTTCGAATCTGAAACAACAGAGGAAAGCGTCGGCTCACTGCTGAACGCGTTCAGTGCCAGCCGCCTCGAGCCTGAACTTTTGCCTCTTGTGGTCTACTTGAGAAGGCAGATTTGGCAAAGTCTGGCTTGGGAGATTTCCAACTGGGACTACGCGGCGAGAAGCCACGCAGAGCCATCGACTGACGGCAACTCATCTTCATCTGGTCATGGTCCACCTCGCAATGACAGCGCAGCGGGCGGTGAACAGGCGAGTCAGAATGCCGGAGGATCGAAAAGGCGCTGGGCCGAAAATGATGGCAATGGAGCTGGCGGTCGAGACGACGGCGGCCCAGGCAAAAAGCCTAAGTCTGCGACGATGAACGGCATGGGACCTGCAATTTTTGCGTGCCTGTTCAAGAAGAGATACCCCGACAAACACTGGCACCGGAGCTGTGATATAGGGTGGCGAACCATGAGCCAGGTAAAGTGAGTATATAACATACCCACGGTGAATGCTCGCTCAACCGCTTATAACTTCAGGACCCATTTATATGAGCACCACAAGCTCGACCTCCATTGTGACCGCTGTTTTACAATGTTCAAGTCTGACGCCGACCGTATAGAACATGCAAGGTTAAATGACCAGTGTCAGAATAAAGACAGGCCAGAATCACTTATAGGCATGAATCGTGATATGGAGCAGGCTCTACGAAGCCGAAAGGGCATACAGCATGTTGCCGGCCACATACTCTGGGCGCGAGCCTGGGAAATCTTATTCCCAGGGCAGGATCAACCGGACACGCCTTGTAAGTCCTTACGCATATTCTAACGCCATATCATCAGGAAGTAAAATTGACAAGACTCATGTAGACTGCAAAGTGACTCGGATCAAAAGCTTGAAAGATCTCAATGCCGTCAAATGCATTATCTCAGATGGGTTCAGAAACGACTTTGAGCTCGGAGACTGCGTCGTCTATCGAAATGATGTGCCAATTGCGTTTAGCGAAGTCAAAGAGATGCTTGAAAAATGCTTGGCGAGGGCTCTAGATCCCCTTCTAGACCTTGAAAGAGTACTCGACGAAACACCAAAGTCTCCGTCACTTGTAAGGTTGGAAGAATCGACGAAAACAGCCAAAACTCGTGTTATGCCGCCCGCTCCTGGCTCAATAGCTTCATACGAAGCATGGAATAGCGCGGACATGCAACATGGTTCTTTTCCAAACATGGATATGAGAAACACGATTGCCTTAGAGCCTCAATATGGTTCTCCGTCTGCTCCCCGATATAATGCCGACAATGAGTTTTTCGACGCAAGGAACGCAGAAGTGGACTCAGAAACACCGGCGATGTACTTGCCAGGCGATGCCGAGATACCCGGGGACATCGATTCGTACCAAGATCCTACGTGCGACACCTGGACTGAAGACTAAGAAGAGTAGGCTGTGGTCATCAACCACACTTTTTGCGTTACTCCCAATAATGGTCGAGACACGGTGGAAGTTTCCCTGGTAAACCCGCCAGACATTCAGCACACAGCTGCAAACCTGCCTTTGAGGGTCATCATTCATGCCCCACGCAATCCATTCGGGCCTGAGCTGTGTTTGTTAAGATATAATGAATGGATCGCGACATTTACACACAGGACTGAGTGACAGCTCCACCTACCGAGGTCAGCTTTCCAGTTGCTGAGGCATTTTGAATTCCATAGAATTTTGTTGGTCCGGATGACAAAGAGAATAGGAAGTGATTCGACCTGGCACTGCTTTTCTCGTGAAATGTAACTTGCTGACTGTTGCGAAAAGAGCTCGTGCCTGCCACTTGGCTGAGGAAGAGTAGGACTCACAGGTACCCCTATATGGTCACCGGCTCACCATCTGGTGACCGGGATACAACTCGCCACATTAGCTCCTTGCATCAGTGAATGAAATGGACCAAGAATGCGATCACAGGCATAACAAGTGCAAGAACCATAAGTCGTGTTTGACATTCCACGTTCTGTGTCGGCGGGCAAAAAAAGTCAGTGTGCGTGAACTGGGAATCGAACCCAGGGCTCCCCGATGGCAACGGAGAATTTTACCACTAAACCATTCACGCTCGGATGATTTCCAAACTTTCTGGAAAATTTATGTTCCTCGGCGCAAAAGACACAGTGCAGTGAGGTGTCGTTCCTTAGCGTTGACTTCGCATCCCACCATCAACCATCAAGTGGTCCGGCCGGTCCAGTAAACATGCGATGGTTCTTTCTTCCAGTGCCACGCCTTTCAACTACGAGCCCGCGCGCGTTACACAGCAGGCGCCCAATATGACAGCCACTGATTAATACCTTTCTCCTCAGTTGTGATGAGGCTGAGGACAACGGGCGAAGTCAGCAACCCTGTCAAGGGCATGTCATGATGCAGCAGATCCAGTCATGTAGACACTTGTAACATGTGAAAGGCCTGGACCTCGCTTGCAGCGAGCGTGGCACCGTGTCATTCGAAGGGCACCTTGAAAGGCCAAAAAAAGTCCTGTTGGTCGGTCCCAGGCTGGCGTATCTTGGCAGAGCTGGGCTGTTTCGTCTGCTGCTGCCCAAAGTTGAGGCAGCCCGGTTGCCTTTTTGGACGGTTCGCAAGGCACAGCCCGCCAACGAATACATATAGCAGGCAACTCTCGCCCCGACCCTTGTTGCAAGGCTGATTCGAAACTTCTCTTGTCTACAAGCGTGTCCCTGCCGTGGTCTGTCGTGAACCATCTCTTTCAAGACCTTGTCACCCGTCTAATACATCTGGTACGAACCGCCATCTGCAGCAAATGGCCGAAATTATTGGGGTTGTCGCGAGTTCGTACGCCCTTGGGCAAGCTTTCGTGACTCTAAGAAAGCTCAAGGCGATCCCCGAAGTTCAACAAAATCTGGAGTCAATGATCGGAGAGGCAGGAACAAATCCATATCATTCGGCACAAATACTGACTAACAATGCAATAGGCTGCAAGGCTCGCCGAGTACGCCCATATCTGTGAGAGTCTACCACAGAGCGACCACATCGGTCGGTTGGGCCCTGAGTTAGAGCTCGCAAGGACCAAACTCAAAAACGTTGCCGATGGTCTGGCAGCTCTCTGCGCCCGATGCTGTAAGGCTGACGGCGAGCGCTCCGCAAAGGCTAAGAAGGTGAAATGGCTATATCTCCAGAGTGACATGACTAAAATGCAGACGGAAGCCCACAACGCCTTGGACATATTGCAGGGCTTTGTTGGCCTCTATAATGCCAGGTTGGTTTGCCCGCGAGGAGTTGCACGTACCGCCCCTTCCTGACTTATCACAGCCTAGCCATTGGTTTCAATCTAACCCTTAATCAATTGAATAAACGACATGAAGAAACGGTTTCGTTGCTGGCGCATTTCATGACTGAGAGCACCTTGGCCAGTACGACTACTCTGCCGGAGCTCGGGGGAGATTCAAGCTTGCCCATCGATGAGACAACAGCTGCCACCAGTTCTGGGCAGCCATTCGGCCCCGCAAAAGTGCGCCTAGCGATCGAGCCGCCGGTCCGCGGTTCGAATCAGCCATCAGCATCCTGGTTGAGTACCTCGACAGTATCTCCGGGGCAGATGCCTGGATTCTGCCCCAGGCCCTGCAAATGCCGGTGCCACTTTAAGGGCAAGGTATACTGGGCAGATTTGAGTCCATGGCAATTTGCAAGTCGAACCCTACCTACTAGCTCTGGTTCGCCATTCTTGCGTCACTCAAGATGCGATAGCTCAGCCTGCCAACAGCAGTCTTGGACCAATATCGAGTGGTACATGCGTGTCTCAGCTTGGCTATTCAAATTCGCTCCCAGTTTCCGGGCTTCATGTGGTTCTGTACGCTTCGCGCTGCGTCCTACAAGAGTGGGCATATCAGAGGGCCCTTTTCTACACGCGTTTGTGGATGGAGCACGAGCTGTTAAAGACATGCTCAAAGAAGGGCACTTTGTTTACTACCCTGATGACGAGACACTACAAGAAGTTGTTTTGATTGAGGTCTGTTTTTATCACCGAGCCCACCAGAGCGCGTGAGCATTTGCACGTTTCGAGTAGCCACGAGTCTGACTCTAGTTCTTCATAGATGATGTTGAGCTGGGTGGTTGTAGCGCATGACGGCTTTAACTTCTTATTGACTCTATGGAATGATTATCTTCGCGCAAACCCGCTGCCAAGGTAGGTGAGAGATTCCTGCAACAGTCGACTTTGGCAAGTTCGGTTGCCAGATTTCAACTTCATATGCTTACGAGTGTTCGCTTAGCCGCGTTGCTACCCTGGCTCGTTATAAGCTCAGTCTCGAATCAAACAGGTCGGACAACTCATGCTACTTGTTGAATAGGGTCATTGAACTCTCGGATGATGATGTGTTGTCTGCTGGGACAGCCATCCACGAAGCCGCAAGAACAGGTGTCGGTATGCACGAGGCGTTGTTGGGTCAAAGGCGTTATATTGATCACCTTGACGACTGCGGACAAACAGCGCTGCACCTTGCCATAGCTCGCGGTCATGTCGACGCCCTGGATATGCTGCTGGAGGCCAAGGCAAACACCAATCTCGAGAACGTCGAGCGGGAAACGCCCCTGATGCTGGCGACTAGCCTGGGCTTGTCCAACATGTGCAGCATGCTTGTCAAGGCTGGCTGTGATGTAGACAAAGGTACGTGGCCGCCGATTTACATAGCTCTCATGAGTAACAAACCATTCGCGATGGATGTGATGAACACTCTTCTGCGGGCAGGGGCGAATCCTTGGCTGAATAGGCGCTGTTTCACTTCGACGATGGATTATGTTTCAAAACAAGATCCATGCCTCAGTGACTTCATCTTGGAGAAGGCCAAAGTGTTGATGGATTACGACGCCCGCCTGATATCGGAATTTTCAGACCCAGATGGACGATTGATGCAACACTTCGACTACAATTGCGTCCCGCTGCTACGCTATCTGGTCAACGAAGGCGCGAGGTTCCCATCGCTGCCTGACGGAACACCCTTCATACTCAGGCATCTGGCATTTCGTGGGAATTTTCAGGCCTGCAAGTTCTTCGAGACGTGCAAGTCTATTCCTCGAGTAAATGTCATGAAGGGTCTCAAGCCGGACGGTATCCCCCGGGCCACATTATGGGACAGATTCCTTCTCAGAGTTCATAGGCCGGATTTCGACGGTGTATATCAGGGGTGTTACTTGGCATTTTGTAGGAGTTTCCCGAACGTGTTCGTTCGCATGAGGAACCACGTCCTTGACGAAGACATCAAGGCCTTGCGCAGCATGGTCCAGTCTCTGGAGTCGCCTGACCCGCGCAACGCAGGGGAACAGCTATCGCATCTGCTACACGAGAAAGAAGCCTGGGGCAGATTCGACTTGGTCTCGACGTATCGGGCCATCATGGTCCAGCTGCGGGAGAAGATGTGGCAGGCCGCCATTGAGTCGCTCGAAGAGCACATCGAAGTCTTGATGGATGAGATGATTTCATCACCTTGGGAGCTCGAAAGTGAGGTCTGGAAGTTGCCTAACTTTCTCCACCTCCTCGAACCCGACGCCGGCAACATTGAACGCGACACGCACAACGAAGGAATGCAAGCAGCGGCTGAAGGAAGTACAAACGCGAACTTGGGAGACAGCGTTGAGGGGGCCACGGACATCGACAGTGAGTGGGACGCTGTCAGTGAGGATGACGGCGATGTAGCAGACGGGTACAACAAAGAGATACGCAGTCAAACACGGAAGCTGCGAAGATACGCGGCATTGCAAAGGCGGCTTGCGCTGGATCAGGCGAAACTGCGGCGCAGAAATTGGCATACGGCGCAGGCAGACCCAGAGTCGGACGGCGGCTACAGCTCGTCCGGGGAAAGCGAAGAGCGGGACGAAGAGGCCGAGTCTGTGTCGTATGAGACAAGTGACGGAGAGGCCAGTGTCGATGCGATCTAGAAAGAACAGACCTGGTTGGCGTTTGCCGTTTGCGTGGCAGCAACTCTGGTGGACTGAGGAGAACTGGGGAAGAAGGCACGTACGACTCTTGAAAAACGGAGCTGGTGGGGCATCTGGAAAGGCGAAGCACAGGACGAGGCAGGACTAGGACCAGGACCAGGACCAGGACTAGGACCAGGCGGAAACCCTGACCCCATCGCGCACCAATTGTCGGCGAAATACTGACTCTCCTTCTGTCTTCATCTCCATCCGTCTTCATCGCCATCCGTCTTCATCGCCATCCGTCTTCATCGCCATCCGTCTTCATCGCCATGCGCCCATGCCGTCCATCCAAGCAACAAGCAAAGCAAATCCGTAGCTCGATCTGCATCAACACTCACCCATCTCACCAACAAGCCATCCCAAAACGATGACATGTGGGACACACAACGCAGGCCGCCCCTGCAGACCAAGTGCGGAATGATGATCCCCCCATCTGCAGCTCGGGTGGGCAACCCCAGACTGACAGCTCGGCCAAGCTGCCCGCTGCAAGCCACGCCCACCGCAAAGTCCTCAAGTCCCCAGACCCGGAACACCGATTTCAGCACCATGCTCGCTTTCTTCGCCCGAATCCGTCCACACCCACCGGGCCCCCCAACGGCCAATAGTGCCGGCGACAGCACGATTCGGGACACGCCTGCCGCGCCTCTGGGCGTTCGTTGGGCGTATTCTGGGGAAAACCCTGGCACCGCTGCCATGTGATGATGCCACTGGCGCGACACGTCTTTCTGTCCCCAATCTCCTGGCCAACAATGCGGCGTCCCCGCGTGAACGGCATTAACGCCGATGGCCGATGGACCATGCATCTCATCTACGCAGCGGACCGAGACGAGTCAAGCCCCAATGGAAACGGTTCGAGCGTGCAATGGGTGAGCGTGTTTGACGAAGCGACGATGCCGTGCGATGCCGCGAAAGGAATCCACTTCATTCCATTCACCCACCTGCACTGCACCTAGGGGGGCCTTGAGTAGCGGCCCATCTTGATCGCCAAGACATCCTCTTGCAGCTTGACGCGTCTTTCTCGAGGGCCTGTGGGCGAACTGGATCCATTCGGAAGCCTCGGCCTAGCTCTCGATCTATCGCCGCCATAGTCGTTGGGCCGTACATTAGAGCGAGCCAAGAGGCGCCTTTGTGCAGGCTTTCCTATTTTACGGTCCCCTCCCGCTTGCCACGATTTTTTTCTCCCCCGCGACCCTCTCTACCCCACGACGACCCTCTTCGACGCAGGTACCTTGACAATCGATTGACGACGTACGACAGCGCCTTCGACACCGTCCTTCTACGCTCAAGCCCGAGCTCCCCCCTACCAGCGTCAAGATGAAGACCACCGCGCCTCTCGTGGCTCTCGCCGCCGCCTCGACGGCCGCTGCCCAGAACACCACCGTCAGCTGCTCCAAGGGCGTCCACCTGCTCGTGTCGCGCGGTTCCGCCGAGGACCCCGGCCCAGGCCGTCTCGGCCCCCTCGCCGACGACATTGTCGCCGCCATCCCCGACTCGGCCATCGAGTCCATCGTCTACCCGGCCACCTTCGACGACTACGGCCTCTCCGTCGCCGATGGCGCCGAGGCTCTGACCGCCGCCCTCGACCGCTACTCCGTCGCCTGCCCCAACGGCAAGGTCGTCCTGCTCGGCTACTCCCAGGGCGCCCACGTCACCCTCGACGCCCTCTGCGGCCGCGAGGAGAGCACCGGTGCCTTTGCCTTCAACGAGACGACCCCCATCCCCGAGAGCATCGTCGACAAGAGCGGTATGTGCCCCTCGTGCCCAGGGAAGATCATTGGACCCCAGCTAACTTGGCCCGCAAGTCATCGCCGTCATTCTCTACGGTGACCCAACCCACATGGCCAACGCCACCTGGAACAAGGGCAACAGCACCCGCGACGGCGTACGTCCCACACCCGTTCCTTTTGACTCCTCAGATGCACAAATAGCTAACCGCAGACCAGCTCTTTGGCCGCAACGACACGGCCGCCTGCGAGCCCTACGCCTCCAAGATGGCCTCGTGGTGCGACACGGGCGACGTCTACTGCGACCGCGGCAACAACACGGAGATTCACGGCGGCTACTTTGCCCTCTACGACGACGACGCCCTCGACTTTGTCGTCGACCGCTGGAACGCCACCCTCGAGGAGGAGGCCGAGGCCGCCGCCAGCGGCACCTCGGGCGCCCCCTCGCAGCCCACCGAGACGGGCGCCGCCGGCGGCAACAACGAGTCGGCGGCCGTCGGCGTCCGCGCGGGCTGGGGCGCGCTGGCTGTCGCGGCCATGGTCGGATACCTCGCGCTGTGAGGTGGGGGTTAATTCTAGAAGCGGTGCATGATTTGTGTTTTAGCATAGCGAATTGACTGCATTCATTCTTCATCGGCGTTACCTTTCTTTTTTCCTCCCCGTTCCTCCGTCATCCTGGCCGTTCTAAGCTTGCCATCTCCTCCCACGTCACGATTGCTGCTTCGCCATCACTCGTCTCAACTCGCCCAGCTCCCCACATGAGGCCATTCACTGCACATGTCACACATCTACTGGTCATGAACCGCTCGATTGAACGACGGCAGACGGACTGGGGGGGTATCATCGCAGCCGTCGGCCATCTAATTTCTAATAATTATGTACGAGATGGGGGAGAGAGTGGGCAGGGTGTTACGGGGTGCTGTGGTAAACAACATGAACACACAACGCGCGCGCGCAGCCGCACGTACACAAGTCCGTCCTCAGAGGCGGGGACTACTACTACGCTGCCCGCCCCCGTTCGCTGCCGTCAACATAAGAAAAAAAGTTACTTTCTTCTTTCAATCCTTGCGTCTGTACGCCTCAGCGTTCAGTTGCGCTTCATGAATCGCATTCGTTGCGCTGCGGGCACCAAGATGGGCGTGGGCGTGGGCTCGGCGGCCGTTGTCGTCGCAGGCTCGTCGCGGGGCGGTGTGTCGGGCTCCGCGGGCTTTTCCGTCTCGACTGGTTTCTCAGGCTCAGCTGGTTTCTCAGGCTCGGCAGGCTTCTCAGGCTCCGTGGGCTTTGTGGGTTCCGCCGGCTTCTCGGGCTCCGCAGGCATGGGGTGCGCAGGAGGAGCGGCAGGTTGCTCGGGTGTGGGGTGCATCGGAACAGGAGCCGGTGCCGCGGGCGGGTTGGGGTGCATCGGCAGGGGAGCCGGGTGCGCAGGTGGCATCGGGTGCGCAGGGGGCGGGGCGGGGTGCGCCGCGGGTGGCGGTTGCAACGGTGCGGCGGCGCCTGGAGGGCACGCAGAAACAGTGTGAGGCGGAAGAGTGACAGTATGCGGCGGCGCAGTGACGTGGACTGTCTGCGGTGGTGCTGTAACATGGACCGTTTGAGGCGGCGCGGTAACGTGAACTGTTTGCGTGACATGGACTGGGACTTCGACTGGCTGGGTGTGGATTTGAGTGACAACGTGGGTGACGGGAACCTGAACGGGCACTTCCACGGGTTGCGTCTGGATCACCGTGACCGGCACAGACTCGACCTTGGTCTGAACATGCGTCTGTACCTGTGTGACGGGTCGGTCTTGCGTGGTTGTGACCACATGAGTTAGGGGCGGCAGCGTTTGGGTGTGGACGAGGGTCTGGACGTGCGTCTGGACTACCGTGACTGGCACGCTCTCCACCTTGGTCTGGACCACAGTGACGGGTACACTCTGGACGTGAGTTTGAACGACCGTGACAGGCACGCTCTGAACATGAGTCTGGACAACCGTGACGGGTACGCTCTTGACTTCGGTCTGCGTGTGGACGACGGTGACCGGAACGCTCTGGACTTGGGTGTGGACGACTGTCACCGGCACGCTGTGGATTGCTGTTTCGGTGTGAACCACCGTGACAGGCACACTTTGCACCTGTGTCTGGACGACCTGCTCGGTCTGTGTCACATGCACCGTCTCCTTGATCGTTGTCGGCACCGGGACGGTAACGTGTACCGGCACGCTAACATGTACCGTCTCGGTGACATGAACTGTCTCTGCCTTGCCGGGAACCGTGACGTGAACAGTCTCGGCGGCACCAGGCACGGTGACGTGTACTGTCTCTTTGATTGTTGTCGGAACGGGAACGTGTACTGTATGGACGAGCGTCTCGGTGACGGGTGCAGGGCACTGCTCGACGGGTGCCGGATGAGCGGGAGGGGCGGGAGCTGCTGCAGGCGGGTTGGCCTCGGCCAGGGAGGCCAGGGCCAGCCAGATGGCCGTCGTAGGCCGGGAGAACAGCATGTCGTACTAACAAATAGGGTAAGATGAGTGAAAAATAGGCTTGTCGTTATAGGCGTCGTAGTAGTTGCGATCTATGTAGCTTTTGCTGTAGAGCGGCGTCGATGTCGGCAAGTGAAGACAATAGAAATAAAGAGTGTACTGAGGCTTGCTCAAAGAAACTCGAGATACCAGTCTCTACTAAACGATTAGAAATGAAGAGCAAGCAGACGAAGAGAAAGAAGCCGCAAACGGATGAGCGGACAAGTCGTGGAAGAGAATAGTCAAGGAGTGAGGAGGAGCCTGCTGATCATGGCACCCTGGAGGAGGCAGCATGGCCGTTATATTCGGGAAGGGGGGAGGGCCATGAGCAACGTCTTGGCCCTCGCTGTGCCATGGTTCTGATCGTCCCCTGCCGGACGGGCTGGAACACGGAACCAGCCAGCGGCGTGGATCCTCGGATCACTGCGTGAGACGGTGGGTAGCGACTCGATCAAGGCTGGACGACAACTCGGACCAGGGGTCTGTTGCTGGCGAGGCTTCGTTCTGTTGTCGGTGTGGGGATACTAGGTGCAACTCAGCATAACAGGCCTTCACAGGACAGACGCGCAGTCCTGTTCAGGCGCAGTGTCAGCCTTGGGGATCATCCGAAATCCGTCCTGTGCCATCACGATGCAGCGATGTGTGCGATGGGGGTCAGGTTTTCGTCTATGCGCAGCGCTCGTCGTCTGCTAGACAAGGGGCAGTCTGTTTTGGCTTTGCGGCTCTCCAGCAGGGCAGGCTCCAGATTGGGCGCCAGGTGCAGGCTCATCGACCGAGAAGAGGGTCGAGGGCAGGGATGACAGTGGCCCCTGGGTCGCAGATGCACGGGGGCATCTCGAGGAGAACCATGTCGGGGGGGGGCACGGAGGGAACGTGAGCCGTTGGGACGGACCCTGGAAATGCTGGCTCAGCCTGCCGAAGTGAAACCACGAAGGCCTTGGGCTAGTTGGTGATGCAATGATGAATGAGGGATGGGATTGCGTGTGGTCGGTGCATCGACTTCAGTTCGGATCTGGGACGAAAGCTCAAACATGGGGCGGCAACCGGGGTGTGCACCAGCTGTCGTGCGATAAAGTTAGGCTTCGGCAATCCGATGCTGCTGGCTCGTTCGCTCGTTCGCCGGCTTGTGATTGAGGAGTTGGCGGCGATGTCGAGCAAGCTGATTGATCTATGTTCGTATATACCAATCGTAATTTTCAGCAACATCACCTCGCATTGTCGTCATGCGCGGGCGAGACCTCAGCGAAACCCGATTTCGAACAAGAACCAGAGTCGAAATGCAGACGCAGACTGGACGCCCTGACCTGACAGCCCAAGTTCTGTAACAGCTGCCCCTGCGCTGCCAAGCCATCTGTGCCAGGGAGTGTCGTCCCAAGACGCACCAATTATGACCGTGCGCCGAGGCATTCCAAGATGGCAGCCAACAGCCAGGGGAGCCAGCGGACCTGGCGAGGAAAGTGTCGCGAAACAAAAATGAGTCGATGCCTGGGAATATGGTCCTCGAAACAACAAAAGCAATCTCATCGCCGCGGAAGAGAGCTACCCAGAAGAAGAGCCCCAGTCGGTGATCGTGGCAGGGCGGTGGAGGAACGGGTTGCCTCGACCGGCTTGGCAAAGCTGACGTAAAGTGACTGACTTGTTGGCAGTTCGGGATCAGCCGAACTCGGTCTTTGAACGATTACAGACAGACCCCAAACGAAGAGACGATCATGAGACGCAGCATGGGCCCTCGACAGCTCTAGCTTGAGAGCGTTACGGCGAGGGTGGCAGAAGAAAGACTAGGTAGTACGAGGACGACCTGAAGATGGCGCGGAGGAGAAGCGGCACCTGATTCTGTATTGGCAGCAGCAACACCCGCCTGCGCCTGCCTGTTTCCTTCAATGGTCTTGCCTTGTCTTAGTCATTAACATCCTTCCATTGACTTGGCTTCAGACTACTCCAGCACCCCCTGCACGCACTCTCTCGGGTGACCAAGACCTGGTCTACAGAGGATCAGTCTACAGAGGATCAACCGGTCTGTGGCTGTCCTGATACACCACCACCACCCAGATCGACATCGTGAGACTCAATCTCCCGACCCTCCACAATGCCTCGAGCAGTCGCCATGACGGGCGTCATTTCCTTCTATAAATGCCGTGACACGTCGCGCTCGAGTCAGGTATCAGGCCATGCTGAAATAGCGCCCCCTCTGCACATCAGTTCGTGTATTCTCGACCTGCCTTCCAACGTTTTCTATCATTGTGTGCACATCTTTTGTCACCGCGTCACAGTTAGTGCTGTGGCATTCGCGTGCTTCTTGAATGTACCGGCCGAACGACAGACCACTGGCCCAACTGGGGCTTCTTACGGATCATCCACGGCCACGTGTAAGGGCAAAACAGAAATGCAGAGCCTCGGTCACATTTTGACCACCCGTGGACTGATCTTGCGTGTCTTCGCCATACAATATCTGGTCTGGTCTGCAAGTCAGTGTTAGAAGGGTTGCAGCTGCTAGACAGGTGTCTCACTGTTCTTCCAGCACGAGGATGATGTTGGCCAGGGGAAGTCCAGATCAAACAGCAACTGGCAGACCCTACGTTATGCATTTATAGTCCTAAAGCGATTTCATTGAAAGAACCAAGCATTGGAGAGTTGTATTCAAGGGCCAGGCAAACGAACAAAATGACAGGCGCAAAAGGAGAATATTCCGCCATGGTTGAGGGGAGTTGGGATGCATCGCAGACTTGAGAGAACTCATCTGTATATTTTGAACAGATCTTGGACTTGCCCAACAGGGTTTCAAAATCCTACCATGAAGCTTCTAGTAAATGCCATCAAGATAGCGGGACCTCGACATCTTGGGGTCTCCAGTCCTAACTACGAGGACGATCGGCAAAGCTGAAAACCCGGCCAGAGCTCTACACGGAGACTTCAGTCTGCATCATATGAATATCTGTCTTCTCGTACGCCGAGTCTAGCTCGTCCATGACTTCTCTATAGGCTTACTACCTTTGAAAAGCCTAAAAGAAATTCACAAGTAGAGAAATGAACCTGTTGTCGAGAGCATTGATCTAACAATTATAAACTGTATGACGATTGGAAGACCGATACCTCATATCGCGTTTAAACACTGCGTGCTCTAGGTTGACCGTCGTTCGCAAGTCTTCCAAAAGAACGCATGGTCTCGAGGTTGGATTTAAAAGTACCTTAAGCATGCTTGTCGATCAAACAGATCACCAACCCAGTCTACGAGCTTCAATCGGCAAAGTCGGCATATATCTGGGAAAGGGCTAAATCACCAGCACAAAGGTTAAACAGACGTATGCGGTGAATTACTCCATATCGTGCTCAAAGTAGTCCATCTTCAGAATGCAGCAACGGCACTTTTCGTTGTCAACGATGCGAAGTGCTTGCGCAACCGCCGACGATCACGAGCCGAGCTTTCAATGCAGCAGGAGAATAAAAGTCTTGGCAGCCCGAGAAACTCGTGTTGAAAAATCAGGAGGACCTCTGGCCTGCGGCTTGGCGTTTCGTGACCCCTGGCGCTGACCATCCTCGGACAGAGATAGCCCAGCTACCTGCTCCTGAAACCTGCCATGATGAACAATGCCACATCGAGCGCCCGTGACAACCGTCCTCGTCACAACTCACAAGACGAACCTAGCTTATCAATCAACCAAACAGCAATGGCTTGCATAATTCGCCAGGATCACGGAGTCGATGACTGCCAGCTGCGTTGCATTTCAAGAACCGTAAATTCGTGCTTCGCTTGTTGAAAGATGCAGAGCACCAGGCTTAAGCTACTGGTATCTAACACAACGTCCACTCACTCCTCGCAGAAAGAAAAGGGGAAAAGTACCAAATGCCGCTCGTCCATAGACGCAAGTTAGCCAAGCAATAATGCAGTAGCGATGGAAGAAAAAAATTGCTGGTCATTCAAGTGAACCCTTGGCTCTCATCCACTTTGCTGTATGCCGCGCGTCTCGCCAGTAAAGAATGCTACGTGGACAATGCAAGGCAGGCATCCACCGCTAGTCCGACCCTCCCCTGCTTCTGCACCACGACATCCGAGATAATGTCCCTGTCGAGGTCCGGAAACATGCCGGCAAGTGTCTCAACGACATTGTGGTGCTCCGCCCGGTGCAACCTCTGCGCCTCGGCCGTCTCGGCGCTCGCTTGCCTCGCTGCCGCCTCCTCCACCGACAGCTGCGGGTGGTTGCGTGGGTCCGGCCGTCCTCCGGCCTCGCGTGCCTCCTCGCCACTGGGCCGTGGTGATAACCGGTTTGGATCGAGAGGCTGCGGCGCGCGCGGCGCGGCGCTGGCGCCGGATTCCGGTCCGGTGGGATCTTCAGAGAACATGCGTCCGATGGTACTGAGCGGCCGCTGGATTGTCTGGAGCAGGCTCGTAATGGGGGCCTGGCCGTCGGAGTCGTCGCCATCTGACGATGTGGAGCGGCGAGGCGTGGACAAGTCTCCGTTGTTGACATCGTGGTCGGGCCGGGTCGAGGGTTCGCCTTGTGTCTGGGCCAGTAGGCTTTGAGGTATTTTCTCAGAGAGCTGCGGTTCCACCGGCGATGCAGCGTTGTGCTTCTCTGCGATGGCTGAGACGGCGGCCTCGACGTTCTTCTCGAATTCGTCGTCGGTAATCGTAAGGCTGGTCTTGTCCATGTTCTCAATGAATTGGATAGCGCCCATCTGCGAGTGTTAGTGAAGGTTGGAGCATATGTCCACGAATACGTACCAGAGAAGACAGGTAGTATCCGGCCTCGCCACCCAGTTTCTCCTGATTCCTGAATCGAAGAATGTACTGCACATTCGACACAAGATGTTCAGGGTTGGATTGGAGCACTACGTATATAAGGAATGGCATGAACGAGTCTGCTGATCCATCTGACTTTGCGTGCTTGAGCAGACCTGGCGGGTGTTAGAGGCGTTCGGAACTATGATGGGGACTGCACCTACCAAAAATGACCTTGCAGCAATTCAACACGCAGATGATCTTGTCCCTCGGCGCGCGATAAGACCTAATTTTGAAGAGTTCTGTGTCGTGATTAGCGCCTTCCGTGTACGAGAAAGAATCCACAGCCGCATACCCTGTTGTGCTAACTTCAGGAACCGCTTCCCGCTCTCGCTCGTTGGTGGAATATCGAGATGGGCTTCCCGAATCCAGCCGTAAATATTGATCTTCTGTGTCAGGATATCATCCCTCTCAACATCCTCTTGGTGCTGGCCCTTACGCCCCGGCCCCATCGGCCGCTCGCCGCCTCTCCTCTTGGGTTTGGCCCCAGGAATAGGCTGCGGCGCGGGGATGGCCGGCGAGAACGTCTGGGTGTACAGCCTGTTCATGACAAGCTTCTCCATGCCCTCTCGCGCGTTGTCAAACTCGGCGTCCGAAACATCGCGCCAGACCTCGCACTGCGCCATTTTGTTGGCTATGAAGGCGAGGAAGTCGCCGATAATCTTGACTTGTTCGTGAACCATCCACTCCCGCTTGCCGAATTCGGATAGAAAAGACTTGAGATAGCGCGCGACAGGATCGGCTTTCTTGTTGCGTAGCTGCTCGAGGAAACGATGAAAGTCAAAAGGTAGGGTCGGCTCTGGTTCGGGTTCGGGTGGCGGGGGCCGGTGCATAGCCGAGGGCGACATGGGAGTATCGAGAGAAGTTTGGCTGTCCTCGGCGCCGGGAAGTCCGTCCTTCGGGGGCACCGGAGGACCAAAATCCACCGAGGACCTGGTCCGGGATCTTGTGCTCACGGGTGACGAAGGTATGGCTGCACCCAAGGTCTCCTTCTCCAGCGACTGGGCCGAGAAGGAGGTTGACAGAGGCTCGAGGCTCGACTTTCTTGGTGGATGTTGAATCGGGCCGCCGAGAATGGGCGATGTAATCTCTAGTCTTGGACTCATGACTTCCTCAGCTCCCGGGCCACCTCCATCGCCGGTGAACTGCTCCATGATGCTCTGAATCTCGGAGCGCGAGCCGTTCTCCTGGTCATCATCGCTCGTATACCTCCGATCGTCATAGGCAGCATCAGATCTCGTGGGAGACGCATCTTGTCGGGATCCTACACTGGACGGTGTTCTTGAAGGGGGGCGTGAGGCTGTCGGGGTAGGTGGCGTAGGATCAACGTAGGCTTTGGTCTCGATCGTGAGGAACTGGGTCGAGGTGTCGGCGGGGAGGGGTTTCGACGGCTTGATGGTTGCCACGGAAGCATTCAAAAGGTCCGCGGAGGCAGAAGCCTCTCCGTCTGGGTCTGCCTCTGTCACAACATGTGCGCGAGAGGCAGTGGCCTCGGCATCTTTGCTGTGGTTGCTGGGGCTACTCGGTTTGCTGGCGTCGGCAGCTACAGATGCTGACGCTGTTGGCTCTGTCTTGTCGGTGAGGTCGATGAGGTCGTCGAGGGCTTGGACCTTCTCAGGTGCGTCCGAAGATGGCTTCCCCGAGCCTTGTTCGTCGGGCATATCTGACTCCGCCACTGGCGGCTGGGTTATGGGAGAGTTTGGGCTGTGAAGGGTGGGTATCGCTACGTGGTGAGTTGGTTGTTGTCCCGAAGCTGAGCTTGGTTGAGCGTCGTCACAAGGCTGTGCTCCACCACATGATTTCCCCCACCATGCACCATGGAAACGGGCTTTGGAGCGGGCCTGGAGGCTGCCTGGAGCACGGGCACGAGTGGCTTCGAGTCGCCCCAGAGTTTTGCCGGCCAAGGTGGAGCGCCCGTGGATCAGGGTCCGCCGGGCGCTACGGCGCATCGAAGCCTGACGTCAGCGCATCGGGGCGTGGCTGCAAGCGCTAGCTGCTTCTGACCCTGCGACTGGGAGCCCACTGTACCGTACCTGTAAGGAGTAACACGCAGGCTTTCTTCTGTATTTCAAAGCAGTGACGACCCCAAAGAGTGTAGTGATTCACACACCAGCGTGCCAGCTGCATTATGTCAGCAGCCATCCAGCACGCCGGTCCTCGCTACCCCTCAACACCATCACGATCACGATACGGAACTGCCTACCAATGGCATTATTCCCCATGTTCGATCATCAACGTCAAGCGATCATCCCAGTCCCCATCCCCGGTGCATCCTGTTTGTGAGGAATGCGTCGTGTATTGCTTCACTTGGCCGTTTCAATCGCCTGACGCGTGGCTCAAAGTCAGCCAGGACGGCCTGGTTGACCCTCAACTGCCTGAAATCGACGTCCCCATTCGGGCCGCACCTTGCGAGCAACATTCGATGGCATGTTGCCCATTGCGCTCACACCGTCTCAACATGACCTGTCGCCCGACTCGCACTCCTACCCGAAAGCGTCCTGCCCTCGGCCGTTGACCCCGCCCTGCGGCTTGGCCTCGGACGGTGTACGCAGTCGAGGGTGGCACGACAGCCTCTCATGGAAGTAATTCGTTTGTCAGTATGGGCATTCGTCAATCTGGAGCAAGGTCTTGCATGTCAACCCGTTCTTTTCTTTGCCTTCGAAGCATTGTTTCTTTGACTGGAAGCCACTCGGACCACACACCATCGTTTCGAACACTGCTCGTCGCGTTTCAGCACCAGACTTAGGCGCACACTAGGCATGCCGAGGCAGAAGGAGAACCTTTTCATGGAAGTTACCGAATTCGACCAATACCGACACTCTTTGAATTCCAATCTGGATGTGGAGTGCAGCGAGACTACCAGAAGAGGAAAGCTCCACGACCCGTCCCTCCTTTTGGATCGCCCATCTGGACATCACGGCTATACGGCGAAGGCGCCCTGCTCTCTACGGAGCACAACACACCAGCTATGCCGTTATTGTTGAAAGCAAAGCCTGTGCAACTCGAAAGTCTGCGAACATCAAGATGCACGGGGAATGATAACAATTGGCAGTCATGCAGCGAATAGCTCGATTCCCACGTATTTTGGGCATACGATCAAGCTCTTATCAACCAATCGACGCAGGTCATCGAGTGATGCAGTGTTTCTCAGCATGCGCAACTCGCGATGGGACGGCTGACAAAATACCTCCCCGTGACGTTCCGGCTTACCCTATCCCCATCGAGCGAGCTGTTTCCCGCCAACCCATTGAAGTGTGTTCAACATGAGACTGCCTGCTTTCGCCAAGTTCATTTTCTTACAGACACTTGCCTCAACTGGACACACACGCGCTTTAAACGATACAGCTTCAGCTCGGAACACATCGACGAACCCTGCCTCTCACCCGAAGTCCTGGTTCTGTTTCCCTGGCATGTTCAGAGTCCACGGGGGCGGCTGTGCGCGTCCGTCACCGCCATCAGTCCCCACAACCTCGTGTGTCTGGGCCGTGCTGAACCACGAGCCTACATGTCTTCCCAATCGAGCCAGAGTTGCGACTGGAAATCGCCCCATTCGTTCGCTGGAAGTGGGAGGCTCTGTGGGCCCTGTGAGGATCTGGCGATCATGTACCCTTTCCCACGACGTCGATGCTTCGTCTATCCAGTTGTTGCTCGAGATGCGATTGGACAGCCTTCCCGTCGAGGATGGGACGACGCATGTCTGATGAGAGTGCCGGCAGAGGAATACCCTACTGGCGTGTCATCTCAACTCTAGATTCTCGGGAGGCCGTCTTTGAAGAACAACTATAAAGGCGGCTGGTACCATCACACTTTGTCGATACCTTCATCTCATCAGCATCCTCAGCAACGATCCCTCGGATAAACACAGCAAGCCAGCATCTTCGCCAGCCCGGGAGGCCTTCTACCGTTCCCTTCTCTTCACTCATTCACATCGCTCCGTGAGCCATACCACTATCTTTATAACCCCCTGATATTCTCGAATCGATCACCATCTTTACCAACGCTATCATGAAGTACATTATCACGCTCGCCCTCGCGGCCCTCGCCGCCGCCGGCCCCATCGAACAGCGCCAGCGCGGTGGCCGTGTTGGCAGCACCGCTACCGAGTTCACTGACGGTGGCTGCAAGCCCATTATCATGCTCTTCGCCCGCGGCTCGACCGAGACGGGCAACATGGGCACCGTGTGTGGCCCGCCCACGGCCAACGGCGTCAAGGCCAACTTTGGCGCCGATCAGGTTGCAGTTGAGGGGATCGAATACGCCGCTGCCCTGTCTACCAACTTTGGCAATGGAGGCGCCGACCGTCGCGGTGTGGCCGAGATGGAGCGCCTCATCGCGCAGGCCAACACGGACTGTCCCGACTCGATGCTCGTCGTCGGCGGCTATAGCCAGGGCGCTGCCCTCACGCATCGCGCCGTCGAGGACCTTCCGCAGGCGCAGAAGGACCAGATCGTCGCCGCCTTTACTTTTGGCGACACCCAGAACGTCCAGGTAAGATGCTCGTCTCAGGTCCAGGAGATTGAAGTACGCTAACATGGCCCAGGACAACCGCCAGATTCCCAACTTCCCTCCTGAGAAGACCAATATCATTTGCAACGCCGGCGACGCTGTCTGTGCCGGCACGCTGACGATCCTGCCGGCTCACTTGGCCTACGGAGCGCGTGCCGACGAGCAAGTTGAATTTATCACTGCGAAGCTGCAGGCTGCCGGCGCCAAGCTCCGGAAGAGGGACTTGATCAGATGATACAAAAGACATTTTATAAAGGGAACAGAGTTTGCTCCCCGGGGAAACTGCGAGAGAACCGGCTGCCTGGTTGCTGCTCGGCTCTTCAGGGCGTTGAAATGATTATGATTATGCCAGATTTGAACTTATATCATACCATCTACTGTTGAGGACATTACACACTTCGTCCTGCCCCCTACTCTATAAAACGGTGAAGTGGCGATTCCATTCGCGAATAGCTCGAAAAATTCGACCAAGGAATGATTCCCGAAGAAAACAAGGCCATCGCCATTGACATGTTTGGGCTGACAGGCCGTCATCAACAGGCTTCTCGTGGCAGTGGTTCAGGGGCACGGAATGGCCGACAGCGGCGCTCAGTCGACAGGGCGTAAGGGGTGTTTCGTATTTTTCCTGCTCATTTTTCTTTTCGGGGTGCTGACGCCACCAATGTACACGTACGACTTATGAAGACGCACAAGCCAAGAACTAGACTTTTCTTTTTGGCATTCAAACCCATTTGCAATTGCGCGCAGGTGTTGAAACGAGCGGCGCGGTGTCTTTGACTCTCGGCCGATGATGCTGTGAAGCGGAACTGGCGGGGTTCGATTCCCCGGTTGATGATGGGTCGACGGGGACTCTGGCTGAGCACGGCTTCGTTCCGGCACAACGCCCTTGCCTCACCTGGGTTCAACATTGTCCGATTGCTCTCAGTCTCTGGCAATCTGTGGACTTTCACCCGTTGCAGCTCTCGGGCATGATCAATGTCCGTCTCCGAGTCGATTGGCCAATCCAATCGGCACCCTCGTAACGACATGAGGAACGCCATCTGATAGGATGCTCGCTTGCTCGCGTCAGCTTCAGCCGAATAAGGTGCATATACTGCTCAGTATAGACGAAGTAGTCCAATTGAATTGCCGGTCAGCTATGCCGTGTGCAGAACGAATACCCATATGGATGAAGTAACAGGACGCTGACACTCGCAAGCTTCATTACTCTGGCCTTCGGGCTATATCTTGGCCTACTACCCTCACTCATTCCTCGCATGTCGCTATTGACCATTCTCATGCAGTCAAATCGAAGTTATAACCTAGAGGCACAGAGTAACCAACGTACCCAGGAGATTCCTTCACTTTGGGCCCCATCAAAATGAAGCAGGACGATATCCAGCCTCCAAGGGTGACCTCAGGCCCCGGATATCCCGAAGCATTCGCGATTCAACTCGAGACGGAGCTTTCTGCACTGCGCGAGTCCATCGCCAGGCAGTCCAGTGACGGGCATCTATTCGACAATAAAGTCACTGTCGACACGCCAGGATTGGGAGAGGGCCACGTCAAATGTTCCGTCTGCTTGCCAAAAGCCCCTGTACGAACCCCGTCTCCGGCGCCTCTATCCCTGATCATTCTTCTCGAGGGCGGTGGCTTCGCTCTCGGCCAGCCGAGTGACGGCGAAGCGAATGCCAGATTCATGTCTGACAAAGTAAGCCCCGTCTCCGGCTTCAGCTCTTGAAGCAGATGAGCAGTGTGGTAATAACTTCCCAAGCTCAACGCAATAGTCGTCTCACTCGACTACGCCAAAGCTCCCCGCTACCCCTTTCCCCACGCCCTCCTCCAAGCATACGACGTGCTGAAGTGGTCAATCTCGCCAGCGGCCGAGCGGACACTGGGCGTCGCAGCGGACCCATCTCGTGTCACCGTCGTTGGCTGTTCAGCCGGCGGCAACCTCGCGACCTCGCTCTCGCTCCTCGTCGCCTTCACAGCCGGGCCGGCCGCCCCATTCCGCGCAGCGCTGGGCCCTCACTTTCGGCAGGTCGCCCAAGTCCTGGTCTATCCCTGCCTTGCCCTTCACGAGCGGTACGGAGAACGCTTCGCGCGCGCAGCCCCCGAGGCCCAGGCCAAGAGTATCCCTGTCGTCGTGCTTGAGAAGATGGAGGCGGCGTACGTACCGCCACATGTCGATGGACGGCAGATCTTCGTGGCACCAATGCGGGCGGACCTTCAGCTGTTGCGTGAGCTACGGCCGACCTTGGCGCCGATGCTGACGTTTGTCGCAGGACTCGATGCCCTGGGTCAAGAAGCCATTGAGTATGCGGAGCAGTTCAGGGACGCGGGTATCGGTTCAGTTGTCAAGATGTATCCGGAGGCGGCTCATGCATACACACATGGCAAAGAGGGAGACGCGAGGTGGCGAGAAGAGGATGCGAGAGACACCTGGGAGAGAGTCTGCGATTTTGTTTCAAGAAAGATGTGACATAGTCCGTAGTTTGTTGACCTGTCATAATGACAGTTTTCGTGTTCAGATGAATTCCCATCGCGCAAAACTTATGTATTAGACATCGAAATGCCACCGCACTTTTTCCCAGCCGGCTTTCGGTCTGAGTCTCGCACCATAGCCCTCTCCCTTCTTGACCGGCTTGGCAATGGCTTCTGCCATTGACCCTCGTGTCTTCCGTGGCGGCTTCTTCCAGACTTTCGCGTCGCTGTGAGTGCCCTCTCCCGATCCTTTGCCCGGCTCAACATCATACCCAAGTAAGAGCACAGCGGCAAAGGTCATGACCTGGGCGAAAGCAAGGTTTCGTCCCGGACACATGTGCCGCCCGCCCCCAAACGGTATGAATGCCGCCTTCTTCTGCCGCACGTGCTGCGAGATCGTATCCTTCGCAAATGGAAGGAATCGGTCAGGATCGAAGTCATCGACATCCGATCCCCAGATGCGAGGGTCCGTATGCAACGCAGTCGCAGACGCTTGCACGTCGACGCCGGCTCTAATCATGTACTCGCGCCCATCAGCGCCAACAAGTATGGCATCTTCGTCGCTGCGCCTCGTCACTGTCGTCCTACTCATCAGCCTCAATGTCTCGTGATAACAGCTAACCAGCAGCGGGCATCGTTCCCATGACGACACACTTAGCACCGCCTCGTCACCGTCCCACCGCACGGCGCTCTCAAGCTCCCCGCGCACCCGTTCCGCCAGCCCCGGCGTGCTGAGGATGGAGGACAGGAGCCAGAACAGCGTCGGTGCCGTGTTGCTCAGCGCGACGGCGAGGATGCTCGTCTCCATCTTTCCAATCTCCTCGCTCGCCACGCCGTACGATCGGATCAGCCGCGCCCGCTCGCGGATGAGTTCCGACACGCCATCGCTGTCGACGAGACCGGCTGCGTGGAACCGGCCAAAGGCGGCCTGCACGCGCGCGCGGGCGTCGTAGGCCTTGCGCGCCGTGAAGCGGGGGTACAGATCCAGCGCCATAATGAGGAGCTTATCCTCAAAGCGCCAAAAGTCCTCGAGAAGCGTGTGGTCGCCGTCTAATGGGTTCTGCGGACCCCAGAAGGCACGGCTTGCAGCGAGGGTTGTGATGTCGCGCAGCCAGGTATACATGGAGGAGATCTCGAGCCACTCTCCGTTCTTGAGGCTGGTAAACTCGCCGCGGAGGCTGTCCTCGAAGGAACAGACGGCGGCAATCTGGGCTCTTTGGAGGGTTTTGCCTTTGAGGAGGTGCTTGCTGAAGAGTTCCAGCATTTCCTTCACGAGGGGCGTCGTAAGGAATATGTTGCGAGTAGAGCTGTTTAGGCCAGCGACGTTGCCTGAGAACTTGGCGGCGAAATGTTCGAGGGTGAAGCTCTTTTTACGGAAGAGTGCCTGAACGAGGGATGCATCCCAGATTACGTACATCTTGCCGTTCAGCATGGGCAGCGTGGCTGCTGGGAGGTTGTGTTTTCTGTAGCGAGAAAGCAACATGGTCCCGTGTCGGACCATGTTAATGATGTGGCCGACAAGCGGTATCATCGGCTTGAACAGGGGAGGTTCATTTTGTTCGGGTTTGATGGTGATGATGGAACTCAGAAGCATGAGGATAGCAATGACCGCAGCGCCAATGAGCGCAGACGTCCGAAGCTGGCCATAATCGAGCGTCGTCAGGACGTCAGCCCGAGCGGGTACTGACTGATCAGCCATTACTAGTTCCATGATGTCGACTTTCCAGACAAAAGCTTCGCATGTCGAGGCTCAAGTTTGTGGGATTTTCCCCCTCTTAAAGGCAGAAGTCAAAATAACGGGCCGGTGCATCCGCCAAGGCTGTGCGCCTGTGTCACTCGTCCAGCAGCCGAGCCAAAGCAAATGAGTTGGGAGTCGTGGCGGTCTGCGTGCATGTATCATCAGCGCTAGCTCATCCAGAAACGAATGGTTGGCTATTCACAAGCATAATTTCTTTCTCAATACGCACGTTCGATGTGATGAATGCCTTGATCACCGGTCATCATGACAAAGGCTTGCTAGTTCAGACATGGAGAGCATGAACCCTGGTCCACTGTCCCGAAGTGACTGCGTAGGATTCCATTTGGATTCAAGGTGCCTCGGATACAGAGTTTAGATCCCCCGATGACGCGTCAGGTCTGGAACGTCATGTCCGCACGCGTCATGTCCAAACACTCTCTTTTACGTATCTTGCATCCATTGTCATTCTACTGATTCACAACAGACAGCCAGCAACGACTCCTCGCCCATGCTCAGCGCGCCGGCAAGCATCTTTCCACAACAGAGTCGAACATACTCCATATCCCCCCACTCAAGAGCAGCGCGCGCCCGGGCACCCCGGTAGAGATGATGGTTGATGATCCTCGTGAGATTCAACGGGACGGATTTGAGCAAGATCGAAATGGATGCGCTTCCGGGTAGAGTCTTCGTCTCTTGCCTCATCCTGCCTTTTTCGCTTCGCTTCTGGTTCGGGTTTGCTACGTCTGATGCAGCCCTTCAATGGCACAAGCTTGGAAGGAGGAAGGCCACGGATCGGGGAGCCGCTGACAATACTCAACTCACTCATGGAGTCGCAGATTAAGCGGAAAGTTTGGGACACGCTGTGCTTGAAGTCTAAGTTCGAAGACAATAAAGAAATGAGCTTATTGGACCAGCAGGCAAGTCGCGAAGAGGAATAAAAGCGAGGTGAAGTGTTTGTCGACAACAAGAAGAGGTCTACTGACGACAGCGAATCGGTCTTTATCACCGAGAAAATACTCTGGTGAAGAGATTCGCGGACAGAGATGTTATTTCTTGAAGAGCAAACAACCATATCGAAACACGATGAGGCAGCATCCCCAGTTTGAACCATAGCAGCCCAAACAGTGGCGCTCAAGCCAACCAACATCCACCAAGCCAAACCGCCATCTGAAGCGTTCACGAACTGCAACTACCATGAAAACAAAGAACGCCACGCATCGTAGATCCTCATGGTATGGAACCCAAGTGCAGAACCCGCAACGCCATTAACCCTGACCCTGACCACTCATCACACACACAAAGGCGTTGACCAGACCCAACGACCCCCCTTCGGCAGGTCTGCCCGGTTCGCTTTACCTAAATCACCTTAGCCTCCCCGCCTGTCATTATCTTGGCATTAGTCAACTTCTTCAAATCATCCGAAAGACGGAAGAGGCTGGGCGCAGTTGTCGCTTCATCACCGGAAAAAGGACAAGGTGGGCAAATGATCCATCGTGCAAGACAAACTCTGTTACAACGCCGCTCCCCGACTCCAGCCAATTTTAAACAAGTATTATGTACTCTCTCAAAGCTTTCTAGACCCGACTCATCAAACCCCCCCC